CCAAAAAATATGTTTTTTTTTTTTTCATATAATATTTGCGCTGTCAATAAATTTGTGAACTTTGAGTTGTGGGTTTTTTGCTTAAGGTTGGAAAAAAAATTAAAAGAACAAAAAATGGAGCATGGACACTAAAGGGGAAGTTAACAAGAGGCAAGATCATTTAAACAATTGCGAAAAATTATTTACTCAAAATTTTTTTCTGAAAAAGAACGTAGAGTCTTAGAAATGTGTTCTTTTTATATTAACATTATTAGATATCGATTGTTGACTATCGTGAAGTTGTTTTTTTTTTTTTTTTTAATTTAGAAATAATATTTAAAACAAGATCAAAATTGTTATTTAAATATTTATATATTTTTTAATTTAATTTAGCATGGAGTGCGCAATTTCGTAATTCTTATTAATTGATTAAGCTCACATTCGATTAGCGTTGTTATTATTATTATATTATCTGAAAAGCAGGCCGTCGCTTGAAACCAAAAACCAATTTCAAGTTTAACTGCTTTTGATTTTTTTCTTTATATGTTTTCTTAATCTTTTTCTGGTGTTTTTTTATGAGGGGTCTGTCAAGTTTTGTGGCTCAGACTTGTTGGCAGCCGCCCAGATAGAGCTTTAGATAATATATAATAATAATATTAATAAAGCCAACTCTCTGTTTAGCAGCTGGAACGGATTTCAAATTTTCAAATCTGAGGCGCGTGACGCAGCAATGCTTGGGAATTCCCCAAGTTTAAAGTTTGAGGCAAACTTTGTGATTAATATTTCATATTTAAGCAAACAAAAAATCTCTATCGATTTGCTGTATTCATGTACAAGCTATATACATATATATACATAGTCTTTAATCGTATGCTAACGATCCGCATTAACAACAATGGGAATTGTGCTTGAGCTTCCCTTGACTTTTACTATCGCTCCATCGAGTTTATGCGCTCGTATTATAATCTAGCTAGCGACTTCTCTCCGATCAGCAGAGATCGAGCTTGATCATTGGCTCGAGCACAGAGAAACAAAAAAAAATGTTGTCATCGTTTATATTTAAAACTTGTGACACAATTGTTGTTATTGTTTGTAAGCCTTCGAACTGAACTGGGACGGCAACAAGAGAGCCGGCTTTAACTTTCGTGCCAGATATCTGCTTTCTTTCACCAGAAAGAGTCCGACTATAACACGGAACCTTAGCCAATTATATATATTCATTGTATTCTTTGAAATATAAAATTAAACAAGTAGCTACACTAGAATATTATTTTTGGTGTTGTCATAAAATTTAATCATGCGCGTAAATAGCTTTGAGTCACCTTTAATCATCAACATGATTAATATCTATCGTACTGGTAACGATTAATGCGCATTTAACAGCTACGGTTACGAAGTGCGAACCACCCTAACAAAAATTGATCTAGTTCAAGTGCAAACGATAAGCACTTATCGTTAATCAATTGCTCTTGTTGCCAATATAGCAGAGCTACTCAAAATGGTACGCTTATAGTTGGCAACGCATTCACAGCTAAACGATAATGTAGTTCAATTGCAATTATTGCCAAAACACTTGCGATAGCAAAAAATAAACAAATACATTTATTCGGTTGGCAACGCATGCGCAACTTTAATGCGTTTTATTCAAAGTTCTTACGGAAATTGAATGCAAATGAGCAGCTGTTACCAGCAGCTGGAGCTGCGCTGTTTGTGTGTGAAAGTCAATCAACAGCACGTGTAACAGCAAAACCACAACAGCAACAACAGTCAAAAGCTGTTTACTGTAGCTGTAGTTGGTGTTGCTTTTTAATCTGTATGCGCGATCAAGCAGCGAAATATATTTTGAGAATTGTTGCTTTTTTATTATTTATTTATTTATAATTATAAAAGCATCGTTTAATACAACGCCAGCTGAATTATTGCAATTGCTAGGCATTTTTGTTGCTGTTGTCTGTGAATTATGTGCAAACATTTGTGCTCTTTAAACTTAAACCAATTTGAACTTGGGCAAACTAGTTGCTCCAACACACAAAAAGGCAGCTTGTTGGGTTTGTTAACTTTATTTTTTGCATTTTAGCTGTTTTTGTTGCCGTCGCTTTTTATGCCACTGCTGGTTTTTTTTTTTTGTATTTGCTTGTTGTAGCTGTTATTTTGCTGCTGTTTTATTGTGGGAATTTCTTGGGTTTTTCAACGCACACCAATGCAAACGCACAAGCAGTCAAGCACATGCGAGTATGTGTGTGTACACATATGGCAAAACGCGTTCGCTGAGCTAACTTCCCCAGTCATTCCTCCACAACTCTCTCTTCCTCTCAGTCTGCACTCCTGCTCGTGCGGCAATCAAAGCTTTTGCTTGCTATTGCTGTTTCTTTTTTTTTGTATTTTAAAACGCTACTTGTTCAACAACACAGCGAAGCTTTTTTGTGGAGCGCTTTTGCTGAGATCGTATTTCATTCATAAATATAGTGCACAGTGGTGTTTAATATATTTGCTTAAAGCAATTTTATTAATTAAAATTTCTTTTTTATCTTTGCAGGTGAACGCTGCGTACATTTGGCTGCTGGCGCTGGACATATTGATATCTTGCGCATTTTGGTATCTCACGGCGCGGACATTAATGCCAGGGTAAGTAAAACAAAACAAAAACAACAAAAAATTGATAATCGATACTATCCAGTTGCTCATAAATTAAATATTTAGTTAATCATTCAGTTTATTTTTATGAACGACAAAAAAAATTAAAAGTATTGAAGGTAGTTTATTCTCTAGTTTATCTCTAATCGAAATAAATATTTTAATTAACAAGGTGAATTTAAATTATGTTTTGTAGGAGGGCAAAGGCGGACGCACACCGCTGCACATTGCCATCGAGTGCTGCAACGAGGATTTGGCTAATTTTCTGCTGGACGAATGCGAGAAACTCAACCTGGAGACAGCAACATATGCTGGACTAACGGCATATCAGGTGGCCAGCATATTGAATAAATCGCGCATGCAAAACATATTGGAGAAACGCGGCGCAGAGACATTAACGCCGCCCGATAGCGATTACGATAGCAGTGATATCGAAGATCTAGATGATACGAAGGTGAGCGTCACAGCCTAAACAAAACAAAAAGAAAATCTAGAATATCATTGAGAAACCCATAGAACATAAGAAAACATCAAAAAATAAGGGTCACCACCAACAGCTTCCAAATGTTCAAAAAGTTAACAGAGCTGAACTGGTATTCAGCTAAAGTTGAAACTAGAAAAATGTAATGAAAAAAGAAGATAAATTGTATTGTTACATTTATGTATTGTTAAACCAACCAAAAAGAAAATAGCAAAAATTGGAAAATGAAACAAAAACAGCATCAAAAATAGAAATAGCCGTCCGCATAACTGGAAATATAGTAAAAACAAAATAGATATATAAATACATAAATAAGGACTGTTCTATGTTTTAGTAGAGCAGTCAAGCTTAAAAGTTGCCCACTGTAAGAAACAACCAACAAAATAACGAACAAAATGCAATACACACAATATTGAGATACCTATATAGATAGATATACATATTCTATGTAAAATGAACTATCCATCAGCTGTCCATTTGATATGATATTTATGTTCTACTTTCCCTATCAAAATGTTAACTAATTTAAGCTGTCTATGTAATTCGATGATTATGTGCTTTATCACTCTCACTTACTTTTACTCTCTATACATATCTCACTCTCTCTCTCGTTGTCTGTATTATGTGTGCGTGTATGTGTGTTTTTGTGTAAGTGTGCGTGCGTGTATGCATCTAACAAATGTATAGTCTTACATTTAGAAATAGAACTATAACTTAAACTAGTTCTAGAAATAGAACTAGTTCTAAACAAATGTATGGCTTCTTTCTAACTCTGAATATTTTATATGGAAAAAAGAAAGTATAGCAAAAAAAAGCAAAAAAATATATTTAAAAAAAAACAAGAAAGTGCAGCAAAGAATATAACTATTATATACTACATTTAACATAAGTTAGTTAAAAATCTAATTGATGTTACAATGTTCTGACTGAATGAATTATGTTGCAAATAAACATTTTATTCTAAAACCAAAAAAAAAAAGATTTAAAAAATTATTGGTAAAAAATTTAAAAAAAAAAAAAAAATGTAAGTACATTATATACATTTATATATATATATAAATTTAAATGCATGTTTATATAGCATTTTGGTAATTATTTTGTTGGTTTTGCCTCTTAACTTTTAATGGTTTAATATTAAAAAAAAATATTTTTAATTTGAATTTTTTGAAAAAATGTTCATCCATTTTTTATTTACGTTTTTATATTTGTTTTTTATTTAAGTTACATTAAATTTGTTTAATATATTTTTTTTAATTTTATTTAATTTTTTTTTTATATATTTTTGATGTTTTCTATTTTTTCAGATCTTTGGTGATCCGCGTTACTTTGTCAGCTACAGCGGAGGCAATCCCATGACAGTTGCTTGAATAGCACATCAATTGTACATATATAAAACTGATCAATAATTCATATGTATATTTATATATATATAGATATATATAAATATATAAATCTATATATATTTAACAATGCTATAATTCCAATAACAGCTGCTGAGGAGGGCAACAAACTATGCTGAATCGAGATATTTTTGACACACGTTCCACACTCGCGACGAACAAAAAAAAACAAAACAAATCGAGTTCAAAAAGAAATCCTGCAACTAACTGTGCCTACAACAAAAAAGAGCAACAAAAAAATAGACATAAAATATTGTTTACCATGTAAGCATGTCAAAATAAGTGAATAAAGCATAAAAGGTTGCAGTATGGCAAGCATTTTATTTATACATCAAAAAACATAAAGTTTAAATAAATATATCAAATAGTCACACAATTATGGAAAGTAATCAAAAATTGTCATGTCTACAGTCTTCAATTTCAAATACAAAAATATATATATATAAAATGCACTTAACTTAAATATACGTCAAAATACACATATATCAAATATCAAAAAGTCACATAATTATGAAACATCAATTGGCTTAGACGAAATGCTTAAAAAATAACAATTTAATTAATTTTTATAGCAAGCTTAATGAAAGTAAAACATTTCTGGCTAGTTTTGAATAGTCGGATGAGTAGGAGTTAGAGAGAGGCTGCCAGCTCTGTGTCTTAAGATCTGCCTCGCCTCTGGCATATGCTCTATTACGAGAGTCCTCTTGACATCTACCATTTACCTTCTGATTTTCATCTCTAACGTATGCTCTGTCGAAACACGCTCTTCTTTGCATTGCTGTTGACATTGGATACCTTTTTGGCTGCCATTGGATCGGGAGCAAAGCAATTCCACAGTCGCAATGTCTCATCAGCTCCAGCGCTTATCACAGTGCTGCCATCGGGCGACATGGCCATTTGTAAGACACGCGACGTATGTCCAGTTAGATCGGCCTGCTTAACCATCGATGGATACTTCCAGATGGTTAACTGATTGTTGGCAAACCCATGTGCGGAGATTAGCTCCTTGTAGTGCCGTGAGAAGAGCAGAGAACACACCTGGGACTTGGAATCTACAGATTTGATAAGGGAGCCATTGCATACATTCCAGAATTTGATGCAGCGATCCGCTGTGCCGCCGCCAGATGCCAGTGTGTTGGGCTGCCAGGGACACCATGCAAGCGCTCGTACAGCTGCCTGATGTTCATTGAATTTGTGCAGTGGGTCAGTTGCGGTGCCTACGCCATTTCCAGCTAAAGACCAGACATTCACCAGATTGTCATTGCCTCCACTCGCCAAGTACTTGAAATCTGTGGACCACTTAAGGCCGCAAACCTCTTGAGCATGCCCGTTTAACGAGCCTATTTTGTGTTCCCTAGAGCGCACGTCATGATGTATAATCGTGCCATCGCGACTGCCCGATGAAACTAAATACGAATTCCATGCCAGAGAACCAACACGAGCGCTATGTCCATCCATCACACGCAAACGTTTCACCTTCGAACAATCCCACAGCTCAACAGCGCCACTGCTATTGCCGATAGCCAAGATCTGACCCTCTTGAATCCAAGAGAGCGCGCAAGCATAATCCCCTTCCTCATACTCAGTTAACTGTTCAATATTCCCGCTAGCTGCATTCCACAAATAAACGCAGTTGCCCAATGCAACAGCGACAATATTATCGCCACTCCAGTCCATGAGATTGAGGTCTAAGTCGAGAAGGAATCGTTGTATTAATTATCAAAAATTATATAGAAATACTTACAGTAATCATTGATAAAGTCTGGTGCATCGAGTATGCGCTCAGATGTGGTTGGTATATAGCGTGATCCGCTCTTCGTAGATATGGGTGTCTTTAATGAGTAAACCACCTTAAGAGGATTCGTATGGGATTCGGGCGCAGCGGGTGCTTTATTTTGATAACACAGTATGCGTCCACTCTTGCTGCTCTCGCCCACCTGTGCCACCTCGGCGATTAGTTTTTGGCGTTCACCTTTGTGAGCAGATGCCTGGACATTATTTTCGTTGCTGCTTGTTGGCTGCTGCTCCTGATCCTCATCGGACTTATCGCCAGAGTCCTTGTTGACCTACAAGTTCCACGTCCTATATCGTTATCTATCTATAAGGTTATATTTCTACTGATTATAATTACCAAGAAATGAGCCAATTCAAAGTTGGTGGCTGCACGATTGGGTATAAAACGATCTCCACCTCCAGGCGTCTTCGTTGGCGTCGTTGCATTCTTCTTAGTCTTTGCGTCAGAACTTTTGCCTGGCGTTTTGGTTGGTGCTTGTACGCCAGAGAAGCTTGTATTGTATGAAACGGATAGCACGGAACGTGTTGTATTCACGCTTCCATTGAGCGATGCTTCCAGCTTCTTCTTCCAGCGAGGCGCAGGACCACGCGTCTCTCCATCCATTATTAACGCATTCTGTAGATCGCTCACAAAATTGAATTGAGACATTTTTCACATAAAATATCGTCTCAACCTGTCTAGTTCAGTTTTGTATTTATTTATCACAGAATTGATTGCACAGGAGTTGTTAAATTTAGTCTCTCTGTGATCGCGTTGCTGGGTAAAATTGCAATGGCGGTTTGAGAATGCATTGGATATGAAATTCCGCGGCAAATGCTACCAGGGTTGCATTGAAAGTACTGAACGAATGATTTGAAAGTGTTTGTTATTACAATAAACTTCCTTCGTGCTTCACATTTGTTAATTAAACATAAATATATTCAGCAAATCTAAAATAGTCTAACGCCCATTTTTGGCGCTTAAGCTACAACTAGCGAAATTGTCTTAAATGATTATTGAGGCACTTAGACCGATATTTTATGTAGCCCTGGTTTACAGCCGGCTGCAACGGCACACCCTTTACAGAGTCGTTAAGCCGTTGTCATTATTTTAATATTAATGTAAGCAATATCAATTTTTATATATAATTAAGTCATGCTCTTTTTAAAATTTGTTTCTGTTCATTACACATGATTTTTTTTATGAAGACAAATTTAAAAAAATATTTTTTACCAAAAAAAGTAGGGCAACATTGCAACGCGCTGTTAGCATACTTGGGCGAGAAGTTAAGCGACAGTCACAGCTGTCATCATTCTACACGACTCACACACTCATGTAGCAGGAGAAGTGCGTAATTATAACAAACTAATTTAAATAAACATTTATAATATATATTTTATTAAGATTTAAATAACAGCCCGCAGTATTTTGAGTAACGAACCGCTACAAACAATGGCCTTCAACTTCACCGCTTTCACATATATTGTGGCGCTTATTGGCGATGCATTTCTAATATTTTTCGCGATATTTCATGTGATTGCATTCGATGAGCTAAAAACAGATTATAAAAATCCAATCGATCAGTGCAATAGTCTAAATCCGGTAAGTAAAAATTTAATATATATACATATATATACGTATATATGTATATATCCGTTTTGAGTATGTCTTAAGCAGTGACTAATCATGAATTTTTACAGCTGGTTTTGCCGGAATATTTGCTGCACATTTTCTTAAATTTACTTTTCTTATTCTGTGGAGAATGGTATTCACTTTGCCTCAATATACCATTAATAGCCTATCATATATGGCGGTAAGTTGGGCAATGTTGCAAGTTATGATTATATAAAATGAATAAATAATTGCCTTGCAGCTACAAGAATCGTCCCTTGATGTCGGGTCCTGGTTTATATGATCCCACGACAGTGTTAAAGACGGACACATTGTCGCGTAATCTGCGCGAGGGGTGGATTAAATTGGCCGTCTATTTGATCAGCTTCTTCTACTATATATACGGGTAATTACTTATGCTTATAAATATCATTTTGCATTTGTCTAACGTTCTGTTTTGTTTTTCTGCTAATTTTAGCATGGTTTATTCGCTCATCTCGACATAAGAGGGTATAAAAAGGGCAGCTGCCTGGGGATCTCATTGTTGTTGGCACTAGAGCATCTTCTACATCTACATCCGCATATATATATATATGTCTACACACATACACACACCGACTTGCACACCTACCCAGACCTACACACAACTCCATTTGGGAGCGAAGAATGTTTTTAAATGTAAAAATTTGCTAGATATTCATAATGCCAACCATAACAAAGAAACATCTATGTAGATTTCTAATGGTATTTTTTATTATTTTTTAATATAATTTAATTAGTTTTTCATTTGGTAGTTGAAGCCTCAGAGAAAATAAATACAGAAAACTAACAGAAATTTTTAAATAATTATTTTATTTTAACGAAATTATAATATTAACCTAATATATAATTTAAGGGAAAAGATACAAAGCTTACAAAGTAAGACTCATATGTTACATTAAATAGATAATAAATAGGTAGTATCTATTAGGACTTCGTCTAGACATACAATATGTAAAAGTGACCTTGGCAATACAACTTAATGAGAATCTGGGTTCGAATCCCTGGCTAGTATATTAAAATATTGTATTAGATGAAAGCTGTACTTAAGTTATGATAAATAATCTCTAACAATATCTTCAACTTCTTAAAATTATTCCACCTAATCTATTGGTTAAGTCATCGTTTCCAACTAAAAGTTGGCTAAAGCAGTTACAAATATGAATATACATAATTTGTTAATGCTATTTAATAGCTATATTTTCACTACTTTTAATGATAATACACTTATTTCATTTCTATATCTTTTACATAGCTTGCAAGATAGCGGCATATTCGACTAAACATTTTATCCATTGAAGCAGAGGCCAGTTGACACATGTATCTAAGGCAATTGCACACGGGCCACAGCACTTAAACATCATAAAGATTAGAAACGAGTTCTTATCAAGCCCGCCTGCCAACTACCCGTATCTACACAAATGTAATAGCCCAACATGAAATGTTCGTATGTATCTTGATTTAACTTTATTTTACAAACTGTTTGAATTGGAATCAAGAATTTACCTTTGTACATATCTCCATTTCGATAAAAATATATTACATATATATGTATAGAGGTGTATATGCCATATGTATTCACAATAATTTAGAATTGGGATAGTATTTATCATTAATTATGACATAAAAACAACAAAGAACAGGAAGAAGAATATCAAAACACCGAAAATCTTAATCATAAGCCAACGATTTTTAGAAACGGATTGGAAATATTTGAGTATCTCGCCATGCGCTGCCTCAATATTAAGCTCCGCATCCGCCACATTGGTATCGATGCGTTCAACAATCTCCTCCTGCTCTTTAACCATATGCGCCAGCTGCTGAAAGATGCCTCCCAGCTCCACAATTGTGGACTCTATATTCTGCATTGTCTCTGCACGCTGTTGTACATACGTATCGGATTCGTCGTAGATGGCCAGTTGCTGCTGCTGCTGGAGATGTGAAGTAGCTCCTAGTAAGGGCGTCGATTCGCTCCCGCCCATATCTATGCTAACCGCTTGATTCTCCTCGCTGAGCAGCAACGAGCCCTGCTTGGCGGTCGATGGTGAAACTGTGTGTGCGGCCAAGGGCCCAGGTCCTTGGCTGAATTGATCACGTCTCGTCTTTTGATGTTTGAGATTTTCAGTACGCACTTCAAGGATTTGCTTAAAATCGGTGCTCATGCTGGCTAGTTTGGACTGCAGGGCAAGCACCATATTGGAGGAATGTGAGACGAGATGCTTGCCATTTGTGGTGCGCCGCTGATCCTTGGAAATATCCTGTAGCTTGGCTATTTGTTGATTCAATGCATTCAAGTCACCTTTGATGATGTACGTTAGTTCCTGAATCTCCTGCGGTCTGTCATCGAACAGACTCTTCTTTTTGGCCACTGTAAGCAAGTGCAAAAGGGATGAATTTAAAAATGGATACTGGATATAATTCATTAGCTTACACATGGTCAGTTTCTCCAGTTTGGCATATGTACTGGCTATGTTCTTGCCTATGAAGCGGGCAACCATCATAAATTCTGAATAGCTCTGCACCTGTTTGGCCTTCCTTGGATCTCGTATGTTCACCGCCCTTGTGATGTTTCGTGATTGTAGCGAACGTATCGCATTGGCAAACTCGCCCGTACGATCTCTTGCTGCCATTATGAATATCTCTGGCTCCTCTATTTCTTCAGTTTCTACCTGTGTCGGATGACCTCCAAAATTGTAGATGCTCTTCTCGTAACTATTGCTGGTATTGTTATTATCAAAGTTTTGGGATTGGTTGGGATGATTGCCTGTTACAACAGCCGCAGCGGCGCTCAATGGCTGTTGTATAAAAGTGCGCAACGCCTGGCCAGAGCGTGACGAAATGCCACTAAATAGGTTCCACTGACGGGCTGCCTTGTCGTATTTGTCGTCTGTGTCGACACTCGATGAAGGTTCGCCAATATTGATGGCAGCTTCCAATGGAGGAGCTACGAACAACAATTGTTGTTGGCCAGGATGTTGGACTAGAGACTGCTGCTGCTGCTGCTGCAGTTGCTCCTGCTGTGGCAATTGTTGGACACTGTAATTGCTGCTGAATTCCTGCTGGTCCGTTTGTTGATGACGACGTCGAGTTTGCATCTCATTTCAAGTCAAATTGCTAAGTTGCTCTGATCCTTGCCCTTCGTATTGCTTTTGTAAATGTATTTGTTGTTGACGTTGCTTTTTCTGCATTCGTCATGCACAGTTCTTCGCTCAATTGTTTTGCAATTTGCCTTTTTTTCAGTTTTCCAGCGATTTACTCGAATGGTCAGCAGTTTTTGACCCAATTTTGTTTTCACGCTAAATATATTTTTATAAATTTTTAACAAATATATTCCGTGGAATTTGGCGACTCAATTAAGAGTTTGCTAGATATTTTGCCCTAATAAAAAAAACACTCATACGCACACATGCACAGCCAAGCCATCCCAGATGACAGATGACGTGTTGCTGGCGAAGAGATCTGCCAACTCGCTTAAAAGTTATACAAAGAAAAATTACCAAACAAAGGTTTATATATACCGAATATTAAATGAGTTTCTGAACAAATATCAAAGTAAAATATATAACAATTATACAATCAAAATGCGATAAATTAAAAATAAATAAATGTTTGCTTTTGATTTGTTTATATTTCTGTGTGATATAGGCACCAAATATTGTTGTTTTCAATTAAGAAATACTTTCATAGTCTATAGTTACTTAACGCTGTCTATTTTAGGATTGAATACATTATTAATATTAATTGGCTTATCTGTTTTCTTATTTACATATATAACTAGTATTTTATATACCAAATTAGCACGCGTTGGCAGCTCCACCGGCAACAATTGACAGCTGCTGGATTCTCTCGCCGCTCTTCCTCTTACCCAGTGTTTTTTCATTCATTTCGTCTCGTGTGCCAATTTGTACTATAAATTAATGTTTTAACAAATTAACCGAAAAAGTTACAGTTTATAAAAGAAAATGACGCTGTACCACTTTGGTAATTGTGTTGCACTGCTACTGCCATATTACTTCACCTACAAATACTCCGGCTTGTGAGTAATATATATTTTAAAATTAGGCCATCAATAAATCATTATTCATTAATCAATAAACATTTATTAAAATTGATAAATTTGTTTTCAGATCGGAATATGGTGCGTTCTGGAAATGTGTGCAGGCGGGCTGTATTTATATATTCACACAGCTTTGCAAAATGCTCGTTTTAGCTACATTCTTCTATTCGGACTCATCGACGAATAGCGGAGAATTTAACTTTTTTGCGGTAAATTGTTCACAGTATTCAAAAATATGTTCTATTTAAATATGCTGCTTTCTTTTTTAGGAAATACTGCGCTGCAGCGTGGATGTCGCAGATCTACTTGGCTTTGCGCTCATACTGAGTCGCATACCTGGCAAGGGGCATTCAAAATTAATTACCGCTGGATTGGGCTGTAAGTATTGAAATGTCCTGAATTAAAAAAAAAACAACATTAATTCCTCATTTTTAGGGGCTACTGCGGAGGTCATCTTGTCCCGTGGCATTATGTTGTGGGTAGGCGCACGTGGCACCGAGTTCAGCTGGATCTACATACAAAAGTGCTTGGAGTCCAATGTGCTGCTCGTCCAGCATTTATCAACTGCCACGTTGATTTGGTTGTTCACACGTCACGATCTCAACAAGGCTTTAAAACCGCTAGTCTCCATATTGCTAGCAGTGACCATATTCAAGGGTGTTTGGCTGGAAGGTTTGCTGCACATCCTAAGTATTGGACCTTGGACAGCAATTGCAGTGAAAGCTCTGGTTGCGGCCATCATTGGCTTCTGCTCATTGAATATTTATGCATGCTTGGCCCAGCAAATTGGCATTTAATTGAATTTCAGTTTGATTGTATTTTGTTTTACATATACTTTGGTTTTAATGGTATTTAGAGAGGTACAAGATGTTTAAGACGAAAGATAACAAAACAAAGAACGATTTAGAGAATTAAACAAATGTTAATGAATTATAGTTATTTAAACGGTAACAAAAACAAGTTTTTACAAAAAAAAAAAAAACCAAAACCAAATATAAACACTTGAGTGTTAATTAACTAAGATTTAGAAATTAATTCGTTAAGTTTTCTTCTATAAGCCTATTGGACTCTGCGCCCAAAGTAATTTCGTGTATTTCTAAAGAGTTCCGTTTCGTGGTGAGTTCTATAAAGCCATCCTTTGCAAGAGCTAAGAGATGAGATAAGATAAGATTAGATATCGTTATTTACCTTATGTCAATGTAACCAACATAACAAATGACTGAAAGCCAGGGCAGCTTTAAAACGATCGGGAAATGATTTGACAAATTTGTTGGCATCAATCGATTTTAGATCGGGATTATTGCGCCATATGCTGAGCAAGTGCATCATTATGCCCAAAGAATCTTTGTTGAAGAAAGGGTACTCATTAGTTATAGGCGGGCACAACTAAATGCATAATTTGCCTACCAATATTACATATATCGTAATTATAAGTGATATAGTTATTATTGTTGTTGTTTCCGCATTGTGGGACTTCAATTGTTGGTGGGGAGTGTTGTACTGTTGGCTCTAGTTCTAAAGCTGGCAGAGCAGCAATTTCTAAAGCATCTGTTTGTTTAGGACTTAGAGGTCTTACAGATAGTATTTCTCTGGACAGTTCGTCACAATAATCAGCGCCAAATATAGATCGTATTGTCAGTTCACAGTCCGACTCTATTTGTTCACTAGACAGCTGCAGTTGTCGTTTTAAGCAATCTGGAAAATGTTGACTGCACAATAAATATTATTATTAAATAATATTTATGAAGTATTGCAATAACTAACCTTTGCCTAAAACTGCTTAGTAATGTGTTACGCGTATTATTGTTTTTCAAAATTTTAGATTTTCGCAATCTTTCTCTCTCTAATGCTTTATAATATATTTCTCTGTCACGGAGGAGCTCTTGTCGTGAAATTTTGATAACCTGATCTCTAGCCAATTTCATTTTACGTTTTGATTTAGTTTTAGCTTTTTTTGGAGACATTGCCAGCACCTCCATATCTAGATTCAGCTCTTGACTAGGATTGGAAGCTTGTGGATTATCGTTGGTATGTCCCATAATTGTATCTGTTGCTAATCTCGGCATTTTGTAGCACAAAGCACCTGTAGTACAGAGGTCAAGCGACTTACGCTTCACTGAAAATATATAAAGTTAAGTATTTAGCTAATAACTACAGCTGTTTATATTACCAGCATTTCTGGCTGGCAGAAATTCTTCAAACGCTGTTATGTCAACTTGATTGGATTCACCAAATCCATTGTTCCACATTATGTCCTGGTCAATCTCGGTAAAAGTTAGCTCATGTGTTACACTGATCGTGTGCTCGGGTAAGCAAGTCCGAGCAACTTCAATGGTTTGTGACTGAAATGCAAAGAATCAGAGCCAGCTATAACTATATATATATAAATTGCTATATCTGCCTGTTACCTGTTCAATAGCTACATTTTCAGTCTGCGTATTCCATTGCTGAGATTCGGTTAACATATGCCTATAGTAATCTACATTTTGTTCGTCCAATAACTGCGGTTCAATTACTCTAGCTCTCTTTGCTACACAGACAGTTGTTTGCTTTGTAATGATTCGTTTTCTTTTTCGACAACTGAAACTCTCGCTTTGATTTGTTCGCTGCGTGGGTTGAGTTAAATCGAATTTTTTCCTTATAATTTGATCCAGCAAATGTTTGGTATCATCTAGACGAAAACTGTAGCAATAGCAATTGATAATTGTTTAACTACAGAATTATATTTACCCATAAGAGTGGTAACCTGTTGATTTAATATGTAATTTATACCAAAAGTAAGTTGCACAATGTCCTTGAAGGTAACAGCTCGACGGCTACGAGTGTCCACCACATTATTTAGTGTTTCTCTTCTCAACTGATTCGTGTCAATAATGTCACATATTTGTTGGCTATTTATAACATATAGACAAAACAAAAATTAAGTTATACAGTTTACAGTTATGTTTGCAACATATACTCCTACCAACTTGCAACCACGTCGATTGCGTTAATTTCATGTCGCGCAAATTGTTTTACAAATTGCGTTGTTGAATATTTTTTATTGCCGGCTATCCAGCAAGGTTTTAAAAGATTTATTTCTTTATTTTCTTTAAAGTCTATGTGATTTAGCGCCATGGCGCCTTCTAATGGCGCATTCCTCCAATGAACGGTAAATTTGAGCATAATTGTTGGTTTTGGCGGCAAACATTTCGCGTTTTGCAGCACTTACTGCAGATAGTGGAAATGATCGATAACATCTGCAACTTTATTTGTACAAATAAATAAGAAACTAGTATTTAATTAATTCAGTACATTTTTAATGACACATATTTTATAGATATTATATTTATTCTTATTAAAGATCGTTATCACCAATATTATTATTTTTTAATTGATGTCAGCATCAGCTGGTAATAACATTTGAGTGGATGTTAAGTTCTTAGGGTGCCCACAGGTGTATGTATATCTGTTAGTGTTGAGCCAAAACAAAGAAGGTGAAGACGGCAAAGTTTAATATTATTTGTGTTATCTGCCGCTGTTTTTGTTTATTCCCAAAAAAAAAAGAAATTTCAATTAACACTTAAAGCCAAGTGCACATAAATCTAAATGGTAAGAGTTTTGACTTCCACTCAGTGCAACGCATTTCGTTTGCCAAAGAATGACTAATTGCTCTGCTCTGTGGGCGGGTCAAATTGTTTGTCGTGTTTTGTGCGTTTTGTTGATGAGTCGATAAGATTTGTTATTCTTCAAATGCGTTAACCAATTACATTCATTGCATTTGCAGGGAGATAACAAAATATGCGATATTAGCAACGAGGTGCTCGAGGAATTGAAAAAGTTTCGCTTTCGTAAAAGCATTACCAATTCAGCGCTGATATGTAAGAGGAAAATTTATAAAATGTTGCCATGGCAACAAAGTGCCTGAAGCAAACGGAACGTTGATTGATGTGTGTTCTTTCTCTCTCTTTTTTTGCCTGCCAGTAAAAGTCGATAGGGAAAAGCAATCGGTGGTGCTTGATGAGTTCATTGATGATATTTCTGTGGAGGAGCTGCAGGACTCGTTGCCTGGCCATCAGCCTCGCTATGTGATTTACACATATAAAATGGTGCATGACGATCAGCGTATATCGTATCCCATGTGTTTCATCTTCTATACGCCGCGAGACAGTCAAATCGAACTGCAAATGATGTATGCCTGCACAAAGAGCGCGCTGCAGAGAGAAGTGGATCTAACTCGAGTTTACGAGATACGTGAATTGGATGAGTTGACCGAGGATTGGCTGAGGGCTAAACTCAAGTAGATGCAGATCAAACTCTGACTGTCATACATACATATATAGAAAGCAATATTTTACAACTAGTTTCTCATATATACTTGAAATGGAGCCGAAGCGAAATACCAACGATAACGATACATACCAAACAGCAAAACAAAGCAATTTAACAAATATGACAATTCCTTTTTTTATAAACAAAACATTTTACATTATTTATACAAAGACAAGAAAAAGATAGCAGCAAACAGTGTAAACTTATACATTTAAATGTATTTGTAATGAATTTTTATAGTGATTTTAGTTGTGCATTTAAGAAGCAAGACAAATGATCTTATAGAAGCTGTGCTTGCCAAATTTTATATATTTATTGTACAAAACAACAAAAACAAACATGACAAAGAATTCCATTTTTATATACATAATTGCATATGTAATGCTTAAATTAAAGTGTTCAATATATTAAACAATATCAAACAATACTTAAGTAGAATACGTATACATACCCTGTAATTATTGCTGATGGATATATTGAGCGAGATTATGTTTTTCTAAAGATATATTAACATCCAGGTGGTGGAGTGTTTATGCTTATGAAGTACATATATATTAATCAGGATCAAACTAGATTGATCCACATCAGCAGCGGAGTCAATCTACCTTTGTCAGTCTCTATGGGATAAGGATCAATCATCCACCCACTAAAAACGATTTTAATCTTTAGTTAAGTCTCTCAAAGTTTATTAGGAATTTCTAGTAGTGCAGTCGTTGCGCCGCTGTGTGGTGTAACATAGTGTAGCGCCCATCGCTAGGCGTGGGCGGCGGCGGTGGTGGTGGCGCCAACATATGTGCCATGGCTGCCATACCCATTTGGGTGGCTGCATTCGGTGGCGCTAAATGATGAAGTTGCAGTGCATCGTGATGATGCATGGCTGCACTGGATGGTGGTGCAGCAGCAGGATGATGGTGGTGGTAGTGATGTGACATGGGCGGTGGTGCCGGCAGTGGCAAATTTAATAAATTATTATTAACCGCATGGGTGCGGAAATGCAGACTTAAGCTATCAGCCGAATCGTAAGCTTTATCACAATCTGGACACTTGAAATGCGAATGCTCTAAGGTATCCAAGCCCACAGGATCCGTATCGATGGGCTCATCATCATCATCGTCCACAATATCATGCTCCGTACTCGATTCGAGTGGATGCAACTTGAGCTTGTGGGCACGCATGTCGCGGCGTCTGCTGAAAGACTTGCCACACACATCGCAATGATGATTTTTGATGCCAGTATGCGTTATCATGTGCTTCGACAGATCCCCAGCCGTATAGAAGGCTTTCTGGCACAACGAGCAGATCTGATCCCTAACGCCACTGTGAATCTTCTGATGCGCCTGAAAGTTGCCCAGCGCTGAGAATTGCTTCGAACAGATTTCACATTGAAATGGCTTATTCCCCGTGTGGGTTCTTTCGTGAACTTTGAGATTGTACTTCTGAGCAAAGCGCTGGGCACAATAGCTGCACGCATATGGCTTCTCGCCGGTATGTGTGCGTATGTGCTGTGTGAGCTGAGCAGCACACTTGAAGCTCTTATGACAAGTAGCCACGTAGCAGGTGTGTGGTAGCTTGGCCACTGGTTTGGGTCCACGCTTTTTGTGGCTTTCGGGTGGCTTGCGCTGGTAGCGTGAGCGCCGTTTGCTGCGCTTTATATCAGTCTGACCGTCATCCTCATCACTGGAATTCAACTGCACATGAGCAGGCATTGGTTTTATCACATTTTCCGTGTTTGTCGCCGCATCATGGCGAAAGGATTCATGCAGCCCCAAATATTGGCGCAGACGTAAGTCGCTATTCTCGCACTCCTGCTGAAAGTGGTAGGCTACTCCCAACCGATAGAGACAGTTATTGCAAATACCCGCCGGTAGGCCGTCAGTCTTATATACCTGCAAATATAGTTTTTTTTATATTTGAAATTAGTTTACTGTATAATTCTTACGCGAATCTTAGAGCACATCATTAACATTTGCGAGGGCATCATCGCAAAGTCTGTGCTGTAAATGGAAGTCAGTGGACTTGGTGCACCTTCTTCAAGACACACTCTACAAATTTTATGCACATTAAAATCCATGTTTTTAATGTTTTGGTTCTTATTTGTATGTAAACAGTTCCCACAGCTGCTGTCTGATAACCAGGGCTGGGTTAATGTGAGCTACGGCTCAATAGTCAGGGCTGGGTGTAATATGCTAATATGACATGCTAAGAACATACAATGAATTATGATACCTACAAAGTAAGCCAAAACTCATTTAAGCCATAATATTAATTAAGTCAACTTAAGCCGTACTAAAAGTAATTCAGCCCACTTAATTAATGTAGACTTAGAAAGGGTAAAATTACTGGCACAAATCACGAGCTGCATACCGTCAAGTATAAGTGCTGTAAAATATTCTTCTTTAAACACACTAAATTAACCAGTGTGACCGAACTCTGCAAACGCTGACGTGACAGTTGGTTTGTTTGATTAGGCTCTCTCTTCTCTCGCTAAGCAATCTGCTATTGCTTGCAAAATAAATAAGAACAAGTGAAATTTAATTACATATACATATATTTTATAACAATAAACCGCGAGCGTTGCCTGCATGCAAGTTCTTTGGTGCGGCGCAGGTGGTGCGGCGAGAGTGTGACGACTCGCAATTGGGATTTGGAGCACGCAGGCTGTTTGGTGAAATTTTTGTTGTTGTTGGAGCTGCAGCCCCTGCCCCCTACACACAAACACCTACACACACACATAGACACAAACCGACTTACACACATACAAAATGCTGTGTATACAATTTTAGCAGCGAATATTGAACAGACGGCAGGAATATATTTAAACTATTGTAAACAAAAGAATAAGTGCCAACTAAATTTATACGAGATCGGCACCGAAAATTATTCACAGCTGGTGAATACAAAGCTTCCAGTTGGCAGTTTATTAGCGGCGTGAGCAATGGCAACAAGTCGAAGCGAAGACGAGCAGCAGGATACTGCAGCTACTAAACAGCTGCTCCGGGAGCGTTTGCTTAACGGCGGTCACGAGGCAAAGTCGAATGGCAAAGCTGCTTCATCAATTAGCACCAACTACTATAGCTCTGGCACGTTTATGAAATTAAAAACCTATTTACTCGCCTTGCGTCCTTGGTCGCTGTCAGCCAGTCTGGTGCCCACTCTGCTTGGATCGGCTTTGGCATATCGTTCTCAATGGTCAAGCGACTTTTCTATAGTCACATTTTTTTTAACCACCTTCACTGTGGTTACGGTGCACTGTGCCGGCAATGTGGTCAATACTTATTTCGATTACATCAAAGGTATCGATAAACAAAAGGCTGACGATCGTACTTTGGTCGATCATATACTCACCAAGGATGAGGTAAGTAAATAAGCCAATACTTATAGCATCGGCTAAAATATTAGGCACTCAATTTGAATTGCTTTTATTTGTTTATTTTAGGTAGTTTCATTGGGTGCTATTTTGTATATGGCTGGCTGTGGAGGCTTTGTATTGCTCGCCGTGCTGAGTCCAGCTAAAATGGAACATTTAGCGCTCATATACTTTGGCGGCCTATCATCGAGTTTCCTCTATACGGGCGGCATTGGTTTCAAATACATTGCACTCGGAGATCTCGTTATCTTGATATTGTTCGGGCCAACGTCGGTGCTATTTGCGTTCATGTCGCAAACGGGTCACGTGGACTGGACAACAATGGGCTATGCCATACCGCTTGCACTCAATACAGAGGCCATACTGCATAGCAATAATACGCGAGATGCGGAAAGCGATGGCAAGGCGGGTATCGTTACGCTGGCCATACTCATTGGACGGACTGCCTCCCATGTTCTCTATGCCATGCTGCTCTTTACACCCTATTCGCTCTTCTTCATCTTTGGACTGAAGTATTCATTGTGGTTTCTGTTACCGTTAATAACGCTCCCACAAGCATTTCAAATCGAGAAACGCTTTCGCAACGATCAAACGATGGCTGTGGTGCCCCGACAAACGGCGAAACTGAACTTCTTCTTTGGCATACTCTATATTGTCGCCTGCTGCTGTGCCCAGCAGCTACCAACTTTTGTGTGGCGCAAAAACTAAAGCTAGGAGATAAAAGGCAACGATATTTTAAAAAAAGAAAAAGAAATAGCTGCTGCAACATTTTTAGGGAATTTCATTAGTTGTTTATTTGGATTTTAGTGAATGTGTGTATGCATATTAATTGTATTTGTATATTGTCTCAAATTTCGATGTTGCACCAATGTTGAATGCTTTTTCCTAGTCTTCTAGTCTCTAATCCTAATCCTAATTCTAATTCTAGAACTGAACATATCCCTCAAACGAAAAAGCTCAGCATGTGCTGCAGCTGAAAATCACTTTATTTATTTCACTTCAACTGAATCGTAAATTTATAGTTTATATATATACATATACTGTGTACTCTTCCTCTCGCGCGTTGGAATCATGGACCAAGATCGTGTGTGCAACAAATAATGAAATCATCTTAGATATATATATATACATGCATACATATATATTCATATATATGTATATGAAGAAGTTAATGTTACTTTATAGAAATGCTTAAAATATGCAAATAAGTTAACGCTGGCTTTGCTTTTGTGTGACAATTGTTAGCGTTTTTTACACACATACATACATATATACACCATAAACATATATATATATATAAATATATATATATATACATATATACATCTAATTAGATCATGTAAGCCCAGTGTCTAGCAGCAGGCTCAAGAGTGAGAATATATCAACACACAAATTTCAAATTTTAAAATAAAAAACAAGATATATATATATCTATATATATGTACATATATATTACAAAATGCCGATCGAAAGATTTTGAGCAACAATTGTTTTCCAAGCATAAATCACACACCTAAACAAATAGCTTTAAATAACAATAACAAACAAAACAAAAAGGTATGCACGTTGTATAGAAAAAGAAGAAAAAGCAAATGAAATATTGTTGGAATGCGCATTCTTAAAACATATTGAAAATTCAATTCAATTCAATGCAATTTGTGGAAATAACATTTGTATAATATTTGCTAAGCTGATAAATTGTTTTTCATACATATATACTTTATACTAAATATATATATATATATATATATATATATATATATATATATATATATATATATATATATATATATATATATATATATATATATATATATATACGTAGATATATTTGTATTTGTATCGTACTTTTAGTGCTTAAATCTAATTTTTATGTATGCACAATGCGAAATGCTTTTGTTGTTTGCTGAAGAACGTGCGGAATATCAAAAGGCCAATTTAAATATCAAATTAAATTGAGCAAAACTGAAATTGATCAAATTATGTGAATCGAAAGACGGTGGAAAATAACCTAACTGACAACTTTGTAGACTATATATGTAACAAAACAACCAACAAATATGAACAATAATAGTTATATGTGAGAATTAAAACATAAAAACCATTAGAGAATGTAGCAAAATATTGTGTTCAATAATGAGTAATTAAAACCCAAAAGTGGGCTTTCTGGATAATCCATTGACTGATTAGTTACTCAAGGCAGGTATGCTGACGTACAAATTGGTTAAGCTCAATGCATAGAGAAGCGTTCGTATACGAAGCATTATTTGATTTGCTTTAACTCAATATCGGTAAATTTGCACGCATAAGCATATTCTAAATATCGATAACATGTGACATATGTACAGAGCGACGTTGTGGATTGTGATATATATTGAAATACATTTATATATATCGATAGCTGTTATTTACATAGAGTGACCCGTTATGGCTTTGATGTGCCAGCAATATTTAATTTTTGCAGATTATTTTTAAAGAAAAGTTACATATGCATAAAAGTTACTCATGATCTGGACACCAGCATGGCATCGTATGGCTTCACCGCTGCTGTGGCACCCTCCAGCGGCACCTCTTCGGGCATCTGGCCAGGAATGGCAACCAACTTGAAGTGCTGCAACAGCGTTGTGGTGAACATAAACAAATTCTGTCGACCCAGTAAATCGCCCATGCAACGATGTCGTCCAAAGCCAAATGGATTAAAGGCCTCCGGCAGTTTGATTTGTCCGCCGACGAGATACCTTTCCGGATCAAACACTTCCGGTTCAGGAAAGTCAAAGCCATTGATGAGCATGCCACGGAAGCAGGCAATTACCATTGTATCCTTGGGTATCTCATAGCCGGATAGTCGTGTATCGCACATAGCGCGATGTGGAATGCCAAAGGTGTGCAGCATAAACATGCGCACCGCCTCCAATGTAATGGCCTCACAGTAAGGCATCTTGCTCCGATCCGACCATTCGGGTATGCGCTCCAGTCCGACCACATCCTTAATCTCAGCAAAAGCTCGCTCCTGTATCTCCGGCTGTCTAATCAGATGCATAAAACAAAAGCCCAAACTTTTGTTGGTCGTCTCGGAGCCAGCGAGAAACATGTCCAAGCAAATCGCAAGTAAGCTCTCATCGCTGAACATAGGATTCTCCGTATCCTTATCCTGGGCGCGCAAATAGCTGTCCATTAGATCCCGCGGCTCATCGTAATTGCGATATGATTTTCTATGCAGCTCAATCTCCTTGCTCATAAATGAGTACAAAGCTCTGTGACTCTCCACAAACCCATTGTATCCGGAAAAATCAGGAGCTATAAAGCGGAGCAGAGGAAAGTGGCTAAATAGAGCGCCCACCATGTCAATATTCTTGAACAGCTCAAAGAAAGTCTCAAGGAGCTCGGTTATTTCAGGTGAGCCGGGCTCATACCGTCTTCCACTCAGCATGCACCACAAGGTATTTAAGACATAGACACTAGTCAGATCATGCATCTCAATCCTGGCCTCCTTCCCCCCATTTGCCATGATCTTGGCTCTCAAATCCTGCAGAAGACAGCTAGCTTCATTGTGTACAATGTCCACCATGCCACTGCGTGCAAAGCCAAAGTTCTTCAAGTGCCTCAATATGAAACGTCGCTGCTCCACCCACATCTCTCCATCGGTGAGGAGAACACCCAGACGGGTATTAAATGTGCGCAGTCTATAAAAGATGCCATCGGGTCGACCATCAATGTCCTCATTCGTCATCATCTCACTGATCGCCTCATTCGTATATGCAATAACCACCTTATCCTTGCCAATTTTCAGTCCATAGTACCCATAGGGATTTACGTAGCGCCTGGCCAGCTCGTCGATCACCTTGCAGAGCATGCCCAAGCGCATGCGCAGGTGTGAGATTTGCAGAGCGCTACCCACAATCGGATACCAGTGTGGACCTAACAAGAGAAAAGGATTATAAAATATTTATACGCAAATATAGTACTTCCCAGTCGAGTAGTAATCTTAGGCACTCTTAATTATTGGTCTTTTTATTTTTAATTTTACTCACATTTTTTATTTTCAAAAAAAATAATATTTTAATCTTGAAATTTAATTTAAAATCGACTCTGACTCGGTCTCTAGTGAGTTTGCTAAAGTGTTCAAGCTCTACTTCCAATTTACGTAACTTATTCAAAACTTAACCGATTTTCAAGTTTAGTAACATTTTCAGTAAAATTTCCCGTCCTAAGATTTTGCATAAGTCTAGGGAAATTTTAATAATTTTTAATAATGCATTGAGCTGAAAACTTAACTTTTATAGATCTACTCGGGGATTTTAGTAAATATTTCCCCAATTTTCTACTATTTTCTTTACCTGGTGGGAATTTGTCAGGTTTCCTTGTGCCGCTGATAACGAACAGCAGGACAATCGTTGCAAAGAAGATGACGGCGTAAAACATTTCGTCTCTTTTGTTATTCTTGTTGTTGCAACAAAATGATGCAACATGCGATGCTGTCACTATTGGCTTTCACTTTTGTTGCAACTGTTACGTAATTCGCAATTTGCGCCCGCCTCAGCCGGTTCTGTTCCAGTGGCCGTTAAATGTTAACCGCTAACCGTTAGATGTTAACCGTTAAGCATTAAATGTTTTTCTTTTGTGTCTAACAATTGCAGTTGGGCAAGTCAAGTGGACGACTAAAGCGCAGCCTTGAGTCCAACTTTCTTTTATAGTCGCCGGGCAGCAGAAAGCTTTTCCTCATAATTTCTAACACAGCTTAAAGTTTTTGCTCCTAAAGAGAGCAATAATTCGTTTTCTTGCGATCTGTGGCCTAACAGAGTCGAGCTTTTATCTCTGAGTGACTTAGTTTCTGCATTTCCTCTTATTGACTGCTGCATCTTCTTTATAGCCTTTAGCAGAAGAGATCTTATGCTCTCAATGTATGCGCTTAACAATGAGAATCGTAGGCTAATAAACGGTTTTTGCGCTGCCTAAAGAAATAGTTTGAAATTCAATGTTTTTAACTATAATATAAATATATTTCCTGATATATTTTCTAAATATAAATAAACTCAGCTTTGGTTACTTTTGATACCCACTGAAATGTGGATATTCAGGGCTTAATGGTTTTATGATAAGGTATATAACAGACAAAAGGAGGCATGGAAGACTCTATAAGGAATATATATTATTGATCAGAATGAATAGTTGAGTTGATACTTGACATTTAATAGTGTTTGGTTTCGGAAGCATTCATTGTATATGCCTATGCATATTATAGAGTATTTACAGTAGCATCTCACAGTCTTGCATTCCCATCTCTCTCGCTCTTTCCCTCTCTTCTTTTTTGATATTGATTTCCATTTCCTTAATTTGACATTGTGCACTCGATTGGATTTCAGTGGCTTAGCCGATTGGATAAGACTTATGAAATTTTAACTATTGTCCGCTGGCGTTCGACGAGGATTGGCTATGTGACCCACTGCCATGGTCACAGCCATGCATAAAGTTCAAACATTTTTGCGCTGTTGACCGCAACATTGAAACTGGCAAAAACAAAAACAAAAACTACAAACAATAACAAACGTTGAAATGATTGAAAACAATGCCGTGCAAAGCCAAGAGGGAGGCGGAAAAACTAGTTGCCTGACCACATCCACTGAAGATGTAAGAAAAATGCATTCCTAATGCAAGCGAAAAGCAAACGAACCTGTTTTTGAGGGGGACCAAAAGAAAATTGAAGCCTGCATCTCGATTGGACGTGGATGTCTTTAGCGATTATGTCATGACTGGCTGACTGCCTGCCTCTCGATAGCGGAAAGTTGTGAGCCTTTGGGCTGGTTTAATTGTGGTCAAAAAAAGATTGTTAGTTCGTTAGCCGAATTGCATATCGTGTCGGCTTTAACCATGAAAACGCGCAACAAGGTGAGGCATTGACGCGCTGACCACGCACTCAAACGGACGCGTTTTTTAAATACCAGCAAACAGCAACTGCTATGGGAATACGGTAAGTGGACATTCAATCCTTGCCAGCTACAACTGGATATTCAGGTGAAAACTCCGCTGAACAAACGAACCACGATTGCAGTAAAACTATGTAACTGACGGAGACTTAAAGCCTGAGCACATATGCTTAAATTAGTTTAAAACTAACAAATTGTACATCAATTTGTAGTTTAAAAGTGAAAATTGCATATTGTGTAAAGAAACATAAAAGGAAGGGAAAACTTTTAAAAAATAAATGCGTTTAACTCTGTTATCAGTTCATTTTATGTGTTTGAATAAATGACTTGCACTTCACTATCGATTTCATTTATTTTATCGATATATTCGTCTTTTAAGTGCTGACTAAATCAAAGATTCTGATGCACCTATAACAAAATATCGATATCAGTAGAACAAAGAGATGGGACTCCTAAATTTAAATTTGTAGATTATACAAGAATATAACTGTAATTTAAAATTTAATTAAATGTGCTCCTCTTTGCAGTATATTTGTTTTGGCCGCCATGGGTTTAGGTGCTATGTATATGATGCATCTGTTGGCGCAGGATTGGAGCCGCATACGGCCCATACAGCAGATTTCAAATTTGGCTGGCCAAGTGGGCACCACGTTGAATCTGCAACAGTTGCCGAATTTCATTGGACAAGCGAGTTCGGCCTTTAGCTTGCAACGTGGCAAGCGATCTGCCCTGAGCCGGGACTTGGGCTGGGTGCATGGCAGACAGGATACAGGGGGTGGCAGCCATGCTGCAGTGCATCAAAGTGCCACTGACTCAATTGATTGGAAACGCATACTTGCTCGCGATCCCTTCGAGTGCTTACAGTCGCTCATCTGCCAGCTGATGTCTGGTGCCGAGGCCCATTCCGAGGAGGCGGAGCTACTTATGAACTTTATGGAATCGTCGTTAGAAATGGCGCCAGCGAAAATTGGACGCGCCTTCAGTCGAGGATTGGCGTTGCGTGGACGCAGTGATCGCTGCTACAACGAATATCCATTCTGTTTGTACTCCGCCAAGACGATGTTGCGCATCCTGCGCTGGTTCAGCCAAACAGGCAATACGCCAGTGGAGGAGCCCGAGGAAGATAAGTGAGGCTGCATTCAACAGATTTAAGAGTCGTGAATACCTCTGCAGAGAGGTTATATAACTTATGCTTTAACATATATATTTTATACAATGGTAAAACTTTTTAAGTAGTTAATAAGCTAACAGCTAACTCGTTTTTTTTTAATATTACACTGAGAGAAATTATAAAGTACCTACCGAAAGTTTACTAAATGTTTTTAATTGGATTTGGTCTGAAAATCTACTGAGTTTTCCCAAACTTTTTCTCAGTTTCGTTTGTACATACTAAGATACACTGAAAAAAATTTAATGATTATTTCGAAGCTTATCCCGAATTTTCTTCCATTTATCCAGCGAGTTTAGAATAACAGTAAACAATCTCTTGTCATTATAGAAAAAAGTTTATTTTATAACAATTTATTTTGTCATATAGATTCGGTATGCAAAAATATGTTATGTACATATATGCATTATTTTCTATACTATGAAAAACATCAAATAAAATTTGTGGAATGAAAGTTCTAATATTTAAACAGTGTTACAGTTAAATATATGTTTTGTGTAGGTACAAACTGAAGGAAACTTTCAAGTTGTTGACTGTATTTTGTGTCCTTGTGTGTGTGCTTTACATAACAAATGAGCGAGCGAACTAGTAAAAGTTTCTTTTAAAGAGCTTTCAAAAAGCTTTTTTTTAAATTGCAATTTAAATTAGCATCTGTGTTTAATACAAGGTAAAAAGTGTTTGGCTTTTACTAGTTTTGTACACCAGTGTAGAATGTATAAAAGCGTAAACTTTTAGAGAGCTTTTGTTCGAAAAATTATATATGAGAATAGATCTAAATATATATATTAATAATTTAAAATGCATTCTTTTTTAATCATCTAATTTCATTTCGAATTAGGAAATCTTTGAGACTACTCTCATAAGAAAGAGCATTTCAGAGAGCTTTCATGTAAAATAGAAAAATCTAAAGTGTTAAAATTAAATGAATTATTTGGGTTTGTTTGTTCCACAGTTTTGTACAGCTGTGTAGACTGAAGAGAGCTTTTTCGAAATCAATTAGGGTTTAGTAGGGTAAGTAAGCGAAAGCTTTCTCATTCGATTTGTGCATGAGATTCATATCAAGTATTTGAGCCCAAATCATAAATAAATTTGTTTTAGTATGTTTACGAACTAAATAAATATTGAATCAATATTCAATCAATTTTTGCTCTGCAGCGTTACGCTGGTCACATCCTTCACAATCATTTCGGCCACCTGCCAGGCGATCTCCTCTTGCACATTATCCTCCGGTAGATTGACCAGCTTACGCATTGCGTTCTTAACGCTCAGCGACCAGGCCGGCGTTTTGTTCTGTGAGGCAGCAGCATCCACAGAATCGAAATCTCGCTCGTACCGGCCCAGCGAGTTGACATGGCCAAATTTGAGTGAATTAACAGGACGTTGCCAAAGCAATTGAGGATTGGTCAACTGTCTCGAATCGATGTTCATATTGGCTGTGGTCGAGTTTGAAGATTTCAGTGGCTTGTGAGCTGTGTCAAGGCCTGCTAGTAGGGTATTATGCTGTGACAAATGCTGACAATCAGACATGGATAAAGTTTTGCGATGGCGCTGCTGATTGTTGACATTTTTTGAACGTCGTAGGCTTAGCTTGTGCTGCAGAGTCGAGCCATCTCTAACATCAGTTGCACTCTGTATGCCTGTTTTGGCTTTTAGTTCGTTAACATAATTATCAAATATGTTTGATTTAAGAAAATTAGCAAAGTGCTTTTGTTCCAAATATTTTGCTGTAACGAGTAAAGCCAGATCGAAGGCCTGAGCCAGCTGATCAGGTTCACAAATTGCCTGTTCTACGCGAAGTCGCAACTTTTGTGACATCCACAGACGACAATCTGATTGCAAAGAGAAATAACGTTCGTATATAATCATAGCATCCGATTGTGCCACGCGCTGATCATCGCAGCTCTTGCGAAAGTTGATTGCGGTGATCCAAAATTCGAGACATTCGCGCTCCTGCTGTTGCTCGAGATATTCTGTTAGATAGAATAGAGCTAGCTCGTCGTAGAGCACGTCGTATATATTAAGTGTCGCCTCTCCCTCGATTAGCTCCACACAGTATTTGCAGTAGTAGCTGCTCTGTAGGAAGCTTTGCAGATGATCCCGTTCCAGCTGCTGCAGCACATAGTCTCGCGCTTCATCGAAGCAGCTAGCGGGGATTGCCTGCTGCATCCCTTTTTCGTTATCCTTGCTACAAAGGTACAGCGAGATGTGTGCCAGGTTGACAATTGGTAACTCCACGGGCAGCGGCGCATTTACAATTAAATACTTCTGATAAATGGCTATGGCATCCTTGATGCTTGCTGCACTAATTGGCTGCAACTCTACAATCGATTTGGGTTTATTGTTCATCTGTTTATTCGTCTCCGCATAGATGCGACTCTTCTCGTCATCGGTAAGCGGCTTGCGCATAGACAAATCGCAAAGGGTTTTCATTTCAGGTACTTTGTGCTGTTCAGCTTCCAGAGGGAAGCCAACCGCAGGCGCATTTTCAGCTGCAGGCGCATTCTCCTCTTCCAGATTAGGTATTTGTGTTAATGCTGCTCGCTTAAAGTTCTCAATATCCAAATAAAATTTGATTAGGGGCAGCATATTTTGTGACTCCAAATATTGAAGAAAGTAGCTAAGGCAATCCGGTTCGTTGACAATTGCCTTTAGAGACATGGAAAGGCGCGAGCTGTAGTTGAATATAGCTGCACAGTGATAGAAAAAAGAGAAGAATCCATAGAGAAACAATCAAATAAGAGTAATAATTACAGAGCCCAAATTGCGACTGCCGGAAATGTAAGCAAAACGGATACAGCACACACGCATATAGCACACACACACTCACACACACCGCAGAGACTGTTCTCAGTCTTATTTACTCTCTGCTGGTTGTCCATGTAATACACTACCCATAAATGCATTTCTATTTTACACGCAGAAACAGCTCACACACACGTTTACCCACACACACACACAGCCCAGTTGTCATTTGTCTCATTACCTTCATCAGCAACTGCGCCCACATTAAAACTTTTGTTGCTTAAGCTAATTGCATCCGAAGTTGCGTTTGCCTCCGTCTCCTCTTCCTCCATAAACACCTCATCACAGAAACTTGTTGTGGAGCGCAGCGAATTACGTTTTTGCGCCGCTGCCACTGCTGCACAATCGACCACATCATCATCGTCAATCGTATCATTAGAGCTGCGTCGGCGGCCTGTTGAAAAAAAAAAAAAACAAAACAAAATAAGAAAATAGAAATTCGTCACACCAACAAAAACATAAACACAAATAATCCAGTTGTTTTCTTATCACTAGCTGCATGTATTATATCACTTACTCGTCTGCCTTTTGATGTACTTGAGCATTTTTACATTTTACACTATTCGTTTGATCAAAATTGGAAGTGTAATAAATCGCACAATAATAATAGAAACGCAAAAATTTGTAAATTGTCTGCACAGAGTTGTTCACCAGGGTTGTAACAGTACGTTTTTATATCGATCTATCGATATTGACTGTAGTATTGACAGTGTGTACAAACTATTATATATTAGATATAGTTTTTTTTCTGAATTGCATACACTGCGACGCAAGCAGCTGTGCGGGCAACGTTGCGTTTTTCCACACCAAATTTTCCTTTTTTGTACGCATTTTGAAGTGATTTAAATAGTTAAAAGTGAGTGAAAACACGTCGGGTCCACAAGCGGCAAACAAGGGAAGAAAGTAAAGTGCAGCAAGCAACCGTCACTGATGAGCGCTGTGGCGGCCAAAACGGGCGGCGCTGCCGGCGACAATAATAACAAAAAAAATAATAGAAATAATTACAAAAAACTGCCAACAGCCGCACTGGACGACCTAGTGCAATATGTGACACTACACGTGCGCAAACCGACGCCCATAAGTGGCGTCGTACTGCCCTTTGTGCCGCTGTATTTGACTGCCTTTTATCTATGGATCTACGTGTACAAAGGGCACGAAGAGGAGGAAGGTACAGCCGAATTGGATGACGTGCCCATAGCAAAGCAAGGGAAGGGGATTGAGGATGCAGCCTGGAGCGATATTGGTTTCATTGCTGTGGTGGCCATTGCATTTCTGCACATATTAACACTACTTTTTTGCTATTGGAGTGTCCACGTGCTGGCTTTTCTCACCTGCCGACGCGTCAAGAAGCCTGCATCAGGTGTTCTGGCAAAAGTGGTTCCTACAGCGAACAATGGCAACTCTAAAATTGTACCCATACGCAGCTTGCAACTGGAGAACGGAACGCGCCAATACTATTTGGTATTTCAGAAGACCAAATACGTTTGGGACGAGGATAAGGCGATCTTTCGGGCAGTGGAATTCCCAGTAAATAAACTGTTGAGCAGCTATGCCAGTTCTCGAGGATTGGAAACAGAACAGGCTATCAAAACGGCAATGCAAACTTACGGCAACAATGAAATGGACATGGTTGTTCCGGAATTCCACGAACTCTTTATCGAGCGTGCCACGGCACCTTTCTTCGTTTTCCAGGTGTTCTCTGTGGGTCTGTGGTGCATGGATGATTTTTGGTACTATTCACTGTTCACACTCTTCATGCTGATCGCCTTCGAGTGCACGATTGTTAAGCAACAACTGCGAAACATGTCTGAAATACGTAAAATGGGCAATAAACCATATCTGATATACGCACTAAGGCAGAATAAATGGCGGCAAATTGGAAGCGATGAACTGCTCCCAGGCGATTTGATATCCGTAACACGCTCACAGAATGATAATATTGTCCCCTGCGATGTGGTTGTGCTTCGTGGCAGTTGCATTGTCGATGAGAGCATGCTGACGGGGGAGTCGGTGCCCCAGATGAAGGAATCACTCGAATCGCTGCAGCAACTAAACACTGAGCTCGATGCTGAAGGAGAAGGAAAGCTCACGGTCCTATTTGGCGGCACCAAGGTGGTGCAGCATACGGCACCTAGCAAGGAATCGATGCGTGCTCCCGATGGCGGCTGCATTGGCTATGTTATACGCACTGGCTTTAACACTTCTCAAGGAAAACTCTTACGTACCATACTCTTTGGCGCGAATCGTGCAACGGAGAATAATGCAGAAACCTTTGCTTTTATCGCGTTTCTCATGGTTTTCGCCGTGGCAGCTGCTTCTTATGTCTGGGTCAAGGGCAGCGAGGATCCGGAACGTAATCGTTATAAACTATTTTTGGAGTGCGCTCTAATATTGACGTCGATTATACCGCCGGACTTGCCAATTGAGTTAACACTCGCTGTGAACACGTCACTCATACAATTAACAAAATTATTTGTATTCTGCACGGAACCATTTCGAATTCCGTTTGCTGGGAAAGTTCAGATTTGTTGCTTTGATAAGACTGGCACATTGACTACGGATAACCTGATGGTCGAGGGAATCGCCGGATTGTCGTCCAATGGCAAGTGTGTGCCCATTGATGAGGCTGAAGATAAGACGGTGCAGGTGCTCGCCTGCTGCCATTCGTTGGCATTGCTTGATGACGGCTTGGTGGGTGATCCACTAGAGAAGGCCGCATTGGCTGCCGTGGAGTGGAATCTAACCAAATCGGACAGTGTCATACCGAAGCGCGGAAAGTTGAAGCCTTTGCGCATTGTTCAACGTTATCATTTCTCTTCGGCTTTGAAGCGCATGTCCGTCCTGGCTGGCTATTTGTTACCCTTCTCTAATGAAATCAACTACATTGGAGCAGTCAAAGGTGCTCCAGAGGTTATTATGGGCATGCTGAAGCAAGTTCCCGAAGATTATGAAAAGGTAAAACTGAAAACTGAAATATTAGCTGAGAATGGAAAAGATAGAACTCCGTGCAATCATGAGTCTATATTCAATATCTTTTTATCTATATTTTCATCCAGATCTTTCTGTATATCTATTTGATTTTGTTTCCTTTTTAGATCTATTTGGAGTATGCTCGTCGGGGTGCACGCGTCATGGCCTTAGGAATCAAAGAGTTTGGCAACTTGGGTGGTCAGCGCATACGTGAGCTAAAACGCGAGGATGTGGAATGTGATCTAACCTTTGCTGGCTTTGTGATCATCTCCTGTCCCATGAAACCGGATTCAAAGGCTGTAATCAAAGAGCTTGTTCAGTCCTCTCATAAGGTGCTCATGATAACAGGTGACAGTCCTTTAACTGCTTGCCATGTCGCCCGTGAGCTGCGTTTCACAAACAAGAAGCTACTTATCTTGACACCTCCTCAAAATGAATTGTCTGGCACTTGGAGCTGGGTATCCATCGATGGGGATCGCATCTATCCATTGGATGATGGGAAGAGCGACAAAAACATATCAATGCTTTTGGCTGCCAACGATTTGTGCATCACCGGCGAAGGATTACTCTATCTGCAGCAGTCACATCATTCGTATATGCTCAAAGTTCTGCCCCAGGTGACGGTCTGTGCGCGATTTGCTCCCAAGCAAAAGGAATATATCATTACAACACTGAAGCAGTTGGGCTACTATACTTTGATGTGTGGCGATGGCACTAACGATGTGGGCGCTCTAAAGCATGCCCATGTGGGTGTTTCCTTGCTGACCAGCGCTCCAGTAAAACGTAAACGCACCGAAGATGAACTACGCGAAATTAATGCTGCTGCATCCGCTGCCGCAGCAGCTGCTACTGCTGCCAATCAACAATTGTCGCCACGGGAACGTGCTTTGAGAAGACGACAGGAGCATATCGATAGGACGCAGGCGCGCCTACAGAATGCTCTACGGGACATGGAGGAACAGACCATGGTGAAGCTTGGAGATGCATCCATAGCAGCGCCATTTACTAGTAAACTATCTTCGATTATGTGTGGTACGTCTGTTAACTACTTTGACCATAAAGATCTGAATAATATTCCCTTTTCTGGCTGTTAGTGAATCATATCATCAAGCAGGGTCGCTGCACGCTGGTCACTACATTGCAAATGTTCAAGATCTTGGCTTTGAATGCCCTTATTCAAGCCTATTGCCAGTCGGTACTCTATATCGATGGCGTTAAATTCAGCGATACGCAAGCCACCATGCAGGGCATATTTATAGCGGCTTGCTTTCTCTTTATCACACGCTCGAAGGTGAGCTACAGTCGGGCATGCCCTAACGAGCTAATCTCACTGACTATATTTCCCTATTCCAGCCATTGAAAACCCTCTCGAAGGTTGCCCCACTGCCCAACATATTCAATTTATATACCATATCGACTATACTTACACAATTCGCTGTGCACTTTGGCACCCTCTATTATCTGACCAGCGAAGCAACGGCACTGGCGCCTCCACGGTAAATAGGGGGAACTCCAATATAAACGCACTTGCTTTCTCAAGTCGAAGTGTCTCATCTCTAAAGCTAATTATCCATTTGTATTTCATCACAGAGTGGGCAAAGTAAAGCTGTACATTGACATGGATAACGAGGAGAAAACTAAATATGATCCAAGTATAGTTAGCAGCACGGTTTATATCATTTGTGTCTCGCTACAGGTGGCAACAATTGCTGTGAACTATAAGGTGAGTCGATGTCCGTGTTGTTGTTGAACTTCTTTTGAAAGGTTGAATATTTGTCTAACTGTAAACTAATTAAATAATCAAATTTCAGGGACATCCGTTTATGGAGAGTCTGCGTGCGAATCGAATGCTTATGTGCGCCATTGGAGCCTCTGCTGCTTTGGTGCTATTGCTCACCACAGGCGTTGTGCCCGGCTTGACACAATTCTTTGAAATCGTCGACTTTCCAGCCAATGTATGTTAAGAATCTTTATATGCATATTTTTAATTTGACATTTATGATGGTTTTATTTTCAGTTCCGTCAAACATTGCTTCTGATACTCGTTGCGGATATCGTTGGCGCCTTTGCATTGGATCGCATCTGCTCATTCCTGTTTGGGGAAACTCGTCGCAAGTCCAAAGTCCTTAACTGTTAGTAACTACTTCGTCAGCAAAATATTTAGTCACTTGCTCTCAGTTAACTAGAGACAAGACATAGCAGCAACAAAGAAAAAGTATATATATGAAGTCACTATTTCCCAGCATATTTTATACTAAATTTGTAAGTAATTTAGAAAGCTGCATAAGTATATTAAAAACTTTAAATGGGTTTTCCTGGCGTCGGTTTCTTAATTAATTTTTTTAACAAAAAAAAAATTCAAATAATGCATTTTTTTGTTCATGTATTTGTGTGCTTGATGTGTCGAACTAATAAGTATATATATATATAAGTCAATATATGCAATTAGTTCATTTGACGTAAGATTTTGTAATGATAATAAATATATACCTAATAAAATTAAACAGTATATAAATGGAAATTTAAGCGGTTTCTTGTTCCTCCAATTTCGAGTCCTCCAGCTGTTTGAATTGAATTAAAATAACCAAATATGTCGTAACAGCTGAAAAGATCTGAAAATAGTTTATGAAATATTAAAGTATCAAAGTGGACATAAGAAATTGGTCCAACCTTGAAGAGTGTTGAGTTGTCTATGGCGAAGAAACCATATGCCGTAAATTGTACCTCCTGTTTAATGCTCTTAGTTAGAAACTTGTCAATCTGTTTATATAAGTAGTTAGCTGTCTAAGTATAGATGTAGGAATTATATATATGTAGTGTAGTTACTTACGATATTTTGAAATTCCTTGCTCTTGCCGTATACGCGCGCCAATATTTGGGATGTAGTATTAGCCTACAATAGATAGAGATATTCTTGGTTTGATTAATAAATTCAATTGATTATTTGCACACACAATTATCACTGGTTCAACAGTATGAGGAATTTCGAATGTCAGTTATATCACTAAAAAGTTCATATGAATAGCTGAACTTCGTGTCGTTTATGATCAATTGAACTAAATTGTTCTTCGCTTATTGAACAAGTTCAACAAAAAGTAACCACTATCTTGCTCGCTTGATCACTGAAAAAGTTCACTAATTCATTCTTATACAATAGCTTAACGATAATCAATTGCACATCACTAATACTGAGTATCGAGTAAGGTATCGAGTAATCTTCATCGTTAGTTCGTTATTTTGATTGTTAAGCGCTTTTTGTTGAACTCTACGCACCTCGTACGTCGTTGCACCACAGCTGCGCGACAGTAGAGTTAAGAGCGAGGTGTGCAGGCAAAGCCAGGCCAAGCACCATTGCATGATGTGTGAGGAGATGACGCCCTTGTTGCTGGTGATCTGCACGAAGAGATTATACCAATTGGTGGTCACCGTATAAAAGGAGTAGCCCAGAAAGCAAACGATAATCAAACTGCAGCACTCGTTGATGCTCTTGTAAATGCGCAATAGCCGATTGTGTGTGCGATAAATGTAGAGTGAATCCTCGGGGAATTTATCCATATGCAACTGCAGCTGGCGAGGAGTCTTGCCCAACAGTCGATTGTAGGCGTATCCATTTAGCAGTTGATTCACAAACTGAAAGCGAATGCAAACGATGCGCAGCAGAGCCGAGGCAAAGACTATATAGGTGGCTGTCAAACCATTCTGTATAGCATAGAAGCCAATCAGGATGTACGTGGTGGGCGAGACAATCCCACTCAAAGCGTTAATACGTAGAAAGATTATATATGCCTGGCAGGCAGCAATAAGAACTAAAAACTTAATCGAGAAATTGCAATGGTTGCTCAGAGCAATGCCAAATTGCCGTAGCACCTCCTGGTCCAGCTTCAGGATCTCGTTCATGATTTGTATTATGCACTTTGTATTGCGTGCACACACGAAAACAGCTAAGGAAGAATGTAGAAGGATGTGTTTAGAGTGGAACACTTCCCTATTCTACTCTCAACTCACTGAGCGTATAGGTGAATATGCAGAGCAGCAGTTCGATCCATTGATTCACATTATCCGTCTCCCTTAGCGAAATGAACAGCTTAGCCGAATTGGGCGTCATTAAGCTATAGATGTTGAAGATGGTCAAGGCGTGCACCACACCTCGCACAAAGAACGAATAGAACTCATTCGTCTTGGTGGGTGGACCCAGCTCAAAGCTGGACAACTGCTCATAGATGGGCAGCAGACCACTTGCCTTCAATACGGACAGTATGGTATGAATGTCCTCGAAAACGGGATTCGATGAGATGGTAGTAGCAGGCTCTGTTGGCCTTACGAACGCCTGATGCATCGGCCTAATCCGGCGCGGATTCAATTGTGGATGCCGCAGCTCCTTATGCGATGCCATTTCAATTACCCAACTATTTGGACTCATTGCCAATGGCAAACTGTCAATAAAATATGTAATATGGCTAACTAGCTGCACATTGGTCAAGTGGAACAGCGATTGAAACGCACTCGGCCTTATCTTGATTCGAATATGAAAGCCTTATCAACACAGCTAACACAGGCGCCGGGCAAACAGGAGTCCATTAAGGTAATTATTTTGGATGTCAATGACAATTGGGATTGGAAATTCAATATCTAGCAATGTGCATTATTTATATAATATATATGTATTTATGTATACGCGAGTGGGCGTGAATGCACTCATAATTAATTGTGAGTGCATTCATAGAATTATTCAACTCAATCGAAACAAATGTAAAGATAGATAGATGAATATATTGAAAATAATTCATGGGTGCATTCATAACTAATAATGAATACATTCACTAAACATTCACAAACAATTATAAGTTTGTGAATGTTTAGTGAATGTATTCATTATTAGTTATGAATGCACCCATGAATTATTTTCAATATATTCATAAATAATTATTTGAATGCGTTTATAAAAAATGTTAATTGAATATGAATACATTCATGACTAAATAAGCAAGTATTCATGCATATAGAAAATTATCAATTTAATTTAAGCAAATAGATTCTACAAATATTTGCATCTTCTTGATTATTTATCTTATATTGATTCAAATACACTCATGAATAGGGAATTATGCTGTACAAAGACTCTGAATTCGATTGTAATATGGTATAAATATGTATAGGCATCTTAATACCTTGTATATATTCAGTCATCTTTAGCACTCACTTAAAACATGAATAGATATTCATAGTATTCATGAATGAATTTAAGTTCACTAATATAACTATTCAAACTCCGTTTATATGTATATGAATATTCATGTGTATATGATTACATATTCACACTCACCTCGGAGGCCAGGCAATCGAAGGAGCTGCATATGACTGTCATTATGGCTGTCTCTGCCAGGACCCAGGCGCAGGACAAGCCCATCGTGTCGTGCTCCTTGCGCAGTTGATCGGGCGTCGTCAACGTGGAGAAGGCCAAATAGCTCTGATTGGTCACCGTGTAGAATGAGAAGCCGAAGAAGAAAAGTAAAGCGACGCCCGTTACCGAATTTATGTTCTCCGTTATGTAACGGAATTTGCAAAGGATCTCGATAAGATTCGATAATTCACACCAATCGTCCTTAATATATTGCTCGCGATCCTTTTGCGTGAACTGCTCGAGTCGTGCATTAAGGAATTCGATTCTCAATGCCAGGCATTTGAGTACGATGCGCAGATAGATGGCAAACATGCAGGAGTAGAGCATCTGCAGGCTATAGATCCACATTAAGATGCACTGCCTCCTCACTTCAATCTCGCTCAGATAGTGTATATAATAGAAGGCGACCACCACAACGCTCGCCGAGGCGAAGATCAATAGGCTGCCCAGATATCGACAGCTATAGCTACCCGTATAGCCATGCGCCTCGAGATAGCCATCGAGCATGGAGAGGTCTCGTATGGTACGAAAGTGTTTGGAGGCATTCAAAACACTGGATATCACAATTATCGTATAACTAACGATGCAGAAGAGCGTTTCAATGGTCCTGTTGATGTCCTCCGTTTCGCCTTGCGAATGGACCATCAGCTTGTAATTCTCTGAGGCGAACAATACGTCCTGGCAGAATATAACCGAACTGACCAGCAGGATCAACGCTATAACACGTCCATAAAGTTTACCCGTCGCACTAATGCTGAAATTATCTGCCTGATTGCCATTGAAGAAGGGCAACAGGGCACACAGTTGCGTTGGCCTGGCTACGCCCTCTAAATCCTGCAGGATCTTCATGGCTACAGCTGAGGAATGCAACTATAAGTTGAAGTAGAACTGAGCTGCTGTATACCTGTGGGCCTAAGGATAAATTTATTGGCTGGCTTCAGCTCGCATTACCATCTAATGGCTCCATTACAACAAATCGTCTGCCATTATATGAACAAATACTTTCCCCATCAATGAAAACTTGACCACAATTGAAACTATTTTACTATATGGCATATATCATAAAAATCGATAAGTATCGATTGAGGTCTTTTGACATCACGGCATAATAAATAGAACTAAATCTTTGGAGATAGTGAAGAAGGTTAGAAGAGTAGCAAACAATTACAAAAATCGGAATGAAAAATTCCCAATGAAATAAAAATATTAGGAGAGCAGCTTTTCTAATCTGGTTTACAAACAAATCACTTATAAAAATATTAATTACTATAGAAAACTACGAAAAGACCTGAAATCAAATTAAATAAGAATATTTTTAATCAAATCAAAATTAATTAAACAAGAAATAGCTTACAAATCTGTTTATCTTAGATTAAGCTTAACGGCAATTTAAATTAATTAGGCAAAGCTCCCCGTCAAATTAATTAAAAACTCATAAATTTTCGTTATCCACTTTCAGCAGTCGCCATGTTGCGCTTAAATACGTGTAAATCCTGGTAAGCATTTAATATCTCTATACATAACTGCAATAACTAACCCTCAAATACGGCATGTAATTGCTGCTCGTATTATCACCCGCACACAATCATAAAACACATATTATTTGTCACACCTTGCACTCCCCCAAAACGAGGGCGCACAGAAGAGATGCGATGTAGATACGAACGCCTCGTGCCAAGTGACGGCTCGGCACATTTTTTCCACCCCTAATGAGAGCGATTGCAATGCTCAATCAATGCGGCGCGCCGGCAAAATGTTTTTTCCCATTTTTTTGCTGTCTTCCTTTTTCTGCTCTTTCTTTGGAAAAGGGGATTAACTGTGAAACTGGCACGCTGTTGCTTTGCTGCCGCTGTGCGCTGTCTGCCTCTGCTGCTGCTGCTGCGCTGCTGTCTCTACGCTGCTATTGCTTTGCTATTGCCGCTCTGCCGCTGCGCTGGCTCTGCCTCAGCCGCTGCTTGTGACGTCACGACAAGGCCGTGGTCAACGGCCAAAGGCAACAGATACAGAAACACTGTGCAAGGGGCGCAGCTCTTATCAACACATCAGCAGCAAATCAGAGCACAAAATAATCAACAAAACTAAATTAATCGAAAAATAATTAGTAAATAATTTTGTAATTTCCATTGAAATAGTCAACGCAATGTGGCGGCTGTTGCTGCTGCTGCTGCCGCTGACAGTGCTGCCCAGCCACGCCCACTATACCAGCAGTGATGTCGTCTATCATCCATTGCCCCACTTCTGGACGGGCGTCGGCTTCTGTCCAGCTGGCGATATTAATTACAAAGGCATAAGCGAGGCCCTAGAGGCGCCTTCAATGCAGCTGCATCTGCGTCTGATTGGAGCCTTGCCAATTGGGGCGATTACACACATTCGCATCCATTGGCTGTTGGAGCTGGTGCAGTTCTTGGAGTACAGCACGGAGGGTGTGCCGCAATATGATTATGAGAAGTTTGATAGATTTGTGGATATGCTGCAGGAGCTGCATCTGTCGCCCGTACTGGAATTTATGGCCAATCCTGGTGATGTGTTCACGGCGAATCCGGAACGGAACTGGTTTCTCTGGGAGAACTTTGTTAAAAGCATCATCAACCATCAATTGGGTGAGCCTGTGGATTAACTATCCACGTCTAACTAACTCTGCTAATCTCTACATTTCGCTTGCACCTTCAGCTCGTCATGGCGCTGCTCGCCTTTCCAGCTGGCGCTATGAGACCTGGAACGAACCGGATCTGCTCAATTATAATCGAATCAACTTCACTTCCGGCTCCTATTTGGAGTACGTTCAAGCTGTGAGGCGGGGACTGAGCAAAGCGGGCGGCAGGCGCAAATCCAAGCAGCTTTATCGTGCCTTGCGCGGGCCCGCAGGCCTCTTCAAGTCGGAGCAACGTCATCCGCTTTGCTGGGAGCTGCTCGAAGTGTGCAATCAGCAGCTGGCCAAGTGCCCCATCGATATACTCAGCTATCATCGCAAGGGTATCGATGGGAGCGCCACAGAGATTCTAAATGGTTCTCTAGCGCTGCTCACAAAGATCTACCATGACTATCCGCAGCTGCAGCAGCTGCCGGTGGCCAATGAGTGAGTGCAGCCAAATTCCAATCTTCTGCAGCTTCAATTATCTGTTCTTCTACTTGCAGCGAGGCAGATCCCATTGCTGGCTGGGACACGCCACGCGACTTCCAGTCGGATGTGCGTTATGCAGCCACTTTAATTGCCACAGTCATGCAACACTGGCAGGCGAAGCTCGCCGGCGGAGTGTTGGCCCAACTGGAATCCCTTAGCCATGATAATGCATTTCTCAGCTATCACCCATACGAATTCAGTCAGCGGTGAGTAGAACTAGATCCAATTATTGGAGTTATTGCTTAAGTGCGTATGTATGGGCTATAATTCGAATGAGTCAGTAGTAAGTGCAAATAGTTATAATTCAGTTTTATTCATTATAGGAATACTAGTTCAAAATACTCTATCTGGTTCCATCTAGTTCCTAATAGTAGCATTGACTTCAACTAGTTCAAAATATTAGTACTAGTTCCAAATAGTAGGTATAGTTACAAAACAGTATTAGTTCGAACAATATATATATATATATATATATATATATATATATATATATATATATATATATATATAACAATGTATATAAATCAAATATATATTCAAGCTGGCTTATGCCATTATAATGTCATCTCTAAAAATTTTTTGCTCAACTTACATCTCCAATGCACTCATTTACTCACTGATCGAGCGCCGAAGTTAACTCCGAAAAAAAAACTCCATGAGCGAAGTGAGTGAAATTTCCATATTGAGTGAAATTTGTGCCTATAAAAGGCGCGCAGCTGCAGCCTCTGGTCAGTCTCATTTCTGGTTTTGTGGCGTTTGGTGGATAATGGAGTGCAGTTGAGTTATTTTGGTGCTGAGTGTTAGTTAATATTTAAATATTAAGTAGTATTATTAAGTTAATTTTTAAAGCATATTTAATGTAAAAATAATTCTAATGCTCTTTGTTTAAATAAGAATTAAATTTTAATGCAATGATGATCATGTTATTTATGATAACGATAATAATGAAGTTACAATAATATTAATAATGATTCAGATAATAATTGACTTAGCAATAATGATTGTTTTCAGCACCTTATTGGCGCACTTTCGCATGAATGAGACGCAGCCACCGCATTCGCAGTTTGTGCAGAAGCCTGTCTATGCGGCGCTTGGCATGTTGGCCAAGCTGGGAACACGGGCCGCCGACCTGGAGCTGGTCAACATGGATAGCAAGCATAGTGTGCAGGTGTTGCGCAGCATCTCGGGCAACGGCGTGGCCCAGTATATGGCCACCATATTCCTCAGCCCCGAGCAGGCGGGTCCACAGCTAACGGCCTATCATCACAAATACACTCTCAATATGTCCATTGCCAATGAATCGGCCTTCATTACCGAGCTGCTGGTGCCGCATAGCACCGATCCCGTCCAGGTGTGGCAACAGGCAGGCAGCCCAGCTTATCCAAACGCTACATTAAGGGAGGCTATGCGAAGGGTGCAAACACCTAGGCTCTACGAAACGGGCCCCATTTGGCAGTACAATAGCGAACTGGTTGTCAACTCCGCCCACCTGCCGCTACCTTGGCTGATGCTGTTGCGTGTCTGTTCGGCAGCCTGGCCGAAGTTGAAGCGGCCCCAACAATTGGAGATCCTAGAAGTGACAAAGAGTGAGGTGTTCATCAGGTGGAGCGAACAGACGCGATCCACTCAATGCCAGAAGAGCTACGAGGTCTGGTTTAGGGAGCGTGCCGGCTCCGATTGGCTGCACATCTCCCAGGGCTGGCATTTGCCCTATCCATCTTTCCAGTATGCGCCAGGCGGGAATAGCAGCGTGAATGGTACATATATTTATACTACTTATACGATCTATAGATAATTTGATGTTTCCTATTGCAGGTTTCTACAAGGTGCGCGGCGTCGATGTTTTCAATGAGCGCAGCGCCTTCTCGCAAATAGTCGAATATCTGGAGTTATAATTTAGCAAACAACTTTAACAAGACATTTACATATATATAGTAATAACATATCGTGCATATATTAGTTGAAACATAATCAGGCTTTGCTTGGCCGCAAGGCGCGCGCTGTTCTATCCAACAAAAATTTCTCTTCTACTTTTGGCTAAGAACTGTTTACAAGGAGCTCCGAAAAGTTGCCGATCTGACAAAATATATAAATTATGTGTGATTGAAACTAATTTATATATATTTTTATTTTTCCAAAGTTCAATATATCAATTTACTTCCCTTTATTCAATTAAAATAAATTAATATTTGTATTTTGTTCTATATTCATTAGAAGTTTAACAATATTTAAATTTTTAATTTTTTTTTTCAAATATTTCATATAAAAGACGGCGATTTTTCTGACAACCCTCGTACAAATTTGGGGCACAACAATTTTCTTCAGAGCAGCGACTGCGCCTTGATCCATATACAAATATCTCATATACATAAAAGATTTATACAAATATATATATATATATGTATGTATGTATATACATATATAGTACATAACGTGTGTGTGTGTAAGCAGTAAACACATCAAACTTTTGTTGTTGCATTAAAGTACAAGATATTATATATATATATATATAGAAATATGACCAGTCGTTTGTGTGATGATCTTATAATGGGAGAAATCCAGTTTCGGCTGTGCTCAGGCTTCGGCATCAAGGACTAGCCACTTCTCATCGATGTGCTCCATTTGTTTAGTCAATATGGGATTACGTACACGCACCTTGATCTCCAGCTTGCCGCCCACCTGTTTGCGACCATCCATTAGCTAAACATAAAGAAGATCAACTATAGTTTAAAGGTATATCTCTATACATGTTAAGGTCAACTTACATCGTAGGTATCGTGTATATCACACTTGGTTTCCAGCTGCTGCAGCTTCACATTTACTGTGCCAATCAATATATCGGATCGTAGAAATCCTCTGAAACAACATATGGGCAGTTTACGACTTAGTCCACAACAATCAATACTGCAGCTATTATTTTATTTATGTTTTTTTTTTGTTTTGTTTAGCATTGAGCGTAGCATTGAGCGCGTTTTGGAATGGAATTTGTGGCGTAAGAATTCGTAAAACATAATTTTTTGTATTAAAAATCATTTGATTTATGGATTTTCAATGTATTGAAACAATGGAAATGTGGAAAGCAGACTCAAAACTAGGCAAAGCTCTACGAAATTAATAAAAATGATAAATATCTAAATCAACTTATTTTCTGCTTCTAATAAACAACATTCTCTAACGGCATTTTAAATTGATGGTTAACACCTGTAGAGCGCTCTTTCTATTATTAACAGCAACCGTTATTCTTTAGCAGTTGCTGTTAGAAACTTACATTAGCTTGGCAATTGCGCCAGGATAATGTGCACAAAAATGCGCACAAATATACCGAAAAAAATTTGTGAAAAGTCACTCTAATTAGAATTTGTTAACATGAAAATAAAATCCAATTTGAATGATAACTTGCTAATAAGTGCTAATCAATGCAAATTCATATAGGGGGAAATACTAAGCCTAAATACCGTATATAACTCGAAATATACCAAAGTGAAAAAAATACTAAAAGTTGGCGGGTCAATTGAACGTCTTCAACTCAAAAATGTATTTTTTATTATATTAAATTGAATTGTAACTTGATTATTAAATATAAATGTATAACACCATATTTGATTTCTATAGGCGAATCTCAATACGTGAAAAATTTTAATTCTACTACAAATAATTGTTCGCATTAAAGAACTACTGATTGCAAATTTAGACGGCATGAGAAGATTTACAGCATTCAAAATATACAGGAGTTTGTCTAAATATCTAGGATTTATCATAGCTATAGCTTTAAGCCCACATTTGGAGTATATGTATACTATTAGAGAATGTCGCGTGCAAGTTATTTTCGACGCAGTTCAATGAGTTTCTACTTGGTTTATTCTCTCTTCACCTTGGTTAATTGATAAGCAAATGCGTTAGGCATTAGTACGATTTAATAGTTATTATATAGTGCTCAATATTATGCTTGATGTTAACAACTGAAAGCTCTCAAACTTACCCTCTCGAGTAGATCTCGAATTTGACGCCATGTCTTCTGAAGATACGTTGAAATTGACGATTGCCGCGCTGGATATCCACCTTAAAGCGCTCGTCGTAGTCGGGACTGTCCGTATCCTTGATCACATTCGTTTTCGTTCTGAAGGCTTCATCCTGCAGCAGCAGAAAAAAAGGTATTAAAAAGCGACAATCAGAAATATCTCAAAATTTACATTCAATAACGGAAATTCAACGCGAACATAGGTGTCCACATCCTTGGGATTGGCCACGTTGTAGTTGATGCCCCGCACAACAACAATTTCTAGTTCGTTGTCCGTCAGATCCGTGTTGCAATGGACAATGTTAAAGGAACGTTTCTCATAATGGAATTTCGGCAGTGTTTGATTCTTGCGCTTCGAATAGCGCACCAAATCCAAATCCTTTTGCACGGTCAATGCGAGATTCTCAAATCGATTCATGCCGGCTATGTCGCCCATGGCTTTGTGATGGTCTCGTGTATTCTTGCACATCATCAGCTGCTTGGCCAGCTGCTCCTCGATGCGCACACCAATCTCGCATATGTCATCATTTGGATCACAGTCTTCGGTTGAGACAATGGCAAAGGATGCTTCCAAGTTGTCGCGTTGAGAGGGTGGAACAGGCAGCTATAAATATAACAACATATAAAAATATTATCAAAGGATTAATTGAATCTTGCTCGACTTGCCGTGCTGAGATCCACGGGCAGGCCGCTGCTCGCCGCATTTAGCAGTGAATCGAATCCTTTGAAGATCTTAAGATATTCCTTGGCCTGATCGATCTCACCCGCTTTCTTTGCAGCTAGGGCCGCCACTTTGAACTCCTTTTGGCGCTCCAGCAACAATTTCATTTGCTGCTCGGCTAGATTACTTTTCTGATGATTGCCGGAGGTGCGTGTGGTTAACTCCTTTGGCTGTGGAGGCGTTGGCGCTTTTCTTGCCACTGTGGGCGTAGCTGCGGCTGAGCTGCCAGGTGTGGTGCTTGCTGTGGCAGGCGATGTTGGGGGTGTTGGATCAGGTGGAGTTGCAGCTGTGGCTGCAGCAGGTGCTGATTCACCTGTGGGCAATGGTCCAAATCCTGGCGGCACTGGCAGCTCCTCATAAGCCACAGGTCGGCCAGCCTTGTATTGCTTTATTGCATCCTCGTACTGCTTGACAATGCGTCCAAACCGACGCGCTTTGCTTGTATTATTCTCTGCTTTGGCAGCCTCCTCCACAGACTTGTATTTGGCCAAACGTTGCTGCAGTGCCTCCAGCATTGTTGTGGCTTCAGCTGCAGCGGCTGGCGGAGCAGCAGGAGTTGCAGCTGGAGTAGGCTCTGGCTCGGATTCTGGTGCTGCTGCTGCTGCTGCTGCTGCTGCTCCCTCCTGCATTTTGGCCATAAATGCTAGAAACTCCCCAGGCGGCGGCGGCATATCACTTAGATCTACCTCCTGGCCATCTTCACACATCTTCACCACCACATCGAACTGCTTGACCACGCCCAGAAACTGTTTTGCAGCAGCTATGTCTCCACTGCGCTTGGCCTGCAATGCAGCTGCCTTGTATTCGCTTTGTCGACTGCGCATTTGAGAGACCAGAGGATTTGCGGGCGCGTCAGATGCAGTTGCCACTGAAGCTGGAGGCGTGGTCGGCGTGGGTAGCGCTGGAGCGGCACGTGTGGGCAGCTTTGGTTGCTCTGGTTCCTCTGGTTGGGCTTCGGTTGCAGCAACTGCCGTTCCTCCCTCTCCGCCCACTGGCTTCACGCTCACCTCTGGTGGAATGTCATCGACATTGATGCTTTTGCCTGCTGCCGACTGTTTCAGCAAATCCTGCAACGTTTTCAAACCTCTGGCAAAGCGTCGAGCTTTTCCAGATTCACCGGCAGCCTTGGCATTCGCCTCAGCTTGTTTATACATATCCAATCGCTGTTTGATGATGGACAATGTATCAACTGTAGTAGTAGGCAAAAACGTCTGCACGGGCTCTGCTTCCTCAGAAGCTGCTGCAGTCGGAGTTGGCTGTTCCTCCACCTCTTCCTCCACGCCTGTTATGCCATGCAGTTCACCAAGTAAGTCGCTATCGTTCTCTAATGCCTCATCATCATCATCATCGCTGACATCACGCAAGCTATCCGCAATCATTTTATCTAAATCGCTGCTGGGCAATAATTTCGGCTTGGACTTTGCTTTGGGCTTTGGGCCACCGCCCCCGGTAATAGCCGCCAGCTCAGCCTCCAAATCGCTATCACCTCCATCATCATCTCCATAGCCAGCGCTTGGATCAAAGTCATCTGGAATTTCCGTCAAACCGAACTATAAATGCAAAAGGAGAGGAGAGGGAAGTCCATGACTCATATTTGTAAATAGACAAATTGTTGGTGTTTGTCTTAGTTTCATACCTGTGATAAATCGTGCTGTCGGCGCTTAGGTTGCTCTGGCCTTTTGCGTGAGAACATGTTTACCTAACTTATATATGTAACACTAAATCTATAACTTCCTTAGGCACTGAAAATCTTTGTTTAAAAATTTAAACACTGAATTGCGTTGCAATCGCCTAGACGGACAATAACAAACTTCGCTGTTATCGATGTTATTGATAGGGGTGGACGATGGACGTACCCAAAAATAATTTGAATATCAATTCGATCACATGTCTCGCGGCTTGATACAAGTTCACCCAATTGAACATACAATATTTATTATTATATTTTGAAACCTATATTACGAAGTTTTAAGTGAGATTTGCTATTGTTCACACAGACACAATAAAATATGGTCATATACACCAATAAAGAATAATCGAATAGCTCATCTAATCAGATTGCAGAATGTGTTCTGCTTGGCATTTCGTGTAAACCTTAAGTAATCGTTACTGTTGATTAGTCACGGGTACACACTTATCGACCATCTTCAGCTGCTATCGATGATAGTGCCACCACAGTGCACAACAGTTTGCGAAAATTTCGTGTAAAATTTACTATTGATTAGACAAATTTGAGCCGTTGAAATAAGACCAATTGGCAAATTGAAGAAATTTCGCTGCCAAAGCCTTGCGGCATGCATTAAATGTGTGAACAAAATTAGCTGGCGCAAGCTAAAGCAAAACGTTGCTGCTGCTGTTGGATTTTGCTGTTCGAATCGTCTTTCAATTTGGAGCCCCGTTTTTCCACCTACGCTGACGCGACGTCAAACGAAGCCGAAGCGCAAAGTGGGGGGAGGCACAGCACAGCTGAGCTAGCAGTAAAGCTGATATATAAACAAATAGAATTGTTGCCTGGCCTGGGGCGTGGCTAGCTTGATACCAAATAGTAATAAGACCCTCAACAAGTTGTTTGACGATGGAGGAGGTAACACTCACAGAGCCCGAGACACGTTTCTATAGTGAGCTGTTTCAATGCTGTGATGTGGAAAGCAGCAGTAAGGTGCCCATGTTAAAGGCAACTGAACTCTTTCGCTCTGCGGACATTGCCAACGAGACAGTCATTGAGGTAGGTCCAATAAATTGTTTGTTTGATGTCTTAATTAATGTGTATATATTGTTTAATAGATCACGGCTTTGGCTGGCATTCCTTCCACTGCTTTGCACATCTCTCGTGCTCAGTTTTATTCATGCCTTAAGCTAATTGCCGCTCACCAAGCGGCTGTGCCATTGCGTCAGGAGCTTATAGCAGCCACTGTGCCATTGCCCTTGCCGCATTTTGGGTGGAAAGAAGCGGCAACAACTTCAACGATTGCCTGTGAGAATGGTTTGGGTGCCTTGCCGCCGCCTCCTACAAATGATCGCCGCAATTCGCTGCGTCGCAATTCTCAGCAGCAACAACATCAACAGCAGCTGGAGCAGCTGCAGGATACATCGGATGTGCCAAGCACTGATTCTGAAGTGGAGCAAAACGAATCTAGCTGCGGCGGCGATTTCGATGAGCTGGCCAATGCGGAGGCTGTTGGTGTCGTCAGCAGCAGCAGCAGCCGCGAACCTGTACGTATAGCTTATCTGTTATCTTATCTTATATATCTTAAATATAAATATCATATTTATCTAATCACAGCGTCGACGTGGCTCACCGGAAGCGTGGAGTACAAATAGTGACAGTCCAACGCCCACAAACAGTGTCGCAGAGCGTCCTTGGGCGCAGGATACGCTGTGGCAAGGATTGCTAGGAGATGAGCACCGCCAGCTGCTGGGCACCGAGGAGGAATCTTCCGATCGTCATAGCAGCGATGATGAGGACAACGAAAGTGAATTGATTACTCTATATCAAATCACTCCGGAACAGCGCGAATATTATAATAAACAATTTAGAGCGGTACAACGAGATCCGCATGGCCTGCTATCCGGGCAGGCAGCGCGGTAAGCTTTGATATCTCTATGTAATCAAGTAATGTTATCTTATTCTTTGTTTTGCAGCAATTTCTTTGAGAAGAGTCGCATACCCGTTGAGGAGCTGCGTCACATTTGGCAGCTGTGCGATGTGACGCGTGATGGAGCTCTTAGTCTATCCGAATTTACGGCTGCTATGCATCTCGTTGTCCTCCGTCGCAATAATATACCATTGCCTAGCAGTTTACCCCATTGTTTGCATCCGAATGTGCTGGCCAAATCGACAACGACAAATGCTTCTACATCATCAACCATACCTCAAGAGCCGCCTGAGGCTGATCTCCTGCATTTGAATGATGACGACGACGATGAGCACACAGACAATACAATCATTAGCAGCACACAGCAGCAACAGCAGCCCAAGCCACGTCTCAATGATAAAAACATTATGAATTTGAGCAGCATTTCAACTTCCTCTCAAGCTAGCAACAGCAGCTCGAGACGAGAGGTGACAACGCCTGTGCTTAAGCATCGCAGCATTTCCAATTCCCCAAATGTGGAAAAGTCAACAGCAACAGCAGCAGCAAGTGGAGCAGGCGGTGCTGTTAGCTCAACGAACGATGCCAGTCAATGGACGAAATTTAGCGAATCTCCCACAACGAACGCCACAGCCACGGCCAGCGGAGCAAATGCAACAACTGGAGCTGCAGCTAATGCTGCTACGGGTGCTGGCGTACCTGCCCCTACTGCCGTTTCTAGTCCCGGTTTAAAACCAGCTCTGTTTGATATGAAACGCACTGCCCAGGATGTGGGCTCCAATCCTCAAATCTTGCATCCTGTGCCTCTACGTGTGACACCCATAGGTACATTATCTAATAGATCCATATATATATATATATTTACAGATTTGCATTTGTTTATCTATTATATTATCTGCTTTGTAGGCACAGCCATTGCGTCTTCAGGCGATCCATCAGGTCAACAGTCCATTGCCGATGTGGAAGGTGTTGTCGTGTTGCGCGAGGACAGCCCCAAAGCCATAGCAACCACAACAACATTAACAACAGCAACAATGTCATCATCAACAACATCAACTACAAGCAACACACATAACATTCAAAGGGAAAGCAACGATCTTCGCGCCATTCAAAGACCGCAAGCAAAGAAGCTGCCAGCAAAGAATAATATTGGCGCTCTGCCGCCGCCGCCGCAAAGAGAGCCAAGTATTGGCTCCCTTGGTCTCAGTGAGCCACCAGACCAGGCGACGCCATTGCCACCGTCTAGCTATGCAACGAGCTCCACATCATCTGTCAAGAAGGAGCCACCGCCTTTGCCGCCGCCACGCCCTCATCGTCATGCACGCAGTAGCAGTTTAGATTTGAATAAGTTCAAAATTGGTGCAGCTGGTGCCCAACAGCCTGAGGTGAGTCAAGTCATTTTAATGAATCGAACTATATATGTATATGTGTATGTTGTTTGTCTGTTGTCCAGTACGAAATCATGTCCCATAAACTGTTTAAACGTTGTGTTCCAATTACTAATAGCTAGTTAACAGCTATTGACAGTCTTAGGCACAAACCATGTTATACGACTGTTAATATGTCTCGTCTGTTGTTTAACATGCCATTGAAATACTGTTTATCCGCGCTTAACTGAACACATTTAATGTTTATTAAGCATTGCAGCCAATTTAACAGACATTCAAATGTTAGTGTTCTGTGCTCACTTTTACTTAACATTAGGTTAACAGCATTTGACACTTGAAAATTACAGAGAATGTTAACTCTTTTAGCATTACATTTAATATAAGAAGTTTTCATTAATCTCACTTTGCGGGTGTTTCACATGGTATTGCCTTTCTCTTTCCCTCGTTCTCTCTCTCTCTCTCTCACTTTTTTCTTTGTTTTTGAAAAGCGATAATTAAAAGTTAATTTTTAAACAAGTTTTTCAAAAGTCTCGTGTTTCTTAACAAATATTTTCAGTTTTTAACACAGTGTGCACTCAAATAGAAAACTGCTAAAACAAAAAAAAATTATAAAAAAATCAAAATAATCAAAATCAAATATAATTCCGAGAATTGAGAAATCAAATATAGAAAAACAAACAAACAAATATATTTTTTTATATATGATTTTGTAGCTTTATATTTTCTTTAGCGAGTACACACTGTATTGCGAATCATTTGATTCTGCGATAATATAAAACTGTTTCGGTACACCGAATTATATTTATTTATAGCTCAAAGCTCAAATTTGTTTGTGAGAGACGTCTGCCCATAGTACACACATATATTAATTTCTTTATTCACGTATTTTTGTAAACAATCTGTAATATATATACATATATTATATATAAACCCCCAACTTTAATTAAGATAACCGCGCAAGCCAGCTTCGATATGCAAACCTCAACGGGTTTTGCCGATTTCACGCACTTTGCCGACGATGCGAATGTTGTAAGTGTTTCACATAAAGATACATAATCTATCTCGATATATAACTTGAATGAAATTCACAAATGCATTCACAATTGGCCGTAGCTTTTTACTACTGTATTTATGCATCCCAAAATTCAAGTAGCTTTTGCCCAACGGCTTAACAAACTAAACTAATACACTATACACTTGCAGCTGGATGCCAGCAACAACAGCAGCAACAACAACAACAACAACAGCAGCGGCAGCAGCAGTAGCAACAACAATAGTGCCACAGCAACAGTTGCTGGTGCTGCTGAGCAGCAGCTGCATTCGCTGCCACCTGCACCACCGCCGCCCGCTTTTGTGCCGCCTATTACAGCGCGCATCACGTTGCAGACGCAACAACGCATTTCAGCTTTTGAAGTTTATCGCAAGCCACAGACCCCGGCGCCGATAGCAGGAACAGTAGCTGCTGCTGCTGCAGCTGTTGCTGGACCGGCAACAGCAACAGTTGCTGGCCAGCTACCAAGCGCGGAGAGCTTTGAGAAGCGTGTAACAGCAATTACCGATTCATTGCGTCATGTGTCCTTCAAGCAGAATCAAACGAGCACCACGGAGCTCTTGCAGCGTCTACGTGAGCAGAACAGTTCGTTGCTGCACCTGTGCAACGATTTGAGCGACGAGCTGCTGAGCGTGCAGACACGCAAGGAGGAGATGCGTCTTAAGCTGGAGAGTTTGACAGCTGCAAGTGGAGCAGCAGCGGGAACAACTGCATCCGAAATGGATGTTAGCACACGGGCCGGCTCCTCAATATCAGCGCCAATGACGGCGAATGTGACGGGCGGCTCGTCCGGCTCAACGGGTGCCTATACGAATGTTTAAATAAGCAGCCGATTTTATTGTTGTTTCTATTTGTTGCAAAGAGAATAAGAAGAAGAAGAAAAAACAAAACATGTGAATTTCGCAGCTTAAGTTTTTATTGTTTTGCTATTTAATTGTAGGCTAGTTAAATCTCAAAAATCATGCAAACATCTTTGTCAAGCAACAATAACAATAATAACGCCTCTTATAGAATACATACATATACATACATATTTATGCAGATTAAATTTATGTATACTTCTCTTTAGCGCACACAAAGCTAATTGAACTAATTGTTAAAAAATAAATGTGTAAATGTAAATGAAAGAAAGAAAACGAAAAACCTAAAAAAGAAACTCTGCACCCTAGTTGAAAGGCGATCACCAAGTGGCGTCGAATGCATTTGAAAATTGCAAAACTGATTGAACATTTCTTTTTGGCTGATTATAAATACAATTTCAATCTTATATTTAGTTTGTCCGAAGGCAATATATCATTATTTATTAACTAATTCAGTTTTGCACAACTCGAAAAGCGAAAAGAAATCCTGATTCTCGACCTTCTCATTCATTCCGGCAATGAAAAACAAAATTATGTAATGATAATGTGCAAAAAGTTGTAACTTTTCGTAAGCCAGGCTTAATTGTTTAAGTATTTAAAAAAAAGTTAAAAACAAAAACAAAAAAAAAAACTAAGAAGTATAAATATGTAACCAATTTAATTTCCTTGAAAGCTTAGCTTAGTTAAGATCTTTTTTTGCAAAACCTATTTTCTACGTATACACAAATTGATATTATGTAAATTTTGATCACAATTTCTTTAGCAATTGTATAAAAAAAACAACAACTGAAACTAATTCAAGATTTATTTAATTTACCGGACCACTCAAGTATGCGAACTTCGAATTTATAAGATGATAAATACGAGTCTATCATCATTTGAATCTGCGCTCGCGGATTTTCTTTTGCATACTTCAACTATTAAATATATAAATTTATATATAAATATATCAAGAAATGTATATTATTTCTCTTGTCATCAAACAAAATAAATCTTCAATTTGTTAATCATTTTCAAAAATTTACAATCTACAAAAATTGAATGCAGTGTTAAAAACAAAAATATAAGACAAACAAAAACATAAAGTGATATTAAGCACTATGTAAACATATTGTTACGTTGCAACGTAATGAATGCGTATTGTTTTGAGGGATATACATCTACATATATAATAATAAATGTATTAAGTTGATGTTACAAATGCTAAAAAAGGCAATAAATAATATGCTGTAAAGGCAACATAATAATATTTTAAATTATTTTATAATTAGCGCCACATTAAATGCAACCCTGTCTCCGTTTTGCGATAACAGACGCATGGCTGTTATCGATTGTGCTTTGTACACCGCTACACATCTCTAACGCTTTGCGGCATTGGAGCAAATTTTCGCAAAATTTGCGATACAATTTGTACGTGTGAATTTGTTAACAAATTGATTGTTTAAATGGTGTAAATAGCATTAAACATTTTGCTCCGTGCGTGCTTCATATATGTGATCAACTTTTGCACGACCTGCGAAAGTATCAAACGTAGCAAGCACTAGATTGAAAAACTGCTGCTCAAGTGCAGGTTAGTTTACGTTTACATCGATACACAATGGGGAAAAAGTGCTTTAAAAAATGTTAACATATATAATGATCTATTCTTATTTAGTAAAGTGTAACCGTCAATGTTAATCGCGCTCTTTGCGCTTGCACATTTGCCAATCTTTCGTAAGCCATTGCAATCATCATCAAGGTGTGGCAAAGGCAAAAGCAACACAACAATAGCAGCAACAACAGCAGACAACGCTCACTTAACGGCATTAACAAGTAACTGTAATTTACAGACAACTGGAACAAGTATTCTAATTGGAACCCGCCTCAATATGAGCAACAGCAACGACCAGGATAAAGGAGCACCAGAGGCAGTCGGCACTATCGTAGCTGCCAATGGCAATCAAACAGATGCGAAGAAAATTGAAATAATGTATGTTCTCTTTACTTTAATCACTTTTACCATTATTTTCAATGTTTCCTTATAACAGCAATTTTAAACCTTTTGATAAGCAATGCTGCTATAGCATCAAAACGAATCATACAAAAGTTTACGGCTGTGGTGGCGCTCATACACGCGGATCCTCCAAGGTGAAGCTCAAGAATGTCGTTGACTACAAGTGGGAACATAAATACTATTATCCGGGTCATTTGGTGGCCGTACATCGTGATGGAAAGCACCTGGCTTATGCGATCAATGGTTAGTGATAGATTTAGCTAAAAGAAATAATATTACCAAATCTTTTTCTAGTTAACAACAAAGCCACCGGCATGGAGGGCATGGTGCGCGTGTGCAACACAAGTACCAGCCAGCGGGCACTCATCAAAGGCATGAATGGCGAGGTCTTGGATCTACAATTTGCACATACCGAAAGGGAGCGTATCCTAGCGGTCATTGATATGTGTTCGCTGTTTGTGTATAAAATCGATCTAATCGATAGTAATTTAATATGCAAACTTGTGTTGAAAGTGGATGATCCCATTGTGAACTATGTGCCCGAATATGATATGGTCTCGTGGTGTCCCTATGTAACCAACAGTAACAACAGCAATAATAATACTAGTGGAAACACTGCTAGTGGCCATGAAGAGGATGATGAGAATCAGCTACTGATTTGGTCACGCAGCAAACAATTTCAGTGCTTCAATGTTAGAATGATTATATCAGAGTATGGTGTAAGTAAAGAAAGTCCCAAACGCAAATGTCTGCCTTGTTGCTTATCGTTTACATATAATTGTTTGGCCTATTTCTTCTCTGATTTAATTGTGTAGCGCGGACAGATTCAACCTTCGTCTCTGGAGACAGGCTATTTAAAGATAGAGGAAGATACGTTAATAACCTGTGCTGCTTTATCGCCTGATGGCACTACCGTTGCGGCTGCTTGTTTGGATGGCTTGGTGCGGTTCTATCAAATTTATTTGTATGACGTGCGCAATCATCGTTGCCTGCACGAATGGAAACCGCACGATGGCAAGCCGGTGGCTTCACTGTTCTTTCTAGATAATATAAACAAACCTGTGGAAGAGTAAGCTCTCATTAATATTTAAGTGTTGATAAATAGTAATGTTTGCTTTTTTACAGTGCCTATTGGCAGTATGTAATTACCACCAGCGATCATAACACAGAGATCAAGTTGTGGAATTGCTCTCTATGGGAGTGCTTGCAAACGATTAATGTTATGGCCTCGGTACCGCCGACTGTACAGCCAGGCATGTTTATAGCTGGTATAGATCGCAGTGCCAACTATTTGGTTATATCCAGTCTGGATGCTTTGGCTGTATATGTCATGCAAATCAGCAGCTGTGGCGGCAATGAACAAGTCAGCGATAGTGGAGATTCCGAGAATGGCTGTGATGCTCATGATTCGAGCAGCAGTAATGCGGGCAGCAACGATTTAACAATACGCATACAAAATATAGCCGAGTTTAAATTAAGCTCAGGTATACTATCGTTTTCCATAGTGAATGCGAGCATGCGTCGCCTAAAGAGCACCAGTGAGAGTTATTATCCATTTGAGGAGCCCGATGATTATGATGATGAGAGTAACGCAACCACTGATGCTTTGGTGGTTCATATGTTTGTGGTGCAGGCTAAGAGTTTGCAGGAATGCCAGATTATCTATCAGCCTTGCAAGCCGACAAGAAGTTTGAATAGCAGCAAAAGCAGCGCAGCCAGCAAGAAGCGTTCGCTGACTCCGGATAAGCTTCTCCATGTGACTGAGATTAAGCAAGAACCATTGAGCACTTCTCCGAACTCGCATAACAGCAGCAGCTGTAGCGGCTCGGGCGCTGTACCACGCGATGCGCTCTTTTCCAAATCGAAACGCAATTCAGTTGGTTCGGTAGTGTCGGTTGCGATTGCTGCAGCAGCTGCCCCCTCAGCCATATTACAGGATGCTGCAACCACAAATAAATCACGTTCGGTTTCGCCACAGTATGGCAACACCTATTCGCAACTGAATCTCATGACTCCGGATGCATTTAGCGCTAGTGCAGCGAGCATTGTGCTTGTGAATCGTGAAGGAGCTGATACGAACACAACAACCACAACTGATCAATCTGCCATCAATTCTCAGGTGCTGCAAACATTGCGGATGTTAGCCACAGTGACAGCCAAGGGGACGGAGACAGCCAACACTAATCTTCTGAATCTAATCAACAATACGCATATTGAGGATCGCGAGCAACAAAAGTTGAAGGAGCAAACGGATGCACGCAAAAAGTTCATAGCCATCGATCGAAATCCGGAGCGTAATGCAGCCGAGAATTTAGCAAGTGGTGGCTCAAGTCCAAGTCGTGAAGTTCAAGAGATTATGGCAACACAAGAGGATACAGATGATTATGAACCTGAACTCGAAAATCTGGAATCGGATGAGGACAATCCATATTTTATGATTTGCAAAACGGAAAATAAGTGAGTGAGAAAAGCTAAAAGAACCATTAAGTAGACAACAAAACAATAATATATTTTATAATAATTATATGTTAAATTTTGTTTACTTCTCTTTTAGAACGGACAATGAAATAACTAATTCAGCAACGGTCGAGGAAACTGCTGCAGCATCCAATTGGCTCCCACAAGATACAAAACTGCCTACAAAGAAGTCTGCTGAATTGCAGAATGCGGCCCAAATTATGTCGCAAGCGGTGCAGCACAAGAACAATGGCAATGTACCCCCAACCCTGGGCAACAGCAACAGCAACAACAACACGACAACAACATTGAACAGCAGCAACAACAACAACAGCAGCAACTGCAGTCATAATCAAACAGCTGAGAATTCCTCAGAAGTGAATGCAAAGCTGGAACAACTCTTGGGTAATTAAAGTAAAAGTTTATTAAATGATTAAAATTTAATTGTTGATTGTTTCGATATTTTTAGAACTAGTGAAAGCGCAATCACTGCAGCTTAATAAGCTCGAGCATGAGGTCTGCAAGATGCAACAGCAACAACAGCAACAGTTGCTGCAACAACCGAACAGCAGTGCTGCGGCTGCCATGCAGCCAAAAAGCGTTAACGAGCTGGCATACAAAATCGAAATGCAATTGTCCAAACTAATGGAGCAATATCTAAAACGTTACGAGAACGAACACAAAAAGAAACTAACCGAGTTTTTGCACGCGCGGTAAGAGAAGAGAACGTATGAGCGTGGAGTGAGAAAGAGTGAAAGATGTCCAGTAGAATGGATTTTTGATAAGCAGTGAAATATCTTTGTAAATGAAAGAAAAGGAAGGTGATTTAGCGTTAGCAAATTGATTGTGAATTGCATCGAGAGATACGAGCAGAGTGCGAGCGGTACTAGAACCGTTTGAGAATAATCTAGGGTGAGGGTAGTCTACAACTTCAACGTCTGAAATTTTGAAATTTTTCGAAGCAGAGCGTATGAGATACTTTATAAGTTTAATGATATCTTAGAGATACATTTTTAGAGTGATTTACGTAAGACTTATGATCAAGATTTAGTGATGGATAGATACTCTGTACTGCATATTTGTAGGACTTAAGTATTACTCTTATACTATTATATCTTTTCATTTATTTCTCTTCTTATATCGCTACACAAAAGTGAGACTCAAAATCGTGAGCTGCGTGATTCGGTGCTGCAAGTGCTTAATCAATATGTTATGAATCACTTTACGGACATTATTGGCAACGTTTTAAATATGGAGCTGCAACGGCAGCTACTGCCACGTGTCAATGCGAAAATGGATCAATTGCAGAATCAAATGCAGCTGGAAATTGTGCAAAAATTGAATGTATTTGACAAGACGGTAAAGGAAAATATAGCACAGGTGTGCAAGAGCAAGGTGAGTTATAATGTAAACTAATTTTTATATGCTTCAATAACAATAACTTTATGATTTATGATTAGCAATTCCTGGATGCCTTTGGCAAATCCGTACTCATTGGCGTACAAACAAGTCTGCAGACGGCGTTCATAGAATCAATGAGCAGCACTTTAATCCCAGCCTACGAGAAGTCATCGCAAAATATGTTCAAACAGTTGCACGAGGCATTCAGCGTGGGCATTAAAGATTGTAAGATTGCAAAATCAAATAAGTATTGATTATTTTATATAAATGTATGTATTTTCTGGAATAGTCATGGTGGAATTTAATGCGTATCTGCAACACATGCCGCAGCCACACAATGGTGAAGAGTTGAGTAATAAACTCGGCCTCTTAAAGCAACTGGTGGAGACAAATTTACTAAAACATCGTACTGAGCTAACCGATGCGATGCTGGAGACCCAGCGCGAAGTAAAAAGCTTAGAGATCTTACTTGCTCGCCAGGTGCAAGAGACCATACGCACAGAGCTGCGCAAGCATATGGATAATCAGAGTATGGCATTACGCTCGCAGGCAGCAACGCCCGCGCCCACATACGATTTGCGAGAGAGTATAAAACAATTGCTGCTCGCGAATCAAATCAATAAAGCCTTCCATCAGGCATTGCTGGCCAATGATTTGAATCTGGTGGAGTTCACACTGCGACATACGGATCGCATGCAGGTCTTTGCGCCCGAAGGTTGTCGACTCGAGCAGAAGGTTTTACTATCGCTTATACAGCAAATATCTGCGGACATGAGCAATCACAATGAGCTGAAGCAGAGGTGAAGACTTAATAGATTTATTTATCCAAATATTTAATGCTTCTTTCATGATGTTTGCAGCTACCTCAACGAAGCGTTGCTGGCCATAAATATGTCGGATCCCATCACACGTGAACATGCACCGAAGGTGCTATCTGAACTGTATCGCAATTGTCAGCTATTCATCAAGAATTGTCCCAAGAGTCCGCAATGCAGCAATGTTCGATTGCTCATTGCTATGTGCAGTGCTACATATCGTGATCAATTTAAATGATATAGCGAAATGACTGCAAATCCCATTAGTTGGCACTGACAACAACTCAAGCCCCTCACACACTCACACACACACATACACCCACACGTTTGTAGCTAAGCAGCGTTAGCATCGTGTTTAGCTCTAGCTTCAATTTAAACTCTATAAAAAAACCTTTTCCTCAATATATATATATATATCCTTATTGTCGTAAGCTGAAAGTTTTAGCCACAATTTTTTCATATTTCGTTACTATTTGTTTGTGTGCGTGTCTTTGTTTACTTTTTAATTTTTATATATACATATATTTAGATCTTAAATCATGTTCTTTATGTTTTCAAAAAAAAAAAAATTAATAATAATATATATATATATAAAGATGAGAGATGAAAATTGAGGAACGTACGTGATCAACAAATTGCAATAAGTTTATCCTTTTCTGATATATAATTTTTTTAAATATTGAGTATTTTTCGTTGCGCGCTTTCATTTTCCATTTATCATGACGCTTATCGAAGAGTTAAATACATGCTAGAAAGCAGAGCTATAGAATTAAAATTTTTAAATCTACATATTTTTCAAAAAACAAAACGGACTTTCTAAAGAGAGGGACGAATAATTACGATGATTTCTAAACAAACATATATTCAGAACTACAAATAAATGCGTAAATATTAAGCTAAGCGTAAAAACAAAACAAACAAATTTAATAAGAGTAAAAATTTAATATATATGTATTTGAAAAACAAAACAAAAAAACTAATAAATAATTATTGCATCCGGACATTGAACGTTTTCGCAATTGTTTAAACAAGCTAAATGCAAATGTTTTTACTATTTTTAAGAAATATATGGGTATCTTTATGGATTTTTGTGTCGATCTTGTGATGCTTTCGATTTTTAAATCTGTCGATTTTTTTGGAATTATAAATGGGTTCCTATTATAGAATTTAGTAAGAGTATATAGACTTAATATATATTTCTTAAGATCATCTATGCAAATGTTACAAAATGTCTTGGAGACTAAACAAAAAACCTTTATAACTATAACAAAAACAATTATTTATGTATATTTTGATTTGCACAGCGTCAAGTCGTAAATAAGCTAGAAAGTTACTTCGATTGGGAGTAAATGTATAGCTATTCCAATTGGGAGCAGCGAGATCGTCTTCGATGATCAGCTAATTAGGGCAAGCAGCTCGGAGGTGCGTTGCAAACAGTTGCAGCCACAGCCCGTAGCACAAACGATGTGGCGCTGCAAGAAAACGTTATCAAAATTATTTCTCTAGAATATAGAATATAAATATATGTATATTTGTATACAACTCACCTCAAACCACTGCGTCATGTGCTGCATGTGACCGCCATGGCCACAAGAGAGGCAAGCATTGGCTGCTCCTCGCACAGGCAAACAGCAGAGTATGCAAAACAAAACGGGTCGTTTGCAGGGCTCACATTTAGGCGTGCGTTTGGGCTTGTTGCAGCCGCTGCATTCGGTGACAAACTCAACGCCCTGTGTGGGCGATGGTGTATGTAGCGTATGCTTGAGGATTAGCGCACGCTTGGAGAGCAATTGCCAGCCGAAGAGCACATCCGCATAGGCGCGCTTAAATTGATCGAAGAGCGGCATCTTAGTGCGTCGAATTAGAGAACATGCGTAGGCATCTGTCTGGCCAAGCTTAAAGTCCAGCCAATCCAACGAATCCGACCAGGAGTTGCTGCGCAACTGCTTTAACTGCTGCCAATTGCTGCTTGATGAACGGGGCAGCACCGTATGATAAGGTGAACGTTGCGAATGTAGCTGTGTGGGCAACCGGCAACCGGCCACATCCATAACGCCCATGAGAGCAGCGGGACACTTGTCGAAGAGGCAGGCGAGGAGCACTGCGATTTGTACATCACCAGCGGTGGCATAGTGCATGATCAGTGATTCCAGCAGAGATTTCTTAAACGGATCCTTATAGAAGAGCAGCTCGCAGCTCATCGATTCGTGCGGCGAGTGCGGCGTTGCTATCAACTCCGCTAGCAGCCATATAGGCAGCAAATCTAATCGTCCATTTGCACGACATATTTCGCCGTTGAACCGACACGTTGCAGCTATGTTTTGCTTGTCCAGCATAAAATCGCGTGCCATTTCGCGATTTATATGCAGCAGCTGGCTCGCATCGTAGACATGGACAACCGGTGAGGTGCCATTAATTTGGCGCATCACGCGTTGCTTGCCCTGCAAACGTTTGCAGGCGATCATCCGCTCCTGAAGGTAGTACGATGCGTTCGGATCACGTTGATTGGTCGTGGTGGTCATCACATTGCCCAGCAATCCGCTGCCATTGATGACGCTCAAGGTGCGCGGCGTAAGCGATTGCGTCTGCTGACGCAAAGTCAAACGTTTGGTATTCAACACCTGGGCAAAGGTGGTCAGCATGCCAATGGCATTGAAATGAACGCCCGAAGTGCGCGGAAAAGGGATGCACGCATCATGTAAAGCACTCAACAAGGCGCCCTCTAATCTAGGCGATTGCAGCAACAGTTGACTACGATCTGCCCCAATACCCGAAACATTTGTGACACGTTTTTTCATGGCGGCCACGAGAGCACGTAAACATTGCTCCAAACAGCTGCGCGATTTCTTGACACGCTGCAACGCATTGCTGCGTAGCACCTTGAGTAAGATGTTGCTTAGCTCGCTGGAGAGCGTTGTGCCTTGGCACAGTTGAAACTCGGGCGGCACATTCGGACTCGGGTAGGCAGTGGGAAAGGTTACCTGCAAGATGATCGTATGATCAGCGGCGCAGATTTTGAAGCAAGCATAACGCTTTATCGCGCACAGCATATCCACATCTACATGGGGCATATTCGTATTCAACAATGAGAATTCATGCTGCAGCGAGCAGGTTGGCTGATCAGTTAGCGAGCGTGCAATATGCGTCTCTTCCCTTCTCGTATAGACACCGCCGAAACTGGGTGAACGAGCCATTGGCAACGTATTTGCTCCCACTTGAAGGGTGGCTGTGGTTATGGGTAGCGAGGCAGCAGCTGCCATTGGACGCATCATAAACTCTGTTGACAATTCATTTAACTCGTTCTCATAGCGCGGCGAGGCACGCTCCACCTCCTCATCTTCGTCGGGCGAAGGCTCGCATAGCTTCAGCATATTATCATCGATCTTCCAAACGCGCAGCGTACGATCCCGCGACCAGGTGACCAATTCCTAGCATGAACAATGATTATTTACTATCAGCAAAGGACTCAGATATATAAGGTCTCACAATTTCTGTAAAGTTCTCGCGATTGGGTCGCCAGGCAAAGTCGAGTATCACGTCTGTGTGCCCCACAAATGAGCAAATTGGATCCGTTTGCTTGCTGTTGCTCCAGAGCAAAAGACTATTCTCTCCACGGCCCATATGCGGCACCACGATGCTAACCAAGCCGTTTCCAATAGGCTAAACAAATAATGAATAATGAAATGAGATTGAATAGGAGCTATTTGTATAAAATGCAGCTCATCTTACTGTATATCTGGCACGCCAAACGGGCGATAACGTTGTTATTATCTTTTCCGCTCGCCTGGGATTGCAGACATCAAAATATTTAACGGTGCCATCCTGGCTAGCTGTGGCTAAGCACGTCTCTCGCCTGTGACTCCAATTGATGCCATGCACTCGATTTAAGTGTGCTGTTATATAGTGCGTTGGACAGCTGCCTTTGCGTATGTCCCAAATGCGAAGATCTCCATCATGGGCAGCAGCCAGCAGATTGCCAGAGACCCGATTGAAGCCCACCTGGGTAGCACCCGCTGAAAGCAAACAGACCAAAGAAATAATACAATTTATATTGAACGCATATCAATAAAGCCTTACACATGCAGACAGCATTCAAGGATAAGGCTGGTTTGCGTGGATCACGTAAATCCCATATGTGGGAGAACGTGTCTATTGAACAGCTAACTAGTAAGTTGGAATTCTTGCTATGCCAATCGATATCCGTGACTGTGCGAGTGTGTCCACGCAGGGAATTCTCATAGTGCGGTTCGGCGGGACCCCAGCGAACGATGTCAATATTTTGACTGGTCTGCATCGCAATCACATAAGGAAATGGAATTTACATTATCTTATTGAGTATAGCATTCATATAACTATAATCTATGGAATATGACAGACACACTTACCGCGATGGCACAGTATTCACGTCGGCTGGGACATATGGCAAATTCTGCCACAGATATATCATATTTGGATTGGCGTTCGTGGCGACGCAGTGTGCCATCGTCTTGACCAAGACGCTGTAATGCTAAATGACCGCGTCCAGCTAGCAGCACCCATTGACCTGAGTAGTCCACCGACATGGCCGTTGCCTGGGAATCGCGATGTTCGTAGCATTTGTTGCTTTGTCTGATTATATGCGTCTGTTCGGAGCCCGTGACATTTCGGTCATTGCTGCCGCTGCCGCTGCCACTGCCAGCGCGTAGGGTCTCCGTTGGCGGCATGCTAAATTTTATGTGGATGATAGTGCCGTGTAAAAGAACAACATAAGATGTGCTAAATTTAAGTAATTTTTACTAACTAAAGCACAAAACAAAACAAACTGATAAGAGAAGACGAACACGAACAATAACAAAAGACAATCTATCGCGATTCCTTAACAATCGATAATCAACCAGGGATACAGCGCCAAGAGTTGCACTTAAGCCGCAAAGTTAATGAATTATTAAATAATATAAATAAAAACAAAATAAATATGTATTTTTTGAGTCATGGTTTTATCGCAGGATTTTCATATGTTATTCTTTATTTGTTACAATAGGAGTAAATTTATAAATCGCTCTTGCTATAGAAGGTAATCACTATCGTTATCGAGTAAGATCTGTTGCTTCTAGTTAATATTGTCAGTCGGCGGAATTGAAAGCATTTGGCAGGCGGGACTATTAAATAATGAATGCTTACAAGCATAATCATCCAAGATGATAGATAACGTTAACGACGATTGTCAATTTATCATTATCAACTATTTGAACTATTCTTCACAATTTTGGCTATGGGTGGCCTCAAAGGACTTCGCTCCCAGATTACATAGAAATGTAAGCTATATTTTACAACGCAAAACAAGCCATGCTCTAGATTATTACCACTGGTTTGGAGAGTATGTGCATAATCCAACAGAGCTGGAGGATGACTTTCTAAGAACTATTAGTTCAACGGTAGAACACTTGGATCTAAAATCTGTTAACCTGAAAAACTTGGAATGCTTAATGAAGCACAGTTTTCCATGCATTCGGTCGCTGCATTACAGGCCGGATAAAGTGGATGGCACCGAACACGATGAAGCTCTAGAACTGTTAGTAAAACTTTTTCCAGGACTCACATCATTTAAGCCGTTTGGGCCAGTTGATGGTGGAGTAATTGAAAAGTTGAAAAACTTGCGGAAACTGGACTTAAGTAGAAGTAGTTTATTTAATACGCGCTTATCACTGCGTACTTTCCAGGAACTGGAACACCTAGTAATTAGCTTGTATTTTTTTAAAGGCATTTCCATTGAGACTATATTAAATTTGCCCAAGCTTCGTTCGTTTAGTTTTTCAACTGAAAGCACACAAAATAAAAGCATTTTAAGCGAGATTATAGAGCAACGAGGGCTGGACATACGTGAACTAAGCTTTAGATTTATCGACTGGAGCCAATCACTGGATAAACTGAAGCAGCTCAAGAACTTGCGCCAGTTGATGTTAATGGAGGATTCCTTCAAGAAGGCGCACTTTCAAGCCTGGATTAGTAATCTGCCAGAATTAGAGCAATTAAACATGGTTGGAGGCCAGTTTTGGTACTATGAAAGAGACCTCTGGAAAGCAGTCGCCAGCTGCAGCTCGCTCAAAATTTTAAATTTCTCAGACACGCTGATTGATGATGAGTTCTATGACTCAAGCAGACATCACATGGAAGAAGCATTGAACAATCGCTCACAGCCTCTTCTGCTACATTGCTACAATACAGGCGAATACGATCGTGACACTGCCGAGTGTCAGCAACTGGTGAGTGGGTTGTGTTTCCATCTTTTGTTGATAACAGTTTGTTCATTTTTCAGATCAATCAAAATTTCAAGCATTTGAATTTGATAGTTTCGTTTAAGGAATTAAAAGTGGATGATATTCCTTTCCAATACACAAAAATTGTGTTTGCATAAATGGAGTTTGTTTATTATAGCTCATTACACTCATTACACTGAAAAACGAGGCTTTAAGAGTAAAAACAATTGTCCTTCCCTCATATTGATAATAATCATTGGCCGTTCACCAGGGCTGCATTGAAGGTGATGTCAGAATTTAAATATTTATGGAAATCGGTTGCTATAAATTTGCCATTTATGGCAGATATCACAAATAAGTGTTTGATAAAACTATTAAACGGCAATTAGCCACATCTAATTAGAAACTCTTGTATCAATCAATATCTGAGTAGATAATAAATTACTTGAAAAGAAATGAGCCACATTTAGCAAAGGATTTCATTATCATTTAGAGTCCAATAACTAAGCAGCATTTGGAATTTCGCACTCTGGAGGGAGTTTATCTGATGAGTGGCTAAAGCTCTTTGTAAAAAACCATTTTATTATAAAAAAAATTTTAAGTTTTACATATTTACTTACATATTTATTCAATCGAAAAAAAAAAACAAACAAATCACATATATACAATATAACTATCAGTTTTTCGCCAGTGAGGATACATAAATTTGTATGGACGCATGTTGCTATAAAGCAGCAGCAATACTTGCGCGAGCGGAGATTGCATTTCACACAGATGCATGAATTAGTATGGACACAAGTTGCAATAAAGCTGCAGCGATAATTGCGCGAGCGGAGATTTCATTTCACAACTAAATCAAATCCGCAAAACGTGCGTCGCAATAATTTTTAGCCGGCGGAAAAAGGCTAGTGAAGAAAGAAACTTAAAAATTTTCATTAATAACCGTCCACAAGATGATGGAAATTCTTAATGACGATTGTCAACTGCTTATTATAAGCTATTTGGACCTGATATCACAATTCCGGTTGTGGGTGGCATCAAAGAACTTTGCTCCGCAAATTTATAATAATTTGTGCTACGCCTGGCAGAGACAACCATGTCATAAGTTAAGTCATTACATGATTGAGGAGTTTGCAACACATGGCATACAGAGCGAGTTGGATTTCATTGCCATCATCAGTCCAACTGTGAGAGATCTGAGATTACGCGTCGTTTATCTAAGGAATTTGGAGCGCTGGCGGGGCCTAAGTTTTCCGTTAATGGAAACGCTGCATTTCACACTGAAAGAAAACGGCACCACCAAACATGACAGGGCACTAGAGCTTATAGTCGAACTCTTTCCAAGGCTGAGATCATTCAAGTCGGCAGCGTCCATCAATGGCCAAATAATTGAAAAATTGACAATGTTGCAATCCTTAGACTTAATGAAAAGTGTGCCAATTAATGTCGGTGTATCCGTGACTAAGTTCCAGCAGCTCGAACACCTTAAGCTTAATGAGCACTTTTTATCAAACAATCCCACTGGGAGCATCATGAGTTTACCGAAGCTTCGCTCGCTGTGCTTTAGGCCCAAATGGCCGCAATATGAAAATATTCTGAAAGAGATAGTTGAGCTACGAGGGCAAGACATAATTCACATTGCTTTCTGTTCAGAATGGGGTGAGCTGCTTGGACACCTGAAACAGCTTAAGAACTTGCGGCAGTTGACCTTCTACGATAGCGACGAGGCGAATGCATTTAATTCTCTGATTTCTAGCTTACCAGTATTGGAGCAATTGAATCTGATCACATCAGATGCATTTTTACCCAATGAGATTGAGCTCTGGCGAATTGTCGCTACGTGCAGCTCGCTTAAAATATTGAATATATCGCAAATACCGATTGACTATAAGTTTTTTGACCTAAGAAATAGTGCCATGAACAGGGCGTTAAGAAACCGTTCGCAGCCTCTGACATTGCATTGTTGTAGAAGTGGCGAATTTGAGCATCTGGTGAGTGGAAGAGCCTTATATTTGTAATATTTTCTTTTCTTTATCAAATAAATACTCTTATTTTCAGATTGCTGAAAATTTCAGGCATCCGAATTTGATTCTTTCCTTCAAGGATTTCAAATTAGATAATATTCCTTATTACTGTACCAAAGTCTACTTTGCTTAATCAATTGACAATTATTTAATAATTATATGTTGTATAAAAGAAAACCAAATGTAATAAATGAATCTTATTAATAAAGATGATCATCTTCGCAGCATGTTGCCATAAATCCAAAATTTATGGCAGAAACGTTGGTAAAAAAAAGAATCGCTGTCGACTAAGGTCGATTTGTTGATTACTTTTAGTCGGAGACGTGGGAGCTTAGAATTCTCATCGAACTGCTGTGCTATCGAAATTCACAGCTGTTTTATAATTGGCGCCAATTCGAATTCGAATGTCCTACATTCGCAATTAATATTGATTTTTAAACTGCTGACATAATTTTTGTCCTGGTGTTTATTTTTGTGTGCAAGAATTTTATTCCTCCAGGTGTCGCTTATAAAGCCAACAAAATTGCACATCTACTGGAAAATCCGTTGCACCACCAACCACCGCTATCAGGTGGCACAGCGGAACGTCTTGGTGTAGAATTTGATTTCTACAACGTGGCCTCCAGCAAGGTACACCCCAGTCCGGGGGCAGCGCGTAGTGTATGGGCGCTGCCCCTGACGGCCTCTTCGTCATGCAACATGGAGGAAGATGGTCATGCTCATGCTGACATTGACATCGACATCGATCATCGAGCGCACTCGCCACCAGGCGCCAATGGAGCAGCCAACAATGTGGATGGCAGCGAGCACGACAGCAATATGCTGCTATTTGAGGGCTTGGATGGCGCTACCGTAAATCTGGATGATATTTTCGATATAATAAAGAATGGTGAAGTGAGTGAGGTAGAGAATCTAGTGGAGAAATTCGGCATGGAATGCCTCTCGGCCAGGGATCGACATGGCTATACGCCTGCTCATTGGATTGCGCTCAATGGAAATGTCCAATTGATGAGGTATTTGATAGAACGAACGGCTCCAATTGATTTGCCCTGTTTGGGCACCCAGGGTCCCCGACCTATTCACTGGGCCTGTCGCAAGGGTCACGCCTCGGTAGTGCAGGTGCTGCTGCAGGCGGGTGTTGCGGTCAATGCGGCTGATTTCAAGGGATTGACACCTCTTCATCTAGCCTGTATGTACGGACGCACTGCAACAGCGGCCTACCTGTTGGGCATGGGTGCCCTAAACAATCTAACGGATATCAATGGAGATACAGCATTGCACTGGGCTGCTTATAAGGGTCATGGAGATCTGATGCGTCTGCTTATGTATTCCGGTGTGGAGCTGCAGAAGACGGATAACTTTGGTTCTACGCCGTTGCACTTGGCCTGCTTATCCGGCAATATCAATTGTGTGCGTTTGCTGTGCGAGAAGTCGCAGCTGGAGCTGGAGCCGAGGGACAAGAACGGTAAGACACCAATTATGCTAGCTCAAGCTCATCAGCATCAGGATGTGGTGCGGCTACTCTACGGCGAGGTCAAGAAGAAATCACGCTGGATTCCGTCTGTCTCGGAGAGTTGGGGCTGGCTCTTTGGTGGAGCCGGTGATTCCAAAGGACCTCTCTTTCTCTTCCTCTTCTCCGTGCTACTTTGGGGCTATCCGATGTATATGATAAGGGCCATACCTATCACATGGAATATCTTAAGACGTTCTCATTACTGCTTCATCTACTGGAATGTGGTCATGTGGGTCAGTTGGGCGATTGCGAATCGCAGGGATCCGGGTTATATACCGCTCAGTTCCGATGCCTACTACCGGGCTATCAAGCAGATTCCCTACTTTGATAAGCTGAAGAAGCGGAACGTAATGCTCACCCGGCTGTGCCACAGCTGTCGCTGCCTGCGCCCACTGCGTGCCAAGCACTGCCGTGTCTGTAATCGCTGTGTCTCCTACTTCGATCATCATTGTCCTTTCATCTACAATTGTGTGGGACTGCGCAATCGGATGTGGTTCTTTCTGTTTGTGCTCTCCGTCGCCGTCAATTGCTCATTTACCATTTACTTTGCCTGCTATTGTGTGATGATCGAGGGATTCACAATGCTCTATGTGCTGGGTCTAATCGAGGCCATTGTCTTCTGTGGTCTGGGATGGATACTCACCTGCACATCTGTAAGGACACGTTGCTTACTATCTGCAAGCCTTATTGACATGGTTTATTTCTTTTGGCAGATCCTTCATGCGTGCATGAATCTCACCACGAACGAAATGTTCAACTACAAGCGTTATCCCTATTTGCGGGATAAGCGTGGTCGGTACCAGAATCCCTTCTCTCGCGGTCCCATCTTGAATCTCTTGGAGTTCTTTGTTTGCCTGCCGGATAGAGGCGATGACACCGATCTGCTCTTGGAGGATAATATTTGATTAAGAAGCTAGGAGCGCGCTCATGCTCGCCGGCGCAAGGTGCCCGTGCGTGGATAATAGCGACAGTCGCCGCTCCTAGGCGACGGCTGTGCTTTGATTTTGCTCCACAGGCTTTAGCTTTGGCTTTATGGCTTACTCGACTTTTGGCTACAATCCAAGTTTTTTATCCAATCAACAATTGCAATATAAGAATATTCCACTATATATCTTAGCTCTTAGGACAACTCTACAGAACATGTTCTGCTTCCTTGCAGATGAGTCGCTTTAGTTAGAAATTCTTGACAATTTTATAAGATACCATTATATATTAGGATAAATCTATAAAACATGCTCTGCATCCTTGCCGAGGGATAAGTAGATGAAATTCTTGATCGTTTTTGAATTATCTCTAAGCAAATATTCTGCAAGGATATTCTTGATACAGTTATATATGTTATCATAAATAAGAATACGCTTCTCTTGTTACAGTTTGCTTTTTCATTTTGTACAAAATGGTTAATGTATAAAAAGTTGTATTTAAATGAATCTCTAAAAATATTAATATTAATATACTTAATATAATTAAATACAAAAATGTATTGTAAATGGTGATTACTAAATGGCTAAGCGCTCCATCCTTTTTTTGTTTGTTCATTCTTTGTTTTGAAATTGCACAGTTAATACTAATTCAGATCGGAGAGTATGAACCTACACTATATAAGGGGTACACTTTGGTATGTATTTTGAGGAATTTGGAACGAACGATTATTGCAATAAATTTAAATCAAAATAAATGAAATACTGAGTTGCTTTAGCTCTCGAAACAAAAGTCATAGTTCTCGGGATCTTCGGGAATTGGCGGCGGATCCTTGCTAATATCCACGCCCTCAGTATCAAGCAGACGTAATTTGATCTCCATGGAGAGGAGCGTGTCAAAATCTTCTTTTTTCTGCTTGCTCGACATCTCTTGGCCGAGCAATGCATTGATGCCATCTGTCCAATAATTGAAGACATTCTCGTCGGGCGCCACAAAATCCAGAGTGGAATGATCCATGCTCTCAAATGTTATCGAAAAAGCAAAATTTACGGGCGATTTACGTGTGCGCGCCTCCTTCATGTGCGGGCACTCTTTGCCCTCCAGCAGCTGCTTAATATCAATGATAGGCAACTTCTTTGGCAGCTCCTCCAGCGTAGGTATGTTCTTCTCATCGCAGTCGCCGTAGTGAATGACCTTGTGATTGGGCGATAAGCGAGCGTACCAGAACTTGTCCTTGCTGCGGGTGCCGCGCAGGTATTTAGAGAAACGTGTGCCTGAAATACAAGAGAAATTAATGAATAAATGCTTAAGAAATGAGAGACTAGGGCGCATACCTTCTACTAGAAATGAGAGACGCTGCTGCTTGATGAGCTCCACAATTTGTGGTGAGATTTTCTCCTTTAGTTTCACAATAGCCGATGCTGTCGAATCGCATTCCTCCTTCGAGGTGCGCTCTTGTTGACGCAAAGTCGTGATCTGCTGATATGTTAGCAAGGCAATCTTGCTGCGAAAATCCTCTAGATTCTCGGGGCGCGATTTCAGAGTGCGCTGAATTTGTTCGCGTACTACGCTGAACACCTTTTGGAAGTCTTCGGCGGTGGCGCGCATATCCTTCCACGTGCGATTCAATGTGATTACACAAATGCAGAAGAACTCCTCGAACGGCTGATCGTGCGTGAAGAACATGGGCTGAAAGTCGCCTGACTGTTCGGCGGGAGGTTCGCCAATCCGTAAAATGTGGCACAACACCTTCACCAGTTCAATGGAGGTGCGACCGAAAGGACACTCATGCTCATCCGCACGGCAGGAATTTTCATGCACAATCTTAGTGTACTGCTGCGTATAGTTGCGAGCAAAGTAAACCATACAATCTAGAGCCAGTATGCCTAAAAGTAGAAATTTGAATAAATTATTAATAATTCTTTCATTATTATATATTAATATATATTAAGATGTCTTCATAATTACCCGGTGGCGTCTCAATAAAGTCCTGAGCTGGATTGATGTCGCACTTGAAGCCTAGCTTCTTGTAATACTGCGAAAAGTTAACATTGCCTGCGCCCGATCCTGATCCAGAGCCGCCGCTACCACCGCGTCGAATGTGCTCATCATTCAGGTTAAGCGTGCCCGCATAATCATCAAATGCAATTCGGCGTAGCTCTTTGATCTTCTCGTATGCGTCCTGGTCTTGGGCATTCATTTTCATTCTCATACGCTTCTCCAATAGGCCAAGCGTCAGAGTCTGCAGCACATACAGCTGGTGGGTCATCTCGGTGCTCAGCCCATTGCCAATGAGGGCTAATCTATAATTCCTCGCACTTATCGTATGAGCAATGGTACGCTTGCGTGACTCATCGGCCTTCATGAAGAGCGCATTGAGCAGAGCAATGGCATTTTGTCGCATTACAGGGGAGTTCGCCTCCTGCAGCAGATGTAGTATATCCTGGAGCTTAATTTCTTCGGCAACTAGGACATATTTACTGCTGCTCTGCACAATATTCTCCAGGTTCGAGAGCGCACTCTCACCGCATTTGGCGGGATACTTTTGAAAGTTGCGCACAATTTCGATGTTGCGTGCCACAAAGCTGTTCTCGGGCACCTCCCAGGAGACGGTGCCATGCTCCATAAGCTCTACAAAGCTAGCCAAGCTGTACTTCAATATATCTTCGTCCTTTTGATTCACGTCTTCGATCATTTTGATGAGTATATCCAAACCCTTCTCCTTGATGAACTCCAGCGCAAATGTGTGATCCATACTAAGCGAGGACAGCTCCTTTAGACGTTGTGCTTTATCCAATGGCACGCCATTTATCAAAGTTTCCAATGCATCGCTGGCCGTTTTAGATGGTGAGTACTGTAACCGCAGCACTGAGCCATTTTTAATCTCATTACGATTCTTCTCCGTCACATATTTCATATTGTTTGTTTCGCAGAACTGGAGTGCATAGTTCTGATGATCGCTTATAGACCAGCTGTTGCATATTTCCTGGATTTTACCTGTGAAAATGTAGATTTTGCTTTAGAGATAATTATATATACGGTTTAATTTCGGGTTGTCTGCCTTACGAGCATCCGTCTGTTTCTTTAGCAATGATTAAAATCTAATTATAATCGATATGTAGCCTAAATTTATATCGCATAGCCTCTTAGGCTACATGACTGATCAAATAAAAGCTGGATTTAAACACCCTTCACACACTCATCACTATCGTCAACTTCCATCTGCACTTCCTGTCCGCTTCTGTGCATTCTAATGAGACCTCACGCTGACATCATGAGCTGCACTGCAAAGGGCGTTGGCGCTATATTTTGCTTAACTTGGTAAACTGAACGCTTTTTTAAACTACATTTAAATTACATGCTAACACATATATGCCACCGTGAGTCGTCAATAAAATATCTTTATTTAGAGTTTTTAGTGTTAGCAACAAAAAGTTGATACATACTTGCGAGGGGATGCCTTTGGTCGAGATTTATTAGCTGCGCTATATGATTCTCGCGCTCAACAGCTATTTTTACTATATGCGCATCTTTTACCGGCATCTTTTTTGGTATCATTTTGAGTGATTCTGCTTAATTTAGCTGTACTAATTAAAATTATTGTTTTATTTTCCCTAGTCTGGGGTATTGTGATTAATTGGTTATTATGCATAAGCGGAATCGATAGGTTCGATATGAGCGATAGTTTTCGACTAGGGCTACTCAATGCCTAGAATTTAATCTTGTAATCGATGTAGTTTATCCATTGCTTTCTTTTCAGTAGTAAGTTCTGAAAGCTTTTTCTTTATTAAGTCAATTTATATACAATTTTGAATTTGTTATGTAGTCAGCAATTTAAGTAATTCACCCACAACGCAAACATTTATGCTGTTACCCAGCAGTCGATACTTTTGCCGACTCGTTGTATCGGCGGGAAATTCAAATTCTTCCGGAAAACTCATAAGCCGCGCCACTTCTCTCGGCGTAAAATAACGAAGTTTTACCTTCCTTAAAAGCTGAAGTCTTCGTTGCTGTGCTACTTCCCAATCTTTGCTGTTGGGATCCATGTCAATTTCTTTAACTGCTTCGAATATACTGTGCGACTGTGCTTCAGAAAGCGGTGTAAATGCCGAACCGGTGCCTTCTGTGTAGTGAGTGTATCCTTTTGTAAAGCACATTGATCTACTCTGTGATGGATGAATGATGTCCATGACCAGGACCCTTTTGGTCAGCACGTCATCCGGTACAAGGGTGTCATCAGGAACGTCTGACTCAAGAATTGTGGATATTTTGCAGGTTGGCTGCTGATTTGAATCAGCTTTTTTACCTGGCAAATGTTCCCATATTTTCTCACCGTCAAAATCGAATCCTTTGCTCTTCCGTGCTATGCAATAATATCGATATCGAGTATTGGGCACATTGAACTGTGTGGGCGTTAGAATGAATTCGCGCCAATGGTATCCAGCTTTTTCTAGAGCTTCAATAAATTGTTGACGAGCTTGAGATACCTCAAATCCTTTCACATTCTCCATTAGCACATATTCAAGCGTCTCACATTGCGGAATCAATGAACAAAGATGGGATAGAGCGCAGGATCGCTTGTCTTCCACGTCACGTTGCAGGCCTTGTCGCGTGTGAGGTTGACAGGGTGGCGACATCAGCAAAATGTTGGCATCCATTTTTTTTATTTCCTTCACAGTTAAACTCTGGATATTTCTCGTCTTTACAACTGTAGCTCCATAATTGTGCGCATAAACCGCATTGGCTACTGTGTTTACATCCATAGCTGCAACGACTTCGCCGGAGAGTTGCGCATCTGCAAATTAATTGAATTAGATGCATCTCTTGTATTATTACAAATATTTACATACATTTAAACGCATAATGCATGCCGCCAATGCCGCTAAAAAGTTCCAATACACGAAATTCCATCTTAAACAATTTGTTTATGTTTTAACTGCATGCTTCCAAACATCTGTTTGTCATTCACCACAATCACCTGTTGGTTTAATACATTATGTCGAGCAAATTAAATCAAACACTAGTATATTTTCTATGAGTTAATATTTACTATAATTAAAACACATAATTTAAGCCGCTGAAAAAGTTTCATGACTTCAGATATAAATAATTTTCTATTGTATATATTTTCAGTGCACACTGCACAGCTGATTTGTCATTCACCGCGAGAGAATGTGTGAGTGGCATTACTGTTAAGAAGCAGAAAGTCAACACGTGCCGCTTAGCAGTAGTTTAACAAATAGCTTGGTATTAATTGAGAGATCATGGGTAAAATTAAAAGAAAACCACAACCCAAGCCTGTAGAGCAGGATTCAGATAGTGACTCCAGCTTTGCGGAGGAGGAAATTGTGGAGGAGCAGCCGCAAGGTCCAGTCACTGACAGTAGCGATGACAGCGACATAGAAATGGACCAAAAGTCAGCTAAAAAGAAAGGAAAAAATGAAGAAGAGAAGGTAGAAGGGGAACCAGGCTTTGGTGATGATGATGATGATAACGATGATGACGATGATGATGGCGACGACGATGATGATGACGACAGCGATGATGATGATGATAATGACGATGACAAAAAGAAGGCGCGCCTCCCAGTGCTTAATCCTCTTAGCTTAATGAAAAACAAAGAACAGCGTATGGCGCTCTTTCGTAAAATGAAAAAGGAGAAACATAAGAAAAAGATGCAGGAGCGACGAGCACGTCGCAAGGCAGGATTACCAGCCAATCCGGGTCACACTATTGAAAGTTTGCGTGAAAAGGATCAAACTGAGGTGAGTAATCTCAACGATTCAGACAATGAAGAGCTGCGCAAGGAGCTGGAGTTGGACGATTTCAGTACGTATTTCGAGCGCATCTACGAGCCTAAGGTGCTAATCACATTCGCCGACAATCCAGTAACAAAGACTCGCAAATTTGGGCTCGAACTGTCGCGTATATTTCCCAATGCTCTGGTGAAGATACGCAACAAGGCTTCGGTAAAGAAGATCTGCAAGAGTGCCGAACGGGAACAGTTTACGGATGTTGTTATTGTGAACGAGGATAGACGCAAGCCCAATGGTTTGTTGGTCATTCACCTGCCGAACGGGCCGACTGCTCATTTCAAGCTTTCGAATGTGAAATTGACATCAGATATCAAGCGGAATCACAAGGAGATCACAAAGCACCGACCCGAAGTAATATTGAATAATTTTACAACTCGATTGGGCTTAACAGTGGGTCGAATGCTGGGCGCGCTCTTCCATCACGATCCGGAGTTCCGGGGTCGACGAGCGGTTACCTTTCACAACCAGCGAGATTATATATTCTTTCGTCATCATCGCTACGAGTTCTCCAAGGAAGGCAAAAAAGTTAAGCTGCGGGAGTTGGGGCCACGTTTTACACTCAAGCTGCGCTCCCTCCAGGAAGGCACATTCGATAGCAAGACGGGCGACTACACCTGGATCATTAGCAACAAACGACATGCCATGGAATCCAGGCGTCGTTTCTTCCTCTAATTTAAGAATAATTTCCTTTTAATTTCTTTTAAATGTGAATATTTTGTATTTCGTAGAGAACATAAATACAATTTAAGCCAAATAATATGTGTAAAACTATTTTTATGCACGATGAATAACCACCAAAAACAAAAGATATAATAACCATCACGAGATGTCGTTTAAATGTATAAGATAATTTTTATCCTTATGCTACATGTGCAACATTCAACAGATTGGCACTCCACGAGGAACGACACAACACCCAAAAAGAGAAAAAGCCTGCCGTTTCCCAAAAATTCACATTGTCGGGCATTGAGGGTTTGGCACACCGCCAGCTGCTGTTGGATCAATTAAGGGCAAATCTCCACCAGTCTCTGCTAATATCTCTGCTGGCGGTTGTCCATAATCTTGTAGCTTGCGCATATCATCGAGTACTACACGGAATTTCTCACGTTTTACGGTTGCTGTATCATCGGGTTTTTCGCTCTGCAAATGACCCTCAATCACCTTGTACAAGTCCATCTGCTTTTGGTATCTGTAAAGGAAGAAGTTAAAGTTTATATAAACAGATCATAAACGGGCGCCTTAACAACATATTCAACTCATTCAGCTAGGCTTATTTCTAACTTTACATATGCATATTGTAAGATTTCATAGATTGCAAAATCCCATTTATCTTACATTTTAAACCTATTGACACATTTTCCAATTGTATACATTTGCTATATAGAGCTCTTACTGTGGAAATAGTTAAGCAAATATGCATGCGAGTCACGTAGTTGCCAACAATTGGTCGCGGTCTAAATGAATCACCTTTCTTTATCCTCTGCTGACAGCTTGGCGTCATTTTCTTCCAAGTATTTGGGATACTTCTCTAACAGTTCCTTAATGCTAGGCAACAGGATTTCGGCAGAGAGCAGGCTCTGCATCATGCCCTCCATAAAAGGCAGGAAATTGTTACCTTCACCTTCGGCGCCCTAGAAATGTTATATACAAATTATTAAATAATAAACATGCTTCCACAACACTTTACCTCCAGATTCATGGAGCCAAACATGCTGGCTATATCATTCTCAGAGGCGGGTGCAGCCAGATTTTCGGTGCCCTCTTGCAGACCCTTTCAAAACAAACAATGGATCGATTAATAACTCGAGACAATATTGTTAGACTACACACTTTGAGGGCTTGGGAAATGCTATCGGAATACTTGGACACCTCGTCGTCGTTGGCAGTGTTCTCTCCACTCAGCGTGAGGGCAGCAGCTTCTGCCATTTTCTTAAAGCCGGCCATTATTTGCTCAGGATCCTGTGGCATTGGTGGAATATCGCCACTGGGCGTATCCGGACCACCGAAAAGTGTGTTCATTCGATCTGCTAAGATTTTCGCCTGTTCGCTGCAATTCCAAAGTCCAAGTGGATTCGAATAAGAAAGATAACACCGAACACGTTGTTCACTCACATGAAAAATGCATCGGGATCTTCGTTGCCCTCACCGACAGTAGTTGCTGTCCCATCCGTTGTGGCCACCGACTTCTCCGACTTGGTTCCGCTTTTGCTTTTGTCAAAGTCTTGCAGTGCATCTGCAATGTGTAATAGATATTTGTTATATAAGTAACTTGATGCATTCTAGTTAAATTCAATTGAGACTCACTGTCGAGCAAATCATTTAGCTCATCACCGTCACCGTTTTGCTTTTGATCAGACATTCTATTTAATATGTGTGATATAAATGATTTAATTACGGGAAAAACGATGTAACACTTGTTTTGACTTGACACAAGGTGTGAGCATGTGTGTGTATGTGAGTGTGTGTTGCGTGTGGCTTATGAAAAGTAACGTGTGTGGGCCGCATACGCAGTCGCTGCTTCTTAAATATATCGATATTTTTTCCAACAGCGGAATTCTTATTGTTTTAACAAAATATTTTCAATTATACTTACTTTTGATTTAACAAATTGCTGAGTGAATTTATTATTAGTTTCTTAATTTATTTATACATTAATTTATCAAAACGTGAATTTACGGACATTTAAGGAAATAGCTTTCGTGGAGAGTAGCTCTCAGTTGACTAAGTATCGATATTTATATTCCTTAATTGAGAGACTCATCGACTTAATATTTCCGTAACGTTCAGGTCGAAATCGATTTGTAATTGAGTTTTTAAAGAGATTTTTTTCCAAACATTTTGACACAAAATCATCATAAATTTTTCAGCTTGAATTTAATTAAGCTAGTTAGCTGACATAGTCGTGGCACACTATTTCAATGCTTAGATTTATATAATAAAATAAATGCTATAGTTATATTCAAAGTTTTTAATTTTTCATTCAATTTATCCAATTATAAAGTTCCGTAAGTGTAGGCTGTATTACGGAAAATGAAGCAAGCCAAGGACATAAGGCAAAGATTATCTAAAATAATCACCCAAAATATTTGTACTCGTTCTGCGAATCACAACAAACAAGCACAGCAAACTAAGGTCATGCACCTTGCTGTGCGAACATGAAGATCGGCGACCAAAACTGCGACCAGAACTTAAACCGCACATACAGAACAGTATAGCTGTGAGGGGCAGCACGGAGATGCGAAACAAATTCGGAAACCAGAACGATATAGCTAGTACTACTCCTACATATGGGTATTTCGGTAGGGAGTCGCAAGGAGGCGTCCAAGGTCAACGAGATGAGGAACCCTGCCATGTTTGCTCATAACCTTCTCATATGGTTGGCTGTTTTTCTGTTTTAACCGCATACCGTTTACCAAAGAGCAAAACGAATTTCCATTTCTCATTCGCTACGCCGAGTTTTTGTGGTAAATTTTTTGGGGCGTTGTCTTTAAGGGTGCGTTATTCCATTGAATATACAAAGGCAGGGGCGGAGTCTACCTGGACATAATGCATAAATTAGTAGCTCACTTTCGAATATAATTTACATTTGAGTGCGAGCGAACTATATGTGATAGAGAGGGAAAGAGAGAGAGAGAGAGAGAGAGAGAGGGAAGGAGAGAGCAAAAAACTCTTTCCTAATTTTGTCTCTTCTGCTAACAATTCAAAGATCAAACCAATATTTTTCATGGAACTTCGAAGTTCCAAGTCAAGAAGTCAAAACAAAAGTCGACCAGCGTAAAAACCCTTTTTGCTTTAACAATAAACACAGTCCAAAAAGTAGAGCTCGCTCTTTTTTGACACAATTTTTAAAGACAAAAACTGTTTATTTAGTTATTATCGTGCCGGAGTACTGAATATAGAAGCGAAACGTTCAGTTACCTGAGCCATAGCACACGCAAATTTTTCTGAAGAACTCGATAATAGAAGACGGAACCATGTGCAGGACCTAAAGGAAGATCATCTCTACCCGCCATAAAATGCGCTGGCGTTTCACTGCGTTTCCTGCTCGTTGCAGTTGTTCCTTTTTTTTGGGAAAGTTTTTCTCGTGCATATAGCCTGCCCATATATCATTCGGGCTGCGATTTCACGGTCACTGATTGCCTCAACGATTTTTGTGTTCTTTTGCCAACTTTTCGACATTTCGTCCTTTGCGCATCCTTTCCAGGGAAGCGTTGAGCGAACTTTTATGGCTCTTAGCACTATAGATCACGCCATAATAGATCGGTGATCGTTCAATGATTGTGGTTTTATAAGCCCACCTATTCAGTCGGATATGTCGCGTGTGCAGGATCTTCCTCTCGCTCCAAGCTGCAGCTACAGCACTTGTTTCTCCGTGGCAATTGCGATTACAGCACTTGGAAATATTTCCTGGAAATTTTTGACACAGTTTTCTTTTGATATCCAACAAATGGCTAGCCCCACCATGAGCATCCCCCGTCTTGTGGAAATGATGCAATGCCTTGTGAGTTTTTACGCCCTAACAGCCGTCGCCGTCTCTGTCGCTGCCCATCAAAGCGTTTAACGCCCAATGCAAATGAGCCCTTGCGTCTGCCTGTCTTCGACTTGATCTTTGGATGCTAGAGGGTTGGCCAGTTCCAGCCAGCATATGCCATATACCACATTTAATGTGGGTCGTCGTCAGAATGTTCTGAGTGATTAAGCGGAAATTAAGTGAGTTTGTGTGTGCGTTGCAGCCTCTCAATTCGCCATGGTTATTTTTAATGTGCACTTTGGGCTGGGCTGGGCTTCACTCTTGTCAGTCGATCAACTCGGTTTTAAGCAATTGCTCTGAATAATATGTAAATATTGCATGTGTTCACATAGAATAAAGACGAATTCAAATTTCGATATTATTTAATGGGCCGTACAGCAAACATAACACAACGCACACTTAAGATTGACCATTGACGGCAAACTATCGATATCCTTTCGTGAAAAGTGTGGTAACATACATAATTGAGCAGCTTTGCGTTTGATAGCGAACGTAACGTAACGTAATATGTTATGATTAAATATTAAGATTACGAATTGTTACTGCTTTAATGTGAATGGCACTTAAAGCTACTCGTAATCTGATTAGCAGTACAATGTTAATAAAAATGTTAGTGGTTAAATCAAAGCTGATCCTTAATCAATACGCAGTACTCTTAAATTTAAGTATGTAAAGCAAACAATGAATGTTATCACCGTGCATACATAAAATTTGCACAAGAATAAACGTATTACGTAACTTAGTATTTCTAGCTTAACATAATATTTTACATGCCAAACATGATGCTGTTCCATGTGATTGACACTTGCTAAGCACTGCAAGCTTCGCTAACATTGCACACTTGAAGCTTCACTTAACAGTGCACTGCAGTTAACATCCTTGATTGGCAAGTCAATTAAATTCTAACCGATTATCGATGTGCAGGACTTTTAAACACCTGTTAATTAAGGCTGCGCTTGCAGAGCAAAGCGCTAACTGAGTATCAATTTCATTGGATCTTTCGGTTGCGCTGCATCTTCAAAAAGCAGGCATTGCCGTGATTAATGACGATATTGAATAATTTTATTTAAATTCGCATACATCCTATACAAAGCGTGGCCAATGGCAGAACGCCGGCATAGATTGTGGATGTGAGAAAAACGCCACCTACTTCTGTGAGCTCCCCTTCGTCGGAGCTCAAACATAATTTCAATAGCTGATGATGAATAGCTCTGTTCGATCTGACGATCTGATGAGCTGGGCAACAGGTTGTAACCACTCAGGAAAACAAATTAATCTTGTTTTTTGTTTTGTTTGTCGCACTTTCTTCGTGAGCATCGAGTTTTTCCATTTGGCCCTGCAGCATGTTTGATGATGCTCCCTGCCCGACGGGAGCGTTGCCTCCAGATGTTTGATTTCAGCCCGATGTGAGTCTCTTCCTCTTGCCATTGTTGTTGCTGTTGCGCCTACCTTGCGCCTTCTGTTTAATGATCAATTTGTTGGCCTCTGATCGTGCCGACAGCGTTTAGCAGTTGCCACTCGTTGCGCGTTGCGCGTTGCGCGTTGCTCTCAGCCTAATGACTTTCGTAAAAGTGGGTGTATTTGGACACAGCGCAGCCCCACTTCACACGTACTTTGGCAACATCTTTGCCAACAGAGCAGACAACTGGTCGGCTCTGGGCCGTGTCGAAATGTGGTCAGAGCAATTCCTTTGCGGTTCGCTTGCGTTTCTGCGGCCAACCATTGGATTATGCATTTTGCATTGTATTTTTCGTTTTGGGTGGGCAGCAACCACACCAGGCCGAGCTGCTCTTTCAATTGAATTCGCAAACTATGCTAATTTCGGAGACAATGCGGTTCTGTGGAAGCGCAGCTCGCGACCCATAAACAACTAATGCCTACAATTAGCCAAGATCAATGCAAAGGGTTAATCGCATTCGCCTTGGCTGCTGATCGGAAAAGCCCCTTGCCCGATGGGCGTTATTTGCGTTAAGCCGCATCCGCAGCTACCTGAGACGCCATCCAACAGAAGGATGGACCAGCCCAGACCAGACCAGATCAGATCAGACCGTGCCAGACCTCGGCTTGCCCATAGCAAATCGTTTACAAATGTTGATCAATAAAACGCCAGACTTCAGTGCGATTAGCCGCTTTAATCGTGTTCAACAAAATTTGTTGAAAACTTTTCACAAATATTTGAAAAAGTCAAAAACTCTTAAGCTGTACGACTTTATCCTTAATCTTTTCTATTTGTTTGCATGCTTTAGCATGGATTTTCGTTTTATGATCCCAGCTCCGCTCACTCTTGGAAAGTTCACTGGGTGGGCTTAGCTCGAGGGGGGCAGCAACTGCTTTTGCACATTTCGCACTCGTATTTACCAAAAATAAATGCGGATTACCGCTGAAGTCAATCGACGCCTCGTCGAGCTCAAAGGGTTGAGCTGCTCACACCCAGAACTTGGACATGGAACTGCTCAGAAATTCATGTGGATTAACTTTTGGCTGAGTGGGAAAAACATTTGAGTTTATGTTTTATTTTTATTCAAGTTTTAGAATAATATTTAAGTAATTATATGAATCAATATATTTTATTTTAATATTGTGAAAAAAATGTTTTAAGTTTTTTTATAATTAAATTAATTATAGGAATTGTATATAATTTTAAAATGTTTTAAAATGATTTCGAAACCTAATTAAATGCTATTTATATATTTTAATGCAAATTTCAAAAATGTTATTCTGTATCAAATTTTAATCCAGACTAAATGGAGATAAAAATCCCTACATTTTCTAACTAAACGACATTTCATTTCTATCTCACTCACACACACTGATATACCTATGCTCCTTCTCTCTCCAAAGACTTTGCGTCTTATGGAAATTTGAAGAGGAAGACGAGCCACACTGATAAAGACATTAGGCGCTGGTAAATGGACAGAGTCATGGAAGCTGGACAAACAATCAAGGCCGTTAAACAGCGTCTGTGACAAGAGGCCACATTACGTTTGGCCAAAGCGAATCGATTGGCCAACAAAGAGAGATAGCACGAGAGAGAGAGGGAAACATAGATATAGAGTGCGCAAGATATTTTACAGTGATTGCCGCATGTTGTTTTGTGAGTTTTGTATATTAACCAAGCGTGGAGCGGCCACAACTAACTTAATTATAACTGGACCACAGCCAGGTGTGCGTAGGCGTTGGATACTAGCGAAAAAAAGGGGGTGCGTCCGCTGTCAGGCAATATGGGTCGCTATAACGGTAGTCAAGCGAATTGTAAAATGTCTTTATATTACAATTTCCTTTTTTATTTTTAATATTTTCTGGTTCTTTCAGATAATAAGCAATAATTCTCTCATAATTTCCCTACTCAGCAGCAACTCATTAAAGTACCATTTACTTAGTCCTTTATTTGAGTGGATATAAGCTTATACAACAAATTCCCACATTATTTCCCCATTCCCATATTATTTCCCCGAGCTCAGCATTCAATGAAAGTACCATTTGCAATGAAAGTACCCAGCGCTAAATTAAAACAAAATTTCCCCAAGCTCCTCTGCATCGACTACACAGCATTCGATTAAAGTACCGTTTGCCTATTTCTTAAAAGGGCGCGCGCGCGCGTCTCCTCGAGCCCCGTTCGTTGCTACGGGCAGGACAGCAGGTAGGCGTAGCTGGTACGGCTGGCGAAACTTGAAGATGATATTCATTCATAGCGCCGTAGGTGGGCATCATAAAAAGTCTTTTAGCACTCTTTATTCATACGGACGGCGATTGGCATTTTGCAGCTAGGCTTTACGTGGAAATGCGACGATGTTTATGGCATGATGCTGCCTCCTACTGTTCCCTCTCGTTTCCTACCCGTTGTTGTTGTTGTTGTTGTTGCTGTTGTGCCACAAGGAATAGGAACTGTGATGTTTGTCATTTGATGCGTTGATAGCGCAAAATTAGCGTTATATGAGTTGCCTTTTCAGCGCTCATTGTTGGCCCAAATTGAGAAATCAACGAGGTACAACACTACACTTGCCCTACACTTGCCCAATTGGGCTTTTCGATTAATACACTGAGCTTGTCGCCCAAACTCCTAGCTCCTCTGCTGTGCTACTATCAAGGTCAATTGGCTGTCAAGGTCGATCTAAAGATATCCAGCCAGGCGAGAATGTTTCAGTTGGTACTCCCGTTGGGTTTGCTTAACCAAAATGCCAACGGGCAGCCGTACCGAGCAGTAGAAACCCCGGCTTTGTTGCCTTTGCGGCCTCCGTTTGTCCTTCGGCTCAGGATGTGTCAGGATTCGTCACACGATCTTCTATCATTGATATGGCAGCATTAGAGCAATTTTACCGCTGGCGTTTGCCTTCATTAATTTCAGCTCTTGGCGCTCGCCTCTTTCTCCCAGTAGTTCAGCGCTTGCCATTGGCTTTCTTTCGTTTCTTCGACGTGTTGGGTTTCTCTTTGAGCATATTGCATGAAATTTCATAATTAATCAAACTCACACGCTTTGGGGTTACCAAAAAGTTGTTCAGAGCCAACGAGCGGCGGCAGACAGCGTTACGATAGAGCGTGACAAGGATATGGTACGGTATTAAAGGGCCGCGCCTTAAGGGCGGCGAAGTATATAAGTTAAAGATGGATTAAAAAAGTATATATATATATATAGGTATATAGGATATAAATAAAGTAGATAGAAGCTGTTGTATTATGTGATATAACCATACCTTGAAAAGTGTGTTGATATAAACATTTTGAACTAGATAAGGCATGTGTATGTTTTTTATTTTATTACATATTAGCATCAACATTCAAGTCTATATAGTTTATAGTTTCAACTAATTTTAAACCAATTTATATTACGTTTTGGAAAGGTATTCGAATCTCTGTAGTATGCACTGTAGAAATGCAGTCATCCTTATTGAGTGCATCGATGTCATATAGCCGGATCGCATAAATATATTGTGTATATTGAAATAGTTCAAATTTAAGCGTAAGCTGCTTTTGATCGGTTTATCCTTTAGGTATTATCTAACCAATGCTAAATCCTTGCACTATGTATGACACTTCAACAAGAAATATTTCAATAATTGGAAATTTTCATTAGTTTAACAAAAATACAAATTTACAAATATTTGAAAAGCGAATATCTGTCTGATATCAGAATTTTCACTCTAAACCTTGTACATATTTAGCACTTCACAGTTTTACTTTATCCTTTAACCATACAATATAATTGTTCATATTCAATTTCTCAACTTGTGTCGCGTGGTTCAGGAAACTGCGAAGAACTGCAAGAGAAATGTTAAAGTATTTACCGATTTGTACATATAATTAATTGGCCACAAATGAGGTATTTATAAAGGATATATTACGCTTGTAAATGAGTGTAATGCATACTCGATTGCATTATGCGTTGCCAACGCATTTAATGCCTAATTCGATTACGATTTGGAGTCCGCTAACTGGGTCAACGGCAGCAAGGACTCGAACTTTGGCACTTTTCAAGTTTTTCAGCTCTCAAGTCAAGGTTGTTGTGGAGTGGAGCGCTGCCATTGGCTCATTGCTTGGCGCTGCTAATGACGCCCTCTGGCGACGAGACGGCGGCGTTGTATAACATTGTTGCCCATGATCGGCGCAAGTGCAAGCGAGTCGGCAATAGGTTGGCCTGCTGCGATTGGTCCGCGTGTTACTACCTGCCACGATGGCTGACATCTTTTGCTGCGGCCGTCGCTGCTATCGCTGCCGCCTTTCGACGTCTTCACAGAAAGCCAACGATCTTGCACGGCGCTGGTGTGCTCAAGTCAGTACGGCATCGACTGCGCATCGAGTCAGACGCATCTACGCCAAACGTCGTGACTTCAAGAAAAAAGAGAAAAACCAAAATACAAAATACAAAATTTACCGTTGTCTCTGGTTAATGCGTTCGCTTATCGAACTTGTAACCAAGTAGCAATTTTTGTGGCTATCGATAAGCATTGTGACAATTATCGCAAATTGCGCGTGAAATCGAAATTGAAAAAATTGAATTTGTGAATTCGTCGTGGCCGTTAAAAGTCGAGCTGGTCGAGCTTTTTCGCGACTTTTTCTGTGGCTGTGAACTATGACTGTTACCGCTTTTGCCGCCGCCATGCACAGACCCTTCTTCAATGGATATTCAGCCATGCAAGGTAAGTCATTAAACGAGTCGCACGACCTTCGTCTTCATTGCATTTTCTCTTCCGGGAAAGTCAATTGTGCGAGCTGTCGTAAATCAAGTGCCATCGGCACACGCTCTCTCCCTCTCTTTCTCTCTGGCTCTCTGGCTCTCTTTCTACCTGGCAAATAGGAAACGTAACATTTAAGTAACTTTCTATTCTCGATTTCTTTTTGCTTACAGAAATGAACAGCGGCCAAGGACGTGTCAATCAACTGGGTGGAATGTTCATCAACGGCCGCCCCTTGCCCAATAATATACGCCTGAAGATCGTCAATATGGCCGGCGAAGGCATACGCCCGTGCGTGATCTCTCGACAGCTACGCGTTTCCCATGGCTGTGTCTCCAAGATTCTGAATCGTTATCAGGAAACGGGCTCAATCCGACCGGGCGTCATTGGCGGCTCCAAGCCGCGCATTGCCACGCCCGAAATTGAGAGTCGCATCGAAGAGTACAAACGCACCAATCCGGGCATGTTCTCCTGGGAAATACGTGAAAAGCTGATTCGCGAGGGCTTCTGCGATCGTAGCATGGTGCCATCCGTTTCAGCCATATCCCGCTTGGTACGCGGTCGCGATGCGCCTGTTGAGGTGGACTCCACTAAGCCTTCGTCCAACTCGAGCAGCTCCGATCTGTGCGGCTCCAACTCCACGCACAACAAAGCTTCCGACGACGAAGTTTCCGACTGTGAAAGCGAACCGGGCATCGCATTGAAGCGCAAACAACGTCGCTGCCGTACCACCTTCTCGGCCGCACAGCTGGAGGAGCTCGAGCGTGCCTTTGAGCGCACCCAATACCCGGACATCTTCACTCGCGAGGAGCTGGCTCAGCGCACCAATCTGACCGAGGCACGCATCCAGGTGTGGTTCAGCAATCGTCGCGCTCGCCTGCGCAAACAGCACAACTCTGTAACGGGATCGACTAGCAGCAGCGCCACGCCCACAACCTCCATGCCAAGCAGCAGCAACAGCGCCCACTTATCCCCACTGGCCATGATGAGCATGCCGCCGGCAATGGAAGCAGCTGCCTCCATCTACCAACATTCCTATGACTTCTATAGCAACCCCACCAATCCCAGCAGCAGCCATGGCGCCAGCCTGTCGCCCCTCTGCAGCACCTTGTCGCCTTTGAATACGGCCAATACGCCGCCGCATCACCATCAATTCTATAACACGGCCAGCTACATTATGCCCAGCTCGGCGACGAACAATGTCGAGCAGACGCACTATGAATCCCAACTGGGCTCCGTTTACAGCACTGAATCTGAGCCGCATCAGACAATGCCACGTAATCCGAGTCCCAATGAGTCCATCTCCTCCAACTTTGGCCAGTTGCCGCCCACGCCCAACAGCCTTTCTGCAGCTGCGGTCATGTCCAACGATCCGACTCCAACATCTCTGACCAATGTGAGTGGTGGCAGCGAGGAGCTGACGGCAGCACTCAAAGTGGAGGCGGCGGAGCTAGCGGCCAGCGTATCCAGTGGTGCTGTGCAGCCGCAGCTGTACAGCAGCTGGACGAACACTGGCAACATGCAGAGTATGCGACCCAATGCGCCGCTCTCGCCGGAGGATTCACTCAACTCCACCAGCTCGACGAGCAATATCCTGGACGTCTCTGTTTCAGCCGCTGCCGCTGCTGCCCACCAGATGTTCCATCCCTATCAGCACACAGCTGCCGCACAATATGCGCCATATCCAACGAACACAACACACTCGCACTCGCACACGCACTCGCACACAGCGCACCATCCGCATCATGGGCATCCACACGCGGGGCATCCGCATCCCCATGCACCGCATGCCCAATATGGAAGCCCACATTATCCGGCCAATTCGTCGGCGCATTTTATGCCGCAAAACTTCAATGCAGCCGCCGCCGCAGCTGCTGCCTTCTCCTCGCCCAGCAAGATGAACTATTCAACGATGCCGCCGCAGCCGTTCTACTCCTGGTACTGAGGAGGAGCAGCAGCTGACAGCGGCGCAGCAAGAGAAACTGCTAGATCCTGGGGCAGCCAGAGCTAAAGCGGGTGTTGAGTCACCTCCCCAACCGTTGACATCGCCAAAGATTCATGTACACTAATATGGACACGCTTCCGCAATCCAATCTCTAAGCATTTACCAATATATTTTCTTTTTAGTCTCTAGTTTCTAGTTTGTAAGCTTCGTAAATATATTTTAATTTATATAAAATAGTCGAGCGATTTTTAATTGGCCTCGGGCGAGTGGCCGTGGCCATTCAGTAGCGCTCAGACCTTGACACGCTTCTGTTGCCAGCGGGAGTTTTTTGGGAAAATCTCTGCAAATCTGCGCACATTAGGGCCCTTAAGTAGCGTCTCTTGCCAAGATTTCAACAAACTCTACGGGGACACTCGCCTTGGCCAGCCTGCTGTGAGCCTAGCTGCTTAAGGCTTAAGGCCGGGTCGAAATGCGCACGACTTATCGATACTCTGTACGCAGCTACGTGTTTTCCACATTGGGCAAATCAAAGCCAACTCATATGTTATACTATAAGCAGCTACGCATCGATAAATATCGGTTGACTATGGCCATCGTGAAATGGTAGATCTAGATAGTTGCTTTGACGTCTACATGCTACATTTTGTGTCTTCTCCTACTATGACTTTTTAATCAGTTTCATAACACTTGAGCTACAAATCGATATTTATCGTTTTTATGAATATTTGAAATATTTTTGGGGAATTTGATAACGATGCTCTACATAACATACAATTTTATGTACCACAGCCCACATTCCAAAACACAAATCTTTTATTTAAAAATGGAAAATCGATATTTATCGTTTTTATGAATATTTTAATTATTTTAAGGGTAATTTGATAAGAATACTCTGCATAACATACAATTTTATGTACCACAGCCCACATTCCAAATCACAAATTTTTTATTTAAAAATGGAAAATCGATATTTATCGACATCCCAAACTTGATTCAACTTTCAAACAAATAACTTAAGAATAATCACTGATTTTTCTATAATTTTAAAATCAAAACTAAAATTCGATATTTATCGATTTTAATACATATATGTATTATCGTTATTTTAATAACTTCTGTAGCCCGTCATGCTTAGAACCATTTAGCACTAGCTACATACTAAATATGCTTAGTAAAATTTTCCCTAAAACTCCTCAATTGGACGTCTTACGGAAGTATCCGTTTGCCTTTTACAATAGCCATCGAAATTGGCCCAATGCCTCCAACCAAGGTGTTAATGGCCCATCAATTCTATCGAACTGGCTAATTGCCCTAGTTCGAGAGCCAACAATTTACCTCAAATTCACACCTCGATTTCCAGCATTATCCTGTCGTAGCGTCTACGACGCATCCAGCTCAACACCTCACTACGTGCGCAATTAATGAAGTCAGCCTCGTTGTCGAGTCGTAGACAGCTCAGACAAGCCTCGAGGCTGTTTCCCGAGTATCTCAGTTGTATATTATTTTAATCTAGTTTTTCAACTTGAAAAATGTTTATCCTAATCGTGTTTTTTCTTTCTCTCTCTGTCTGCAGACAGCTAAAGTAAATATTGACTTTACAATCGACTTAGGATCCGCTTGTTCCAGGTACTTCAGCGTACTTTCTACACATTTTTGCAAAAATTGCACAAAATCTATTTAGAACTTGAGATTTCTTTTCGAATTTTGGTTTTGTTTTTCTTTTGGCTAATATTTTTCAGTTAGCTTGTGTTTTTTAGAGTGTCTCAAAATGGAAGTTTACTTGAGGCAATTGTTTTCTATAGATAATTAGGATAGTGTTCTTGTTCTAGTTAAATATTTCATAGTCTTCTGTTTCTTTAAAAACTGCTAAGTCACGTCATATTACAGCTACAGCAACTGTAGCTAGCTTTACTATAGCAAGTACTAGAACTCTATCTACTACTGTATCTACTACTCCTTTATGTGCTACTACTCTTTTACCAACTATTTTATTTAGTACTAGTAGTACTACTTTAAATACAATTGTCATATCTGGCACTACTATTATATGGCGTGCTACTACTATATCTAGATATGTGCTACTACTACTGCAACTACTTCTACTACTATATCTAGTACTACTACTGCAACTACTTCTACTACTATTACTACTACTACAACTAAGGCTACTACTATTACTACTGCTCTACCTCCCACTACTACTATTACTACTACTCTATCTACTACTACTACTACTACTCTATCTACTACTAATCTATCTAATACTACTACTACTACTCTATCTACTACTACTACTACTACTACTACTACTACTCTGTCTACTACTACTACTGCTCGATCTACTACTAGTACTACTATTAATATTACTGCTGCTACTACTTTTACTACTACTTTTGCTACTACTACTACTACTACTACTACTTTTGTTACTACTACTACTACTACTACTACTTTTGTTACTACTACTACTACTACTACTACTACTACGACTTTTACTACTATTGCTCTATCTCCTACTACTACTATTACCATTACTATAACTACTACTATTACTATTACTACTACTACTACTGCTACTACTACTACTAATAATAATAATACTACTACGGCTACTACTACTATTTCTACTGCTCTATCTACTACTACCACGGCTAGTACTGCTACTACTACTATATTTAGCACTGATATGCCTTCTACTACCATACTATGCTTCTACCATATAGGCTACTACTACCTCTCTAGCTACTACTAATTCTGCTATGTCTACTACTACTTCCACAATATCAACCACTACTATATATCTCCAACTACAACACTACGCTACTACCATATCTACTACTAACTTATCTACTAATACTACTAACACATATATCTAATGCTGCTAATCGATTCCTACTTTATCTACTACTGCCCATCTGCTCAACTCCTTTACCTACTACAAATAGATGTGTTACTACTAATTTGCTACTACTACGCCAAAATTGTATGAATATAAGTTTTGACTGCTGCTTGATTTTGTTTATATTTATTTTGTTTATATTTTCCATTCCATTTTGAAATGCATAGAAGAAAATCGATGTTATTTTATTTTATTTTTATAGGCTATTGCCCAAGTTACGAAGCTTGTCTAATGCCAATTTAATAGCACCTCGGATTTCTCCCTCTCGTCAGCTCCAGCCAGGCTAATAATGCGCCAAGCTCAATAAATTTTAACTTTAATTAAAATTTGATCAACGGACTCCAAGTGGCCCTCTCACACATGCATATACAAACGCATATATAGACATATAAGCACGGTAGCTTGGCGAGCTTCGACAAATGTATTTTGAGTAAATGTTACAAATCTTAAATACTACGCATTAATTTTCGGTAGCGAAAAGGCATTACAACCAATTCCCCGAGTCGAAGTTCGTAAGCTCAACGCTGGACTTGAACCTAACAGCGGAGTCAGAGTCAGAGTCGATTCGAGTCGAGTCGAGTCTTTCGACTAATGAACTTTTGGAGCGGACGCTCGACTGGAGCTCTGCGAGGATCAGGGGCGGAGGCTGGCTGCTCACTTCACTTGACGTGATTAATGGACCAACAAAGTGTTGAACATCAAAGGTAGGAAAATAGTAATTTACAATATATCCACAGCGACGAAGCCCGAGATGAGCTATAAATTTAATTTATTATGCCCTAACAGAGGGTACTACGAGTTTAAAGAGAAATATGTTACCCAGAAGGATACTAAATATAATATGTGGCGATAGAATATGGAATATCGAAGTCTTAGACTTCAGTTAGAGTGACTCAGTAAGGGCATGCCCTAGTCTGCATCTATAGCAAATCAATTCATATCTTGAAATTTGTTATTATTTAGACATCATTATAAATGGTTAGCCAAAGATCAGACGTATACCTGTTGCAATGAAAGCGCTGATGGTCCAATAATAACCTCGTTTCGACGTTCAGCTGGTCGTATCAGGCGTTGCCTGGGCCATAAGAAGCGCAAAACCTCAAAATATTTACAGGGTCGAGGCGAGAGTCAAGCGGGACTATCCCAAATATTTGTGCAAACTGAGTGCGAATAAATTGTGAATTCCTGGAGGCAGGCATCGGGATTCGAGATTCGAGATTCAGTGCTCAGGATTCGGGCTGGTGAAAGGATTTGACAGGGTCAGACAAGCAGCATAAACACTGGCCGGGGATTAAGGCAGTTCGGAAATAATCCTTTGCTGCCAGGAAGCACGAAGCGCAGGCAGCAACGCGACTTCGACTCATTTTACGATGGCCTCATAAACTTTTATTTGCCGTCCATTCTTCGCGTCCTGGCTGAGGACGAAGCGCATGCGCAGCTCGGACATGAACCCCTTTTGTGGGTCGGTCAACAGGCAAGAGTTAAGCATGGAAAGGCTTAGCTTTCGGCTCGAACTCTCAAAACGAAGTCAAAGTCAGGTAGGACAGCGGCCGCGGTCCTGGCAGGCAGCATGAGGACGATCCTTTCGCAAGGGCCGATAATCCTTGCTAATGAGGTGTTTGCTGCAACTGCTGAAACAGCGCAGCATTTAAGGCTGCCTGCAAAGTCCATAAGTCAAGGATAATCGAGGATAATAGCCAAAAGTCTAAGCTGAATGAATCTATATATAATAAATGTATATAGTAACTGCTCTAAATTTCTGATTATTAGTATTAGTATTATTAATATAATATATAAGTGAAGTTATTAAAATAACTGACTTGTGCTGTAAATATTAGCATTTATATATGTAGGTATGAGTCTCTGAATACCCTGTAAATATGGTTTATCGTAAGCCTCCAGCATGAAAAGTTCAGCTACATTAGACTGCGCTTGAACTTGGTTTAAGCTGTGATAAATTAGATATATTAGAGACTCAGATTTATATAGGGCATTGAGATTCTCTAATTATTTTTTAAATTTATCTAAAGTTACTTTTCTAAACATAAGTCAATAAGGTTCAGGATTCGAATTCTACTCGAAGAAAAAATGCGTCAAAATTGCTCAAAATATTTTCAATGAAATTTCATTCGCTAAATTTACATCTAATTTTCAAATGAGTTGAAATTAAATTTTAATTATTTTTTTTTTATTATTATAAAAATCTGTCAATTATATTTTGATGCAATTTATGACAGACTTTTAAAATGAAAAAATCAAATTAAAATTGTAAAATATATATTCATATTTTAATACATGTTTCAGCTCATATGAAATTTCTGCTCTAAATATTTAGATGTAAATAAAGTTAAATAAATTTTTATTTTTTACCACACACTTCATTTTCTGAATATATAGTTAGTTATAGAAATAGAGATTTATCTGTGTTTTTATTAGATGCTGTCAATGCGTCTGTTTTACTTAATTATAATCTCTAATCGTAGATAGTTATATCTCCCAAATATCTTGCTGACGATCCAATGCATCGACAATTAATTTTCTCTTAGACTCACAGCTACAATTTCTATGCTCATGAAAAGCTAAGACTATTTTTATTTATTTTATTTATAAAATTTAATTAGTTATATTCCATATTTATTAAAAATATTTTCTATATATTTTCCATATGTTTTCTGAATATTTTCTATATTACAACAAAATTGTTGCTTTTATTTGTATTATTTGTATATATTTAAATATATTTAAATTGTAGCACAAGACTATATCTGTCAAGAAGTTCATAGCTTCCCCATGCCGATATAGCTCACTGTATATAGATCTACTTGCTCTATACAAATAATGTATGGCATTTGAATGGCGCACACTAGGACACTTCTAGAGACATCGGCTAATCAATGTCTATTGGCAAACATTTGGTTTGGTCTGTCACGACGAACTACTGTCTGGCTGTTCAGTTGTTAAGCTGTGCAGTACACTGTACTCGTCCTGTTGGTCCTGCTTCGTCCTGTTGCTGTCCCACTGGCAGGCGAGGCAGCGCCTGCTGTTAGCTCACACAAATTGATTTGTCAAATTGAGGCGCACAAGGACATTGCGATCATTAACGATGATTGCAGGACACGACGAACGTGGGTCGAAGGTCGCAGCGCAGTTGGACCAGGAAACTGAAAACTGCAAACTAGAAAAACTGAGCATTGTCAACACTTTGTTGAGATGCTACCACCAACTGTTTCTGTTTCGCGATCCTCCTGCCAGTTGGAGTTTTATTAATAAACACATAGAAGAAGTTAGAGCTGGATGGAGAGATAGGGAGAGAGCGAGATGCTTTGATCTTGCAAAATAGTCGTAATCGATTTGGAATGCTTGGCGGGACCTTCTGCTGATTGTATTTATAGCTTACCTCTTGGTTAGCAACTTGTCAGCTTCCTTTTGGCAAGCTGCACTCAGCAAGTGTCTTCTGTTTGGACCACAAAACCAAACTGAACAAATTTACGCTAAGACTCTGGAACCGTTACGCTATTTTAGAGCGCACAATTATATAGATATCTTTGGATATATACATATAGCTATCATGCACAGCTAATGGATTGCTAAATGCTAAGTTTTGCTATTCTAATCCTAATTGCAGATCTACAAAAGCAATTCCAACTAACTCAAGCTAATTAACTAGCTAGCTAGAGTTGCGTCTACATGCCGACAGGTGGCGCCCAACCCCCCCGTTTGAATTGGTTTGTTTGCAACTCTGTGACCGGGGCTTATGCCATCTAATACAATAAATGGACAATGCTAATGCGCTCACCTGTGCCCAACTGACATTATAATTAATGACGAATCGCCCAGGCCGTCGGCTGACGGCTGACGCCTGAAGGGCAATCAACAGAGAACAATGGGCATATTATTTTCGATTTTCGATATATGAAAAAGAAAACTTAGACATCTTATCGCCTGGGCGCTACCTAGCGTCTGCTGCTGCATATTAATATTAATGGTTTGTTATTATATGACCTGGTGCCTCAGTACTGCCACAGCTAGACCTCCAGTCCAGTCTCAAGCCTCAAGTCTCGGACTCCTTTTGGGTTTGCCGTGGGCTTTGTTCACGCCGCGATTGCTTCACTGCACTGACGCCTGGCGTGACGATTTTAATTTGTTTTATTATTATTATGTAGATTGCGGCACGGGGAGCTTGCAATGGACCTGCCATAAAAAGAGAGAGAGCGAGAGAGAGGGAGAGAGAGAGAGGGAGCAAATGAGAGCCAGAGCGAGGGTATTCCGTAATATTTGGCAATGCGACTTTGTTTTTCCCTCCATCAGCGCATTGTTATTTTTTATACACTGTAAATATATAAAGAGGTGTATAGAGATATATAGTATATATTATATTAAAAATGTAGTGCAGAGTTTTATATATGATTTTCTTCGTATTATATGCTCTACTTACCATGTGAAAGTGGAGCCTATATACTTGGTATATATATTGTATATATGTATATACATAAAACATATACAATAGAATTAAATTATAAACTAAAAATAAATACAAATTAGAAATTCGATCTAGGCAGCTGAAGTATAGTTTTCAGACTGCAAAAACTAAATACCATATCAAATTGACAGTAGATATATATTTCGTCTTTATCAAGAATTTTATACTATATTTATAATATATATTAAGCAGATTTATTATATATTCAGCCTCAGGGAAAGCTGTTCTTATGACTTGGCTTGCTGGATAATTACAGTTCGAAAGCAACTGCAATTGAAGCACAGTTTTACAGTCACAACCACAATCAGTTATCTCATGTTTTTACAGAGTATTACGCAGTCGTCAACTTTCGAATGCTTCCCCCTTTTTCTCCATTTTTATGGTAGCCAGCGTAATTAGTCGCACGCTTCGCGGGCAGCGCCACCTAGCGGCTGGCGGAGAGTAACGAACGGCATTGCCCGACATTCCGCGAAGGCAGGGCCCAAACTAACAGCTAATGAAGCCCCCTTCACGGTATGCGCCAGCACCACTAGCAACAATAGCAACAACAAGAACTGCGACAATGTAGACCTGGCCTCAGCCGCAGTAGCAGAAGGCTTCAAGTCGGCTTCATGGACGCGTGCAAATTCCTTTGAAAAGAAAAGAAAGGAGTTGAAAGTTTTTTTTTTTAGTTTTTGCTTTATCTGCATTTGGCTCGCAATTTACGTACTTTGCGTTTATTTTGTTTATTTTACAGCCAACTAAATGCGGCATGTGGCACGTTTAGCGTTTAATATATACACACATATACTCCTTATATAAACATATATACATCTATATATTTATTTGTATAGGTCTTGTTCGCGGAAATTAAGTTTGACTTGTGGAAGTTCATTTCAGTCGCAATGATTGAGAACTTTTTAACATGATATGAAATGATGTAAAGTGGGTGCTGTAAGTGAAGAGAATGAGAGAGAGAGAGAAAGAGAGAGAGAGTGAGAGAGAGAGAGAGAGAGAGGGAGAGAGAGAGAGAGAGAGTGAGAGTGAGAGAGAGAGAAAGTGAGAGACAAAGAACGATGCAGATGGAGTGCTTGGAAGAGAAATTGGAAGAGGATGAGGAAGTGCTAGAGAGAGGGAGATAGAATGTGAGATATATATAGAGGAAGAAAAAGAGAGAGAAAAAAGATATGGAGGCTTAGATAATGACATATGGAGGAAAATATAGAAAGAGAAAGAGAGTGGGGAGCAAAAGAGATGGAATATTGTAATGGCAAATTATATCGACGACTTCAAGTAGACGTTTTCAAGCTGACTTCTTTATCTACAACTGTGCATATCTACATTTAGATATCTATCTGGATGTATCCAAATATATGTCTATACATATATAAACATTATCTATTGTATGTCTATATCTATATCTATATCTATACCTATACCTATATCTATATCTATATCTATATGTATATCTATATCTATATCTATATCTATATCTATATCTATATCTACATCTATATCTATATCTATATTTTATTAAATATCTCTATACAGATATCCAGTTCTCACTCCCAGCTTTCACACTTTTCCAGATCTATGTTGGGACTTCCCGATTCTCCATAAAAACAAAAACTTTATTGTATTCTTATTTTATTGAATCTTATCTTAGGTTCATTTTGGTCTTTTGCGAGATTTCCTCAAATATAATATATACAAAATATACAGAGATCAATTTCTCCAGAAATCAATTCAAAATATGGCTGAACGACAACGACGTAGCACGCCTTTGTGCTCCAGGACACGCTCTACGCCGTAGCCATGCCACAGCGTATCCGGCGGCTTGTTCCAAGTGATGAAGTACGTCTTGTGGACGGCAGTGCGCGGCGGCTTGGTGCGTCTTTGCAGACGCCGTCGAAAGGGCCAGAGGAACCAGTGGAAGGGACCACGACTGATGGGATGTGCAGAGACAGCAGCTGGAGGGGAAGTCTGCAGTGTATCCAGCTGTAGCTGCGGCTGCGGCTGTGGCAGCGGCTGCTCCGCTATCACCGAATCCTCCGCAGCTCTGTGAGTTGGCAACGAAATGGCCTGCATTTGCTGCTGACTGTGGACGGGTATAATGCGTGTGCTGGAGTTGAAGACCTCGACATCATCATCATCATCCTGGGCAATCCAAGGCTTGTAATCCAGTGGTTCGGGCTCCTCCAGTTCCTCCAGAATGGGCGAAACGCGATTGCTGCGATTACACCTGAAGCAACGAGGCAAACGGGAGCTCAGCTTCCGTTGCAGTTCGGGCTTCGACGCCTGCTGCCCCTGCTCCTGTTCCTGCTGCGGCATCTTGACCAGTATGAAGTGATCGTTGAGCAAACAGACATCCGATACCTTATCGCACTTCTCCTGCTCGCCAAAGAACGAATCCAAGTCCACGCTCTGCGGATAGATGCGATAGTCGTCGCGATGCAGAGCCAGCAGCTGCTGTTGCTGCAGGGCCAAGAGGCTGCCTCGTCGCTGCGTTTGAATGAGGCTGCTCAGCTGCTGGTCGACACATCTCATATGCTGCAACTGCTGCTCGACAACGGCCTGTGTACTGCGGCATATACTTCTGCTGTTCATATAACTCCACTTACCATAGCGCTGCTCCAATATTCTGGCAAAGATCTGGGCGCTCTTTCGGTTGCATGGCGGTCGCTGCTGCGGCATCAGCGCCGCGGACAACGACATCCTGATACATCCAGATATTGTTCGAATGAATTCCTGTATGCAGAATATTACAAATCAGTTAAGATCAATGACAGTTAAAGCGTAGTATTCCAAGGTTGAGTAGCAATTTCAATCAGTTAAACATGGCAATAGAGTTGTATCGTCAACCTACACTAAAAGTAGCTCTAGCTCTTAGCTACAAGCTCTTAATTAGTTCTTGTAGTTCCTTTTCAAATAAGTTTGCTAGTACCACAAGATTCGCTGTGGTTCCGTTTGCAAATTGAACCACTAATTCGCCAAGGACTGCGAATCTGAATCTGCTCAGTTTAAAGTAAGCTCTGCAGAAACTTTTCAGTTCAGCTGGTTCCATTTATAATACCAATAACTTGAATTGGTTTCTTCTTTCTTTTTCTGTATCTGATTGCTTTATTCAATTGCCTAGAGGTTACGAGCACGAAGCCAATTTAACTGTTGCACACGCGTGAAAATGCATTATTTAGTAATTGCGCTCGCAATGTAATTGAATATCCAAAACGTAAGTGAAATCGTTTTTCCTGTCATAGAGAATAAAGTACTTTTTGGCACTCCCCCCTTTTTAAGACCGCCCAATATATATATTATCTATAAAGCCAGCACACGTTTATCCTTTCGACTTTTGACTCGGCAATTTTAGTTGAGGGTCAGACTGCAGACTGCGGGCGCCAAGAAATGAAAACCAAGGCAAAAGGCGACATGAGTTGCTTCCGCGTCATCCAATGCCAACGGCAACAACAACGGCAACAATAGTTACAATAATAACAACAATAAAAAATGTATTTGATGCGGCACTGGCAACACGAAAGTTTTATTTATTATTTTGACAGGTAAACAAATCACGAGCTCAACACAAACACAAACGCAAAAGCCGCAAGCCACTCACACAAACGCAGACACACACTAATGCACATTCACGCTCTACGCTTACATTTTGTTCTTTCTGCCTGTTTCGTATATGCCGTTAGGTTTTTTCGTCACGTTGCGCGCCGCTTGGCTCGCCAAAGACAACTGAAGCCGACTTTTAGGCTGCGCTGCTCGAGTATTCAGCTTGCACGACGTAAGCTCTAGCGTCACGTCACGTAAAGTAACGTAATGCAAGCGCAACGGCTGCTGCTGTTGCTAGCGCATTTGCATTTAGCCTGTGTTAGCGGCTGAAATAACACAATTGGCAATTAAAAAGACAAACAATCGAATACACATGCATGGAAGCGTGTGTGTGTGTGCGTGTCTGTGCGCGTCCATTAAAAGGAACATTTTGGAATGCATTTAGTGGAGTTGGTATAGTTAATGTGTTAATAGAGCAAATACATATACATATGTATATAAAGTCAAGGTCATCAAATATTGCCCATACGTTACGTATATACTATGCACGTATCTCTTTTACAAAATTGTTTCCTAGCTAGCTTTAAAGTTGCCTAAAGAAGTTAAACGAGGTTACAATAAAAATAAAGTATTTTTCGATTTACGGGTGAAATAAACAAACGTGTAATACCTATACAGAAATTATTTTTAAGGAATTAAGTTGCAATAATAAACAAAAGTTAAAATAAGGGGAAATAAAGTTTCAAGTAATAAAAATTAAAATTAAAACTAAAATACAAATTTAATAACACTTTTAAGTAGAAGTTCATAAATCTATTTGATATTGTATAAGTTATGAATATAGATAAATATTTTAGATAGAGAAATTGATGCATAAATCACATATATATACTTTGTTTATATTTTTCTATATTTATAAAATTTTTTCTTTATTTTATTTTTATATTTTATATTTATATTTTTGTGTTTTGATTTTTATTTAATTTTGTATATATTTTTTACTTTTATTATTATATTTTTAATTTTATTGTAAAATATTTTTTTTCATATTTCTTAATTTTTTTGCTTTGCCTTATCAGAAATTTGGTTTTTGTATGAAATCTATTTTTAATACTTTATTATTTCTATAATGATTCATTAGCTACTCCAAGCTCTTCAATTATTTTCAACTTTAATATATATCAATGAATCAAACCTTCCTTGCTCCCAAACCCCAGCTCATAATTGAGTTTGTTTTTGTCATTATTATTGATTCTTAATGCACGCAAATAATAATACGGTAGTGCAGACACACCACTCAATATATGCATGTGGGCGATAATGGGCGACGGGGCGGGCCATAAAACCCGAGCATTAATGTCCATTTGGATAATAGGAATATAGACTAGTCAGAGGGTTGTAGTTTCGCTGTGCTTCTGATTGAATCAGGTGGAACTGAACAGGAAAAAAAATAACAAATAAGAATGATACATGGGGCACAACCGAGTGCCCAATACTCGTTAACAATACGAGAAACAGCTAAGCTTATGCGAAAATCGATCGATTCAACATGCTCCAATGATCGAATCATATTTTATATATATGGCTGTCACTGCAGAGGTGCTCCATAAACATTGGAAACTTCAGTCTTTAGTTTCAGTAGCCAGACGACCATGTGCACAAAGCCAATATACCCCCTGTTGAGTGTGTGAACGAGTATGGAACAGGGAACCAGTCAATGTTTACTTTGATTTGTGGCAAACAAAGCAACGCAAGTGATTTGCCGATTTACGTAAAAGTCACGAAAAGTTCAATATTTGATTTATGTGTAGATACAATTTCATACATTAATGCTCTGCTATGAGTAATTCTTAGGTATAGTAGGGCTTAGAGTGAGAACTATTTTGGATTCTAAAAAATGACGAAATGAGCCGTCAAAGCTTAGCTTTTGTTTCAGAGCTGAAAGGCGAATGTATTATATTACTTATACAGTATATACAAAATAAGTCGGATTATAGCGTAAATCATTCATGTTCAAGGCCTACTCGAGCATTTCAAGAACTACAAAATATTTATTAATTATTTTGTAGAGTATTCCATTACTACAGCGTAAGTCTCATGCATGCAGGGTCCAGCATTTCTTTTAATACAATTAATATTTATTATTATAATTAGAGTGAGAACTATTTTGGATTCTAAAAAATGACGAAATGTATATTCACAGGGTATAGCCTAAGTTGAGGTTTTATTGCCAGAGCACTTTCAAGTGCTGTTTCTAGTCGTATTGCCATTCTTCTTCGATCTGATATTGAATATATATATTGAATATATATATAGTTCAACAGCTGATCAAACAAATTGACATCAATTACGCGTAGCTTTCGTCGATCGGAGCTGTTTAATTAAGGCGCGATCTGAGTTGAAACTGACTCCCTTAACTGACCTTCTCCAACAGTCAGAATAAGAGGCATGAAATCAACTTTCAGAACAATAAAACTGGTTATATCAGAAAGAAAGACAGAGAGAGAGGAGGGAACAAAGAAGGAGATAGCAGCAGACAAAGAGAGGCAATAAAAACTGCAGTCAGGGACACGCGATACGAAGCGCTAAAGATCTGAGCAACTGCCCAACCCAAAGCCCTGCCTCAACAATGGCTTCATAAAGTTCATGTTTTGTTTTGCTTCACATTTTGTTAAATATATATTTATGCACATTAACTAGTCGGAACATACTGAACTTGAACTTGGGCCGCGAACTGTTGCTTCGTCACCGGTCATACTCAGCGACTAATAACAAACGACCCGACAACTCGGTGGCAAGGAAAGCGTTTTGTTTTTTTTTTTTTGTTTGTGTTGGTCTGCGCAAAGCGCTCCGAAAACGGTAAATCATGCAATAACAACAACAACGAGATGAGCAAGTAAGAGTGTTCAAATTGAACGTGATCGACTAAAAGATACGCTGGAAGCGAGTGCGAGTTGTGTTTAAATTTGAAATTAGATGTGCAACCTACTCCAAATATATCGATATTTATCGATTTTGGCAATGCATAAACCCCATAAGCATCTATTTAGTATAATCAATCACCTAGAACTGCACATGCTTACAAGATCTACAGCTGTATGTGTGATAGAATAGCATAAATTGAACATCGATATATATCGATTTTAGCAAATCCAAAAAATTAATTTCATCTGCATTATTATACATGTATTTTTTTTAGGAATATGCACATTCACTCTCATAAATAATCAATACTCGATATTTATCGATTTTACCACATAGTCTAAAACTGCGTTAGTACACAATATCATCTATTGACAACCTTTTATCTTGATTATTTAAATTACAAATTTTAATAAGTGAAGAAAATCGATATTTATTGATTTATCGATATATCACACGACATACTTTTAGTTGTACATATGAATTGACCCTAAAAATAAGCTTTGATATATAAAAGTCCGCCTGTTACATACTCTTGCTTTCGTTCATACTACCCTATACTGAATATTTTCAATGAGTATGCAACATTTAAGCATAATGAAGCTGCAGTTCGGCTTTTGTTTTAAGCTTGTCAACGGAAGGTCACAGCTCGCCTTTGCTTTGGATCAACAAAAACATATTTTTGTTTTGGAGCACTTATTTGTCCTTGACTTGGTGCTCACTTTTGTTTACCAAGGATTCCCTACACTAACTCTCTCTCTCTCACTCTCACTTGCTCTCCTACACACTTTTGCTCTCTTGCGCTCTTTCCATATCGAAGCTCAGTCAAGTTTTCGTTGACTTGGTGCGCGCGCAGCTCCAATCAGTTGCTGGTAAGCAGCGAAGCATTACAGTTGCACAGCTGAAAGTAGCTAATAAAAAAATACGACTCGAGTTGCATAACGGAAATTAACTAATTTTTGTGGCAAGTTGCAAGTAGTTCAACAAATTGTTAAAGCGCACCTCGCTGCCTATTCAATTGCAAAACACATTCCCAGCTATATACCTCTCTCTCTCCCTGTCGGTCTGTCTATCTAAGACATTGCAACATGTTGTTGCCACAAAAAGAGAATCGCCTCAGTCGGTCGCTCGGTCTGTCTGCCCATTGAGCTAAGCGGAAAAGCCACTGCAGCAGTTACATTTGCCTCTCTGTGTGTGTGTGCCACATTGAATTGCACGTAATTTTCATTTTGGCTAAAAAGGAAAGTGAAAATGTTGCATATAAGCAGCAAAGACAGAAAAAAAAAGCTTGCAGCTGGTTCACCTACGCTGCTCCACGCCCTCTTCCTCTCCCGCCTTGAATAAGTTCATGCCCGAAAGGTTGTGAATACGGAAGACAAACTGTGTTATAGCATTTGCGGTGTAAAACATTGAAATTCAAATGAAAACAAAATAAAATTTTAAACTTTTCATTTAACATTTGCAGCGAGAAGCCAAACAAATTTACTGAGCAAGATGATTGAGCGGGAAATTATACAGTAAGTGCAAAATGCTAAAAGTACTAATGGATTGTAATAATTATTATAAATTGTTCATTGTGCATTAGCAAAAACAACAACGATCTCAAAGCAACTGAATGAATGCATTGTCATCGACTTAATGGATATTTGTCAAAGTTCTAGCCCAACAACTAGGCCAAGTTTTATCGTCAACACTGGCAGCTTTTCAATGATAGCTACTATATGCTTATATGTATATATGCATATATATATATCTATATAGATAGATAGAGTTGGGCTTATCATCATTAGCATAAGGCAAAAGTCCGTTGACCGTTTGAACATTGCGCGCTTAGTCGAAATGCAGTTAAGGCCGCATGCAAATAGTTATATTAAATCATTTTGCATGTGCAAATGTCGTCAGATTCGTTTGCATATTTCTCTTTATATTTTTTGTTTTGCAAATATTTGATAAATTTATCTGTGACTGTTAACTGGGAAAATTGAAGGAAATTCGTAACTTTTAAGGGAATTTTCGTTGAGATTTGCGGTTTAAGTATTTGCTAATTAATAGTGTGGAAGGCAAAATATGTTTTAAGAGTATGTCTCTATTAGACAAATGTGTTTTACATTATGTTCTAAATACAGATATACAATTTTGATTATCTCTATGTTTTCTAACGTATTTGTGTTTGGAAATTTGACAGATTATAGGGCACTTATTTGCACTACAAAAGTTTGTGGTGTGAGTATTTGCTAATTGATGCACTGGCAGGAGAAATAGTTTTTGGCAGTTCTATTAGCAAAAAAGTGCCAATAATGATACGGCTCTGTGTTAAGTGACATGCCGACGAGTATGTACTGTTAAAAATATAAACAAGCAATTGGCACGCTAATTTAAGCTTGTTACTTTTAAAGCACACTTAAAGAATCTTACTCAATATTCAATGGTCATTTCAAAGGAAATTAAGCGCACTTAGGTTTAATGGACATTTTAAAGGAAATTTCGCAAACTTAAGGGAATTATCGACATGAAGACTATATCGATAAATATTTTTTATGTTAACTGACAGTTAATGACTATTTGAATAGGGCAAAAAAGTTGTGTTAAAAATGTATAATTGTCTCCCCGTGTTTCTTAAGAGCTTGAGCAGGTTTAAACACAAATATTCGATATTTATGTATTATTTAATTATTTATATTGTTTTCTTTTTAAATGGCAGCACCACAACCGCATCGAGAAAAATGTTTTCATTTTTACAGGACTTGCTCCAATTCCTGGTGCTGTTTGTACGCGTTCTAATAGAATTAATAATTGTGCTGCTCCGATCGATAGTGCCAAAAAAATTGAAGGATATTAGCGAAGAGATTGTGCTGGTAATTAAACTACGTTATTCAACAGAATATATATAAATATATATAAATTACCAGATAACTGGTACGGGGCATGGCATTGGCAGGGAGCTCGCATTACACTATGCCGCTTATGGCAGCACAGTGGTCTGTGTGGACATTGACGAGAAGAATAACATGGAAACTGTGCAAGAGGTGAGGCGCTTAAATCGTGGAGCTGTGCACAGCTTTAGGTAAGTGCAAATGTTGATTAGGAGTTAATGATAAATAAATTGAAATTTTGTTGCAGCTGCGATGTCTCGAAGCGCGACCAGGTGCTCGCGCTGGCCAAGCGTGTGCAAACTGAGGTAGGCCCCGTCTCTGTTCTGGTCAACAATGTGGGCATAATGCCGACGCATCCTTTGCCCCAGCAATCGGCCGAGGAGATACAACGCGTCTTCGATGTTAATGTATTTTCGCAATTCTGGACCATTCAAGCATTCCTCGGTCAAATGAAGGAGCAGGGCAAAGGTCACATCATCTCATTATCATCCATTGCCGGGCTGGTGGGTCTCTCGAACTTGGTTCCATATTGTGCAACGAAGTTCGCTGTGCGTGGCATGATGGAGGCACTGCACGAAGAGCTTCGCGAGGGGCCCTACAAAGATCTGGTAAGCACTTAGTATATAGGACTGTTTAAACTTAATTAATAAGTTTTCCTTTATTTAGATTAAAGTTACGACTATTTTTCCATATATGACGAATACTGGTCTTTGCAAGTATCCGAAAGTTAAGTTTCCCACTATTTTGGGTTTGTTGGATCCAAAGCAAGTGGCCATGCGCATTGTGGAAGCGCATCGTTCCAATTGTCTGGAGGTAACGATACCCAGCTGCCTGATGTACATTAACAATTGGACCCGACTGTTGCCCAGCAGTTGCGGCATTATGCTTAAAGACTATATAGACAGTGGTGTGGAGTCGGATTTGAATTAATATTGTACTGTTTTGTCATAGAATATGTGTGTGTGTAATATGAGTTTTGGAATATTAAAGGTAGTATTGGCCATCGATCCAAGCGTTTAATTGGAAGAAGCAAAGTCGTATGCATTCAAATTGGAGAAAATTGTATATGTTATCGAGTTCAACAGCACAGATTTAACTGAGCGCCAATTATTGCTTCAACACTAAAATAATTATCGATATTTATATCGACTGCAGTATTTAAGAGAGCTGGTCATATCCTAGCGTTTATTTTTCCATACTAACAGCTGTTAGTTGCACAAGTCTGGCAGCACTCGCTTGCCAGCTGTGGTATGACAACAAAGAAAAATGGCTTGCGAAGTAAAAACATTTGGAAATATTTTAGATTTTCGCAAGGTTCAAGAATATTTTGGACTCGGACATGGTAAACATACAGGAGTTAACCTTTAATATAAACTTAATAACTGTTTGCCAATTCCAAAACAGACGACAATTGGCTTAACGGCGTCAACTATGCCATGTCACCCACTGGAGAGGCGATTGCCCTGGCGCTGGGTGAAAAGTTGGCATTTCTAACCACCTGCTGGAATAGTCGGGGTAATGAGAATAGCTATGCGCTCAGTTGGTGTGGCGAGCTGGAAGATGGTAATCAAATTGTTACCAGTCTAATGTGTATGCCCATGCTGCGTGGCACCGAGATCGAATGGACTTGTATGGCAATCGGCTTGGCCTCGGGCATGGTTATATTCTATACAGATTCGGGTGTGAAGCTCTTCTCGCAATGGTAAGCTGTATAGAATTCTATGTTGACTCACAAATAATCGTGTAATATTCGCATTTAACAGCTGCCAGGAGGAATCTGTTTTGGGCATCAAGCTATTGTCGCCTCCGCGCCACACAGAAGCTGATGCCTTGCTTTATATTATCTACAGCAACTGCATGTGCTTCATCAATGGAGAGGACATTTTGCCAATGCTCGCCAGTTGCCGACATAATATGGAACGCAGCGTGTACTCTAGTTCCGATGTGGTGCCTTTTCAAAAATTCAAATTCAAGCTACAGAGGGAAAGCATCCTCAATGACGCCGTCATCTGCACGAATCAGCGTTCGCCCACCTATGATTATATTGTACAGCAAAGCATTTCAAATGGCTACTTTGCTCGAGTGCAGGCAACGCCTGTGCGCAGCACCCAGGTCTTAGCAGCCGGAGCAGAGCCTTATTTGGGCTTCTTCGAAGCGGAGGAGGGCTACAAGACAGTCTCGCTCGGAGAGGTAGCTAAAGATGTCATTGGCATGGCATACAAAAATCTTCTAGGTGGCCTCTTCAGGCGTACGCCAGCAACAACACCCGAAACGCCGGAGCAGCTGCCGCTGCCCAGCAAAGAGGCGCCTATGCGCACGCGCTGCCGCCTCTATGATGGAAAACGCGATGGCCTTACCTTGGTCCTGGCACCTGGTGGGAAATTGGCGGCAGTAACAGATAATCTAGATCGTGTAATGCTTGTAGATACACAGCAAGCGATTATATTGCGCGTGTGGAAGGGTTATCGAGATGCCCAGTGTGCATTTGTCCCAATCAAAGAGCGTTCGGTGCGCGGGATTAAGACTCATAGGCGGAAAGCGCTCTTTCTGGTAATCTACGTGCCCCGTCTCGGCTGCCTGGACATTTGGGCTCTACAGAATGGGCCCAAAGTGGCCGCGTTCAATGTCTGCAAGAGCGGCCAATTGATTTACAACAACCACAGTCCACTGGGCGCGGCGGGCGTGCAGATGCGTCGATCGCCCAATTTGAATTATTGCCTATTTCTTGATCCCAGCGACAGCAGCTTAAAGGAAGTGCACATACCATTCCACTATGCACTCAGCGAGACGAATTCGCAAACATCGCGGGACATTCACTCGCTGCGACGCCTGCGCAATCAACTGCGATCGCTGAGCCAATCGGGCGAGGACAGACAGGAGCAGATCTCTGCCATAGCCAAGCTGGCTGGGGAGCTGGAAACGTTGGAGGTGCGGCAGCAATGCCTGGAAATGTTGCTCAAAAGCAAACGACTGCACCCTGAACTATTCCAAAGTATTGTGAATGCCTTTGATCAGGCCAGTGCGCAGGATGAGGCCAATCAAGAGTTTCTACAGCAAATCGCCAACTACAAACGCTTGACTGATCTTTATTTGACCTTGAGCCTAGCTCAAAAGCATTATGTCGATAGTATTGCTCCACCGGTGGAGCTTTTAGAGCTCTCCGATGCGGATTTGGTTACCATTAATCAGCTGGTGATTCTATTGGAAAATAACAGCGAGCAACCGGCCATACGCGAGGTTAGCTTTCAGCTGCAGGACGCACACAAAGTGGAGGAATTCGTGGACTTCCTGAGCATCTTTAACATCGATACGCCCAACTGTGTGACGCTGTTGGCAACGAAGTCGGATAAATATGGCAGCGTTAGCAATGATCTATTTGGCAATTTCTTCACGCAGATCCAATGCATGGACCAGTTCAAACAGTGGGTAACCGCGGCGTGCATACCCAGCAAGGACTTGCTTAAGCTGGTCATATTCTACTGGCTCGACAAGCCATTTAAGTATAGCGATTGGTAAGAGTAAGCCAGACTTTACTGTGAATATCTAATTCGTTGTTTTTCCTTTCCCCAAAGTGATGAAGTCGTTGAGGAAATGTCCCGCATTGCCTGCACTGTGCGTGCCATCTGTGAGCTGGCGGGCGATGAGATCAATGACTATGCCTACAATGCCATTTCGCCTTGGTGGCAACAGGTGCGCGAACTTCTGCTCGAGAGCAAGCAATTCTCCGGGCTCCTGGTGGCTATTGTCTGTAAAATGGTGGCCACACACCTGTGGCGCAATCGGCGCGATGGCTCATGCGATGATAGTGCCACGGAGGATGACGAACGCTGGGAGACGATATCACACGATGAGGCACAATGGGGATTGCTAACGGGCAAGCTTGAGGATGTATCTGTGCTGGGTGCGATTCTAGGGTGAGCTCCTCTAGCTTTTCATTAGCAAACAAATAATTAAAAACTTTCTTCACCCGCCTGCAGTCAGCCCAGAATATGCCGTGAACCCGTCGGACCAGAGCTGCCGTACGAGCAACCCGACTGCAGCTTGAAAAATATTCTCAACAGCGGCAAGGGCATTGTCTCGGAGTTGACAGCTAAGTGGTTGATTAACTCGCGACTGCATCCTTCGCTAATCGTAGAGATAACGCCGCCTGGCAATGAAACAGATGATGAGCCTGAGGCGAAATCGAAAAAACAGAAAAAATCAGCCCAGCAAGAAAGAGAGCAAGCGCAAGAGCTGGAGGAGGAGACAGAGGAGGATGCTAATCCGGAAGAGACTGCAGTTGAGCACAGTGAACCACTGGAGCCGGTGCTGGAGCGCTTAGCGTTGCTGCGCGCTCACTTTCCGTTTAGCCTGGAGTCGGGCGTGCTACTGAGCCTGATGGCGTGGCAGCACATGGTGCACTGGAGCAAGCAGTTAGCCCAGCTGGAGCACATGCGTGCTGCAATACGTTGCCTACAGCAATATCGCACTCCAGATCTGGCGCTCAAACACGGTACCTGCTGTCTGATATGGAATGCGACTCTGAAGTATCCCTTGCAGGCGACGGCCAAACTAATGCAGAAAGTGGGTCGCCTGCCGGTCGATAAGATGTGTCAACAGGATCTGGATATGTCGGCGGCGCTAGTGCCCGAATTTCTTGAGCTCTGCTTGGAGTTTCTCGAACACTTTACGAGCTCGATGGAGCATGACAAGCGTGAGCTGAACTTCGAGCAGTCTCTGAGCGAGGGACAGCAGCCGCTTCAATTCTTGGCTCTGCAGCAGCATCATGCGTTGCCGCAGCTGCTGCAGCTGCATACACAGCTATGCACCGTGCTGCATTTCATAGCACAGTTCCAGCTGCGTCTGCAACGTCCACTGACCACGCTCTTCGATGCGTTGGGCAACAAGGCGCTGCTGTCCGATATCAACAAGGAGCTGTCCTATGCTCTACCTGCTCCAGACCTCGTGCTGCAGGACCAGCGCACACAATTCCTATGCAACGTGGTTACTGCTACTATGGATGTGATACGTGAGGATTTGGAGCAGCTGTACATTCTCGATCATGTCTACTACATGGCCAAGGTGTGTGCGCTGGCCGACAGCTGGCAGCTGGATAAGCTGCCCATACTGCGCCGGCAGGTAAGTGTGCTACTTGCAGCATCAATTGCAGGTGCAATTCAAGCTTTATCTTTGCAGGTGGTGGAGCTGTATGCCTTTGGCTATGATGCTGAGGCGCAGCTGCTGCTCCACGACATTAGCGAGGATGAGGAACTGGGTCGGCAGCTGCTAGAAATAGCGGGGCGACGATTAAATCTCTATGCAGACGGATCTCAGTCGGCGTTTCTAAAGATTGCCTCAGTTGGTCACCAGCTGCTGGCCTATTTGGACAACTTGGTAAGTGCAGTCGGAGTCTATCATCCACAGACTTGAAACTCTCTGCTCTCTGTAGAAGGAGTCAAGCACGGAGGAGCACAGCTTAGCCATAAGTGCCAGTAAGCCGGAGGAGATAAACGTTGTTCAGTTGGATAAATTGATCACCCATGTCTACAAATGCCTAAGTAAACGTGGCTCGAAGCACCTCATCACCGTGGCCCAGATGTACAACGCGGTGCGTCTGCTGCAGACTTGAAGGAATCACTTTAATTTAATTCCCAGAGCAATGGCATCCAAAACAATGAAACACCAAATAAACACACATTTCGACTAGGTTTTAGCAACGAAGATTAGGGCTTCTTGTTCTGCGCTTTGGCTGTGCTTGTTGTGGCCTTGATTGGACTGGCATCGCGTTTGTTTCGTCTAACGGCAGGCTTGGTGTTGGCTAGAGTGAATTCCGGCTTGGCTTTGGCTGGAGTGGGTACCTGCTTAGCCTTGTGGGAGCTCCACGCGGCCTTCGCTTTGCCTGCACTGAAATCTGGCTTCCGGCCGGTCTTGATGTGGCTTGATATGGAGCTCGTGGGGCTGTAAGACCTGGGACGACTTGCAGCAAAGTTCGTTCTGCCATACCCAGAACTGACGCCAGCCTTAGCAGAGTTAGCCATGGACTTGCCTAGGCTGGTGCCAGCTCTGGGCATGCCCAGCACAGAGTTTGTCTTTGGTTTGTCCCGACTGGAGCTAACCCGAGGAGCTTGACGCAAAGTGCCGCCGGCCCTGGAACGGCCTACCTTAATCGGCTCTCTGATGTTAATGGCAGAACTGCTGGTATCCACTTTGCCCACGACGGGCATATAATGATCCAAGTAGTTCTCCCCTTTCAGTTGAGAAATAATTGGCGGCATTGGCAGATTCTCCATTATCTCCGATGGATGTACCCTCAAATGCGAATAGATGGGTACGTACAACTGTGCCGTATCCAGCTCAATGCGCTGTTCGATCGCGCTGCGACCTGGCAACGCGAAGTGCTTGCCAAGAATGGGCTCCCGAAGTGGACGATCGAACATGTTCTTCATATCGGCGCCGGTGTCCTCCACTTCACCTTCATCCTCCCGTTCCTCGGTGGGCTTCGCACGCTTCACTTGGAATGAATGCTGTATGCCAGATATCACCTTAAGTGTTGTCGAGCTGGCCACCTTTTTGATATCCGGGGGCAGGCGATAAGCTCGATTTTCTTCACCAGCGCGTTCAAACGGTGTCAGCTTTGACCAGGGTAAAACAGTGCCCAGGGTGCCCAAGTAGCGTCCACCCTGTGTCCACAGACGACACGAATAGTCGTGACTGCCACTGAGATAGAACGAATATGAATTAGAGCGGCTAGAATATGGAATTGTATATAATAATATAATACCTGAATATGATCTTAGGCAAATTGATGAAGCGTAACGAATTGATAGCCTTTAGATGTCCCTTGTAGGAGCTAACTAGCATGGGCTCCGGCTGATTGCGTACCATGCGCTTGGCTCTCGTTAAAAATATTTCCTTTCGCAGGAATATGAAGTCCAGCCGCAGTCTGGGCATGCACACGTGCGTCTTCTCTTCCTCAGGTATGCTAGAAGTAAGACTTAAGTTAGTTTCCCGCAAGCAAATGAAATTGGAATGTTTGTCTCTATTAAGCTCTCCTTCCCCACCATCAGTTCTAGTTATGACTTATTTATTATATTTTGTTGCCAAAAAAAATGGGATGGAAGTTGACTTTGTTTGGAATTCGGCAAGACACGCAAAGGCCTTGTAAAGGAATTTTGTTTGTGGGTGGGATGACTTGGTCTACAAGTTGACACACATGTAGGATAATGAGTCGTGTCGTTAGAGTCAATTTGTGTGGTTGCTTTATGTTTCTTTACGAGCTACTATAATACGGTGAACTGTCTCACTGAAGGAAAGGCGAGTTTGAGCCTTCATATTTTATTTGAAGGCAAATTCCGTTAAAAACGTGAACGTTAACATTACTGTTAGTTTCATATTTGGTTGCTGTTAATAAAATTTATATGAAGCTTGAGCAAGACTGGGATATACGCTGTGGGGTTCAATAAGAATATAAATTTTGACATAAATTTCTTTAAACTAATAAATAATTCAAAAAATAATTAATTTGAAAACCCTGATCATATAATTTACGATCAACAACTGTGAACTGACAAACGTTTCTTTGATATTTGTATAATGTTAACTGCGTCTGTTAACATGACAGATACATTGATATCTGCCTTTCAGCTGTGATCCTTGCCATATAAACATTATGCTAACTGTGTCTGTTAAAAGTGGCGACCTCTCGTTAGCATTGCCAAATCAGTTTCAATTATGTTAACAGTGTCTTCTGCTAACAGCAACATTTCAAAGTAACTTTGAAGCACTGTAAAAATATCCCCTTAACATTGCTTATGCTCAGCAATCATTAGCAGTTCCAACTGAGTGAATATGTCACTTTTAAAATATCCCCTCAAAATTTCCTTCAAATATAACGGCTGGAGTTTTAATTGTATTTTAGCTACTCACCAATAGTTAATAATGTGCCAAACCTTGATATAACCAAAGGCTGTGCCAGTGTAGAGGAAACGATTCTTACGATCCGTGGCCATGGTCAGCACACAGTCGCCCACTTTGTGAACGGCGACAAATTCCTTGATATATCCGCCGTGCTGATGGTGCGAATATACTTGAATGATTCCTGTATCCAAGGAGATAAAGACGCTGCCATGCTCCTTGGTCATGGGACGTTTCTGTAGAAAGAGCACAGCCTGCACAGAAACGGGTATTTTGGCACCATAGTCTTTGATCTCATCCGGTTTACTAGAGAGTAAGGAAGTGTTTCGCTTATTCACTCCCAGCAGCGAGGACATTCGCTTGGTTCGACGTGACAATTTCTCCTCCTCGGCGGTCAGCTTGAGCTCAATGAACTTGCTGGGATCCATCACATTGTAACGGCGATACGGCTGACCCGTCTCCAGTTTCCAGAAAATTATCTCGCCCGAGTAAGTGGCCGTGACGACGCCCTCGCCCAGCTTAACATCGGCACAGGTAATGTCATCCGTATGAAATTTGGCCCATTTCTTTGGATCGCCATACTCACCCCCAACATCATTGAACTCTGTCACCTGCCGATCCCAGCCCATGGCCAAAATTCTGTGAAACGAGAATAAAAATTGTCATTTTTGATTGATCGACCGATTGAGTGATCGATGGACTGATTGATCGACTGATCAGCAGTCTAACAGTAATAAGCTTTATACATAAATATATACCATTAAGCCACATACCGATCCACCACCCAGATTACGGCAGTGACCTCCTGGTCTATCTGTATGCTCATATTTCGCACCACAACCGAATTGTTATAGTTCCAAATCTTAAGGGAACCATCTCGTGCTCCAGTTAGGAGAAATTGTTCGAGAGGATCGAAGCAGGCGGCCGTAATCTCAATGTCAATGGTCTCGCCATAGATCATTTTCGTGTGGCAGTTCTTCATGATGATCTTGCGACGACCCGTCCATGGATCCCACACAATGATATAGCTATCGAGGCCACATGTGACAATGTTGCGAAAGAGACGATTGTACAGGACCACGGATACGGGTGCGGCGTGGGTGTTGCCATCGGTGAGATCGACACGGACTCGCGGACAGCATTTAATCTGGATGAGTTTGCGACCGGCGACCATGAGCTCACGCAGATGCGAATGATAATAGTATTTAATATCCATTTCGCTGGGATGAATGATGCGCACCAGCTCGCCATAGGTCTGGAGCAGGGTGTGTTCCTGCAGATCCCACACCTTGATGATCTTATGATAGTCGACGCTATATACCTTGTTCTCCTCCGGCTGCACAAAGACGGCCACAATGCCGCCATTGTGACCGGTGAGGATCGCAGATGGCTCCGATGAGATATAGACATCCCAGATGCGAACAAAAGTATCGGGCCCACCAGTGACCAAAATGTTTTTCACCTCAGACACATAGAAAACGGAGACGCCCAATGGTATACGGAAATTGTTGCGATCCTCGTTGCTGACCATGATGAGACCGGGGCAACGGCCACGGTACTTCTTGGTGTTCCGATACTCGGCCGAGGCGAACAACGTGTTCATGTGCAGGGAGTAATATACACAAGAGATTAGCTCATTGTGCAGATTTATGTATTCCTTAGGTATCAGCAAAGGTATACGACCGCGCAGCACATCCGCCCATGTGAGCTCAACCAATGCCGCGCCCGGCTTCGCCTGGAAGGGACCACGCAGATATGGCGAATAGGAGAGGATGCGCACATTCCCTGCATAGTCCCCGAGCACCAGCCTCGAGTGCGTCTTGCCATTGTTGTAGAAGGCATAGCTCATGCAGTACACGGCAAAAGGCAAGCTCCGAATGACCATGCGCAGCGTGAATGTGGAGGCAATCGTCTCATGGAAGCGCAACTCTCGCTCTGTGGAAGAGGTGCACACGATGCTCACGTCAGAGAGCGCCTGCAGCGCCAGTATCCAGGTGGGCACCTTCAAATGAACTGCAATGCAAGATTTATTAAAATATAATAATAAAAATTACAACGAATATACATATTCATATAGCTGACTACGGGAGAACTTATGGAGTCACAGGACTTCTCTTAATTTACTTACTACTCTCGGAGACGGCACTGCGTAGTGGCTCCATGTGTGCGCTCCAGAAGCGCAGCTGACCCTCGTGGCTAGCTGTTACCCACATGCCCGAATTTTCGGGCGAATCTTCGCCACCAAATGAATAGTTGGTCGACTCTGTTATGTCCTCCAATGGAGTCTGATCGGATTTGACCTTGAGCAGAGTGATGCAACAGACAGCTGAACGATGTTCGGTCTTGCGTACAACTGGAGCCGTTGAGATGGGCATAATCAATGACTCCTTTTGACTGCTAGGATCCTCGTCCTGAAACCCAAATATCAGATATGAGACAAACTCATTCCAGTCTATCATAAAATCGTGATTTTGATTGATCTTCAAAAAGAGGCGGGTGTAGGTGAAATCGCTAAAACTAATGTCCACATCCTCCAGCATGCGTCGTAGGTCCCCGCAGCCAACTACTTGATCTGGTGCACTCTTAAAGCGCTCGTACAGCTTCTGGAATTGTGCTTTGGAGATGCGATCGTGCAATCGTTCAGATTGCTCCAAGTTAGCCTCTGTGGCTGTCGAGGAAATAGTCTGATACTCAATGTTCGCATGGCTATCGCCGCTAGCGAAGTAGATAAGCGACATCCCGATCGATTACAAAATAAACAACAATGGTATCTTCGGCACTTGCAAATGTGTATTATAAACCTATATACATATATAACTATATTTCTGCTGTTCGCTTTAAAGAATTTACTTAAAAGTGTACTAGATTAATCTTTTTTTAGAGGCAGCGTGCAATCAAATCGTTTATGCTATTGCCACGATCGCCATATTCGCCGCCCCGCTTGAATGCCACGGAAACCTTCTTTTTCCAACCATCGCGCGGACTTGAAAGCTGCAAACCAAATAAGACATAATTAGCGAGTTAGATTAAATAAGGTTTAAGATTCAGGCATACCATAAAAGCACACAGGAAATCCATTACAGCTGCAAAATTAGGGCCTACTGTATAAATTTCATGTATTATATCCTCTAAGCAGATGACACCCTTGTCTCCGAGTTGCTCCTCCACCATTGTGTTTGATTGTATGGCCGTCTTCTTGCCATCGATGCGTGCAAAGCCCTTCTTGAAGAGCAGCTCACGTATGGTTGAGAGTGTTGGAAAACCATAGACAACATAGGGCTCAATCACCCGCAACAGCAATTGATTTTCCTTGTTATTTTCTAGAAAAACAGCATTGTGACGTTGTCCCATGCGCAGAGTCTTAAATATGTCTGAGGTCGTCTTGTCAAAGATCTTTTTGCCCGCATGTCGCATCACCAAAAGTAATTTGGGATTTGTGTCCGCAGCAGCGTTGGCGCTTTGCTCTGTTATATTTGTACGTAGAAATGTTTGTCTGATGCGTTTGGATGTACGCTCAGCTTTCAAGTAGCCCATAACAAAGGACTCGGCGCGCCGGAATTTATGATGTGTGCGTGCATTCTTTATGCGTTTAATACGTTCTGTGCGTTTCTGTTCAAGGACCGATTTATCCTGTTGAATGCGTCGCTTGCGGTGTCTCAGCACTGAGACTGTTTTGCCAGGCAATTTATTGGGCACAGCGTATCTGTATAGGAAAAGCGAATTATGTTATTGTATTGCAATAAATTCCACAGCTATCGAGCACTTACTTGTCGGACATTGTACAGAATTTAACTTTTTCTCACACAGAAATCGAAGAACACGTGCGAGCACAATCAAAACAAAAACTAAAGGAATGCCAACCTATTTCAATTGCACTTAGGATTGTGAATGACAAATATTAGTGATAGTACTACAAAGTATATCGATATGTTATTTAATCGAAGCAATCTATGTATGTTTCAAAGAGCACGATGAATAAAAATAGTCAGTGCTTAAAATAGAAACTGTAATATGTAAAACAAAAATAGCATTGGCACCGGAACATTTTTTCATTTCCGGTTTTGCGCATTCGCTGATTACTCATTTAATTAAGTACTCTCCGCTCTCTTTTTCTAGAGATGAGTGCAAAGTTAGCTAGCGTGTCATGTGCGGCAATTGACAATTATTGAAAAATCATATAAGAGTTAAATACACAAATGATTGTGAAAGCAGTTATGTACTGGATATCTTTTAAATGTATCTTTTATAGTTATACATTAGTTTTGATTAATTTTCCTTTTTCGATTTGCAATATCAGCAATAGGGAAACTAAATATTAATGTGATATATAAGCTCGTGCGTGTCACGTGCCCATCTTTACCACTGCTCTCACCACAAATTGCTAAAATGCCGGTCTCGGGTCGCTATGGCAAACGCATTTCGTCACCAAAACAGTTTCAACGCGGTGCTCGACGTAGTTTGTTGATTTGTCGCGCTTTAATCTTATAATTTATGGTAATGCAAAATATTATCAAGTGACAACAAATATGCAATAAATGTAAAGGTGTGCGATTATTCTGCCAAAAAAGATAAACAATATTTACCCTATATTCGCAAAAAGTGCTAATGAAGCAAAACTAAAAAAACGTCACTGCCACGCGACGATGTGACGAAATCGTAAAGAATTTGGCACGCGAGCGGCCGTGCATTGCCCCCATTTATATGTGAACAAGTTTTTTCAACGTTAAAATTTCGATTAATTACTAGTTTAGTTATATACACATAGGTAGCTAGTAATGTTTACTTTGTGTGGAGCCAAAAATCATTGGATTACGCTTTTTCAGTTGCCACACGTTGGCAAGGCTAACGGCTGTTTAACAGGTTTACGATTCCGAATTGAAAACAGACAACGTCATTATTTATGACACTCTCACTTATCAATCGAAGCCTTCAATTAGAACCAAACAATATGATAATTAGAACTGTAGATAAAAAGAAGTCTTATTTTCTAATATTTCTTGATTATTTCTTGAACTCTATTCACATATGAACAATTGACATAGTTCTATTTTAACAAACGATATTACTATGCAGAAATTCAATAATTAAAAACATTTCTATTGATATATATTCAAAAGCAATAATTAATGTAGAAATCTTATCTTATCGTATACTATATTAATTATTAAAAAATCACAATTTCATTTCTTCTTTACCTATAAGGTAATGATAAAGTACGATCTTAATAGCAGTTTAAAATTAGAATATGGGAATCCCAAAATGAAGCTTTCTTTATATTTCCTGAAAAACTTTACTTTTTATATAGTAAAAATAATAAGTTTTAAAATATAAAAGTTAAATAAAAATATATTGTTATAAAAATATAAAAGGTCTGATAAAAATATTTAAAAATTAATTGTTTTAAAAAATGTAGACTTAAAATTTAAAAAATGATATATATTCTATATATGATAAATTAATTATTAATAATTTTCATTTCAAGTGGCAATGCCAGCGCCTGCGGGAGAATAAGTTCTTGTAGCAACCTCTAAGGGAATATTGGAACTGATTTTATAACGTGCTATAGTACAAAACCCTTCTACAATGTCTGAGCGATATGCGAATGGGGTATCCACCAGTTTAGTGGAGCCCCCTGCCAATGGACATTCAGCAGACACAAAGAAAGCAGTTGAAGACGGCGATGGAGACAAAATAGTGCTAAAGCGAAAACTAACTCTAATCAATGGAGTGGCCATTATAGTGGGCACTATTATTGGATCGGGCATATTTATAGCACCCACCGGAGTGTTCTACTATACGGAGTAAGTAAAGGGAACTTATACAATTCGTTTATAAGAAGTAGAAGTAGTTAAGATTAAAGATGAAAGCTGCATAGTTTGTATCTTTACATATTTCAATTGTCATCAAGCTCGATTTTAATTAGTGCATTTCGAACCTTTGCAAGTTCATTAGACAAGTTCATAAGTGAGCAAGTAAAAGGTCAATAGCGTTAAATTTTATTTTGTAAATTGGAACATTTCTTTATGCCCGGTAAATTGAGCTGAATTGCAAGCCAATGGCTCACTCTCCATCTCCCTCTCTCGCTCTCTCCCTTTCTTCAAGTGTGGGTGAAGCTCTACTATAAGTAATTAAGCCTTGTTATTGTTGCGAACACCCTTGAGAACGTTCAGTTTAGCTTTGTAGCATTTTGTCCGCATCGCGAAATCGCGGACAATTGTTGCATCAGCCACAAAAGTATTTGAGAAGTCTGTGCTACAATTACAAGATTGCCCCAAAATAAACATTCACTCACATCGATTCACACAGAGAGAAAATAGAGAGCGAGAATGAGGCAGACGAAAGTTTGGTTTATTTGTGGAGCCACTTTAACCACTTGGTGCCGGAAAGTAACAACAACAGCAGCAGCAGCTGCTTAATCTATTGTTTGGACAGCATATTCACGATACCTCCTAACCGCTCTTCGTTGCGCTTCTCACTGCATTCAGATCCGTCGGAAGTTCACTTTTGATTTGGTCCGCCTGTGGGATTCTTTCAACAATCGGCGCTCTTTGCTATGCGGAGCTGGGCACTAGCATTACGAGATCCGGGGGAGATTACGCCTATCTGTTGGTCGCATTTGGGCCGCTTGTAGGCTTTCTACGCCTATGGATCGCCCTGCTCATTATCAGGCCTACTACACAGGTAAGTTGATTTGATTATTTTATTGGCGCAACCAATAAAATCTAAATGATTTGATTGTTATTAGTTTATGATGTTGTATTGATTGTATCGTATTGCTAAATAAATTGATTTAAAGCCCAACCTTCGACCACAATTGCTCGCAATTGGCAGTGGCTTCCAAGAAAAGTGGGAAACATTTTCAATGCGAGTTTTGTGGAAGCAAAATAACTTGAATAATCAGCGTGTTGCAAGCGCAGTTGCAATAAAAAGAAATCTCTGTGGACTATGGTAATACGAGAAAGAACAACTTTATTTGTAGCCGAATTTAAAATACTCTACCTTTGATAATGTGCTAAGCGCATTAGACAAAAATTTGAATTTTTGAGAAAATATCGCATATCGTTGATGACCTCTTTTTGAGCTCATATGAAATTCTGCGAAATGTTCTAGCTTATGATATATGATATATCAATTGTAATTTTCCTTTTTTTTCAGACAATAGTTGCGCTGACTTTTGCCCATTATGCTGCCAAGCCCTTCTTTGAGGACTGCGATCCGCCACAGAATGCCGTGAAGCTGCTAGCTGCCGTGTGTCTATGTGAGTAAATCAAGCTAAGTAATCCAATAATATATACATAAGTAACTTCTATAAATTTGTTTCGCAGGTCTACTCACTGCCATAAACTGTCTGTCCGTCAAGGTGTCGATGAAGGTGCAGGATATCTTTACGGTCGGCAAGCTCTTGGCACTTATTATGATAATACTCGCCGGTCTATATGTCATGGCCACTGGAAAGTTGGATAACTTTTCGAATCCCTGGGAGGGTAGCTACAGTGCGCGAAATATTGGCTATGCTTTCTACTCCGGCCTGTTTGCCTTTGGCGGCTGGAACTATTTGAACTTTGTCACTGAGGAGCTCCAGGATCCATACAAGTAAGAGCCACTCGATAAGCAAATAGGGCGCGTAAGTGAATGAGTGAATAAATAAACGAATGAATCAAAAAGTGGGTGGCTGAGTGGTTGCACGACGTGGCATAGGGCCTGTCAACAAGACAAATGACTTTGCCCCATTTGCCATTTACGTCAGCAACAAGTTGCCTGCGCCCACTTGTTGAGTGTCCTTGAGGCTGTGTGTGTGTTGGGGATGGTTGGTTATCTGTGAATGAGTATATATATATATGAGTGTGTGTATGTGTGTGGTGGGGTTGGCTGGTTAGCTGGCTATCTGTTGCGCCCAAGTTTCGCATTTTACCCCTAATGAATTCAATTTGAACAGAACAGAACAGCGCTCAGCAATCAATTTAAGTGCTCTGACTGCTTGAATCTCCGAGCCAAGTGTTGCTCGTGGCACGTTTAAGGTTTCTCAAATCGTACATTCTGTATATTCATAGAAATTTGCCACGCGCCATTTGGATAGCGATGCCCCTGGTTACGGGAATTTATGTGCTGGTTAATCTGGCATATTTTGCCGTTGTCTCCAAGCCGGAGATGCTGAGCTCTCTGGCAGTTGCCGTGACCTTTGGCAACAAGGTATTTGGACCGCTGGCCTTTATGGTGCCCATTTTTGTGGCATTGAGCACTTTTGGCGGCGTGAATGGTGTGCTCTTCACCTCGGCTCGTCTGTTTGCCACTGGCGCCCAGGAGGGTCATCTGCCCAAGTTCTTTCAACTGTTCCATGTCAAGCAACAGACACCAATACCTTCGCTGATATTTACCGTAAGTCAAGCGAACTAAAGCAGCCGAAAATATTTTAAAACAATGTTTTTGCTTTCGATAGTGTTTGATGTCGTTGCTAATGCTGCTTACCGAGAATGTCTATGAGCTGATTAACTACTTCAGCTCCGTGTTATGGCTCTCCGTTGTAGCCAGCATAGCGGGCATGTTGTGGCTGCGACACAAGAAGTAAGTTAAAGAAATAAAAATTTATGTGACGCATAAACAAACAGACTATTTGTTCTCTTTATAGACCTGATTTACCTCGTCCCATCAAAGTGCATTTGGCATTGCCAATCATTTTTATGACCATTTGCGTGACCTTGGTGCTGTTACCCAACTTTAAGGAGCCCGCCAACCTACTCATTGGCATCGCCATCACCTTAGCTGGCATTCCCTTCTACTATGTGTGCATTGCCTGGCAGCAAAAGCCGCGTTGCTATGGCCGTCTCTCGAATGCCATGGTTGAGCTTTGTCGTGCCATCTTCAATACAACCATTATAGAGTCAAACGAATCGCTAAAGTAGGCCAAAGTGCTATGTGCATTTAGTTAACCACACAAAGCAAAGATATTTAACTCCAGCCAAGGGCTTTTTAATTGTATGCCAAAACTTTTTGTATGATATTTTCGCACCGACATTATTATCATTCCTCAAAATTTAATTTGCAAATCAGTTTATATGCTAGCTATAGTTACATTTTTGTATTATCTTTATATTTATTCAAGTGATGGCAGTTACAAAAGAGTTTCTCACACAACTTATATAAACAAATAGCTATATATAAATGATATATATACACGTATGTACTTGCCTCTGTTGTGACGCGTTTAGGGAAACCATAAATTATAAGCGAAAAATATTGAAACTAGCTATAAGTATTACTACGCATATTTATCAACTTGAACTAAATGTATAAAAATCTTTAGAAAGCTTCAAAATATTGGCTTATTCAAATTGAAGTTAATGTGTTCTTATTGTGAATGTAAATTGTTTGTTACAGATCAACAGAATTATAAGTTGAAATCGTTTTTGTGTAGATCTATAGATCGTTGACAACTGTCTATAACATTTGCTAATGCCCCATCTTTTTTCTGTTCTGCTCTATGGCCGTATCGACGAGCGTGGTGCCACGTATAAAGTCTGCAGCCACAATGTTCGCATGGTCGCCAAGCTCATCTCGGTATAGCTGTGAGATGCGCCAATTCACATTGTCTGCCATTTTACGCAGTCCGCCATGCTTATCTAGTATAACATCCCAGGTCTCTGGCGTCAGCTCCGCCATGTCCACCACGGGACGACTCGAGAAGCGTCTGTTCATAGAGAAAATTTAAAGTTGAAAATTTCGACAACTCTTGAAGCAGCTCTCGCTGGACTTACGACACATCGAAGTCGTTGACGTAGCGCAAGTGGCGTTCGAGACGCGTCCACGACTGAACATTGCCCCAACGCTGATCCACGCCACCAAAGAGCAACTCCGGATACTGCTGCACAATCTCACTTTTATCGTAGGCCAGTATTACGTTCTGCTGTCGCTTCCAGATGTCGCGTAGCGTGGCATGCCAGGTGAGCGATGGATGCACGATGAGATCTCCAAACTGTTCTCGCAGATATGCAACCAACAGATGATGCACGCCGAGATTCTTGCCAAAGCCTATTCGAAACAAGTGAAAACGTATCAAATTTCAGTTTATTCCAATTTGATCAAGACATATACATCTGCTTTAATGCATTAATAGAGGCAGAAGGTCAGACGGGCGTTATACTAAGTCAACATACCCTCCTTTAAATTGTATTTTTACTCACCCACAGGAAACTCTTTCAGTCCAAAGATGACGATTTCATTGGTTTCTAGCACAAAGTCCTTGACCTGCTGTATGACCTCTTTGAGTGGCCGTTGCTTGGTGATGCCGTGGTATATGAAGAACTTTTCCTCCGTTGGACGATAGTAGCCGACACGTATGTCCAGATAGCGTGCTCCATGCAGCAGCTGGCCGCGGATATCATCGTCCTGGGTTAGAGCATATTTGGTGACCAGGCTCTCGCGCAACAGTGGATCGAAGTTGGGTCTATAGGAGCCCGAATCATGAGTGCCCGGTATGAAGAGATCACGCAGACGCAGATCACCCAAACCACTGTGCAAATTCGTCATCCAGCGTGGATAAGCGCGAACACACGTCTTGGCCAGAATGCGTCCATGGTCATCGATGTAACTAGCCCAATAGCCATAGCAATCACTATGCGTAGTCACATTCCGAGATAGAGCATAATCAAAGGGCACGCCCGTGGTGAACCATTGTGAAGAGTGGCTGGGCTTGATGGCGGCCACGATTTCGTTGTTGCCACCATTTGAGACCCAATGCTGAGTTTCCGGACTAGCAGCTGCCTTGGCCACTGTTTCAGGCGTGCTTGTATAGCCATGAAAGGGCACAAAGGCCACTTGGTCTGCACCTGAACCGCTGCTCTCCTCACTCTCGCTGTCACTGTCTCTACTTCTCTCGAATCCTGCCAGCGGCGTGCCCGTGGGCACAGATCGCAGCTCAAAGCTATGCGGATCCTGTACAGTTAATAAGACATGATCTCCATCTCTTGCCGGCGCATGCTTCCAGCTGACTTCCAGGAAGCGCTTCCGGGCGCTAATTGTCAGCCACAATTTCAGCTGCTGTACATCCGCACCAGACTGTGGAGCCAATCGAAATGTGTCCAGCTGCTGCGCCCACATCGCGGGCCAGATGCCCAGCGCCCAAATGAACACCAAGTGCAATTGTCTCATCTCACACGCTCGCTCTTCGAATTATAGCTGATTCAAGTTGAATGCGTTTAAGCTTAATCAGCGACACTTAAAAGCAAGTACGATGAGTCTGAGTCCGATGCGAGTCGAGTCGCTTGCCGCGCAATCAGATTGCGAAGATCAACCGTTTGCGACGAGCTTGTGTGGCGTTCTTATTGGAAGACGAACGCGAAGCTCGCTGGAAACCTCCGAGGTGTCTATGTACATATATAATACTACAGACAGTATTACTACATTACCATATAAGAATTAATAGTTCCATAAACAGAAAGTAGCAAGAACAGTTGCGTTGTTTTGTTTATTTTGTTTTTGACTAATTAACTTTTATTTATTGTTATTATTTTGTATAAGGCGGATGTTCTATTTAATTTGTAGCTCTCATATTATTTTTGCTGCGAACTCTACCTATTGTCTCACTTTGTCTATTGCAAGCTCAGAGAAATTGTAACTAGTTTTGATTAGATGATATTTCTTGATATGGCAAGCGGAACGAAGCGGCGGGAACAAAGAACAACAATACATTGCGTGAATTTTTGTTACGGGACTTGTATCTAGAGCTGTAATTGTTGTGCAGTTGTTTATTTATGTTTTGTATTTGGTTAATAATTGGAATTGCCAATTATTTCAATGCTAATTTAAACTTGTTACTTTGTACTAATTATTTAAGACACGTGTAAGAGCAAATGGCAATTTGTTTTTGACCCCATTGGTTATCTGGCATAAATAATCTTTTTAAAAAAACACAAATGTTCGATTTTCCCGGCTACACAACCGTCCAGACCCGGCTTCAATAAGCGACTGAGCGACATGGAGCAAAGAATTCTACGCTTTACTCTGCTCTATCAACTTTCTGTTTGTATTTTGCGGGTATGTGTTAAGTCCAATTTAAAGATGAGTTTCACTCGGTACTGTTCTTTTTTTCAATTAACATAGGACTTATATATATTTATGTTGCTATTACGAACAAAGCTCAGCAAAAAGTTTGAAAAAAAAACGACAGCTTTTTATGTCAAATTTAAATGATATTCACAATATTAGCGCTCATTTTGTGTGAATGGCTGCATGTACGAAAACGGCTAACTTAGTGTGAATAGTACTGAGAGCGCGCTTTATTTAATTTATGTTATCGCTAGTTAATTGTTGTTGTAAAAAAGATTATTCAATTTTTCAAATAGATATATATATTACTGATTTAATAATGGGTTATTATAATGTCACAGTTTCCATGTAACGCTCAAAGGATTGTGTGAGTAGCGTGTGATCCGGTGCCAGATGCGTATCAGCCATAATCGCTAGCCTGTACTTGTCGCCAAATCGATGCAGATTTAAGGATAAACAAGTTTTTGATTGTGGCGGTCGAAACAGTAAGACATCCTGCACGCGTTGCCCCCATGCAGCCTGGAATTGTGTGTCCGCTGTGCCATAGATCTCCGTGATGGTAACGGGAAAGTTATATGAGAAAAAATTAATAAAGATCTTGGTTAGTACATGAGGCAGCAGCGCCGTGAGCAGACTATACTTGGTCTGTCCAATAGAAGCCAAATATAACATTATCTGCTGTTTGCGTATGCGCTCCACAATTTCGTGCAGCTGATGAGCTTTAAGTGCATCCGGCGAGCCCAAAGGCAGCTGCAAAAAGACAACGCCTCCAATGTGCTCCGATTTATCTGCACTGCGATCAGTGAAGTAGCCTTTAGATATAGTGCGACAAGTTGTGTTCAGAAGAGCAGGCACTGCTGCTCTGTCGGAGAAGGTATTGAAGTAGTCGTAAACAGCGCCTGCCAAGCACGCTAAGCTGAAGTCGGACTCACGCAGCTCTTGGCCAAACAAATGCTGATGACGTTCGCGTAGCAAAGCGCCATCTATCGATCGACTAAAGGAAACAATTTTGCGTCCTGCATAAGATTTCTTGTGTAGGATATTCAACTCCTTGGTGGGCTGCACAAAGAGAACATCATAGATATTTCTGGGTGCCTTGAACAGCTCATAGCAAATCTTGCAGAGCTCCAGTTGGGCATAAAGCAGCAAAGGCACATACAAGTACAGGCGAGCGCAATAGGTGCTGCTGTACGGGGTCTGACCACGGAGCAGCACATCACGCAGAGCCAATAACTCACAGTAGATGTGATAGGGCAGCAGGAGGAAATGATGCAGCAACTGTTGCCAGAGAAAGCGCGACCAGGTCTTCACTATATGTACCGGTTGCAGACTGTAAAGCAAGGCAGAGCGAGCCACAGCCCAGCTAAGATTACGCTGCTCCAGCTCATGCTGGAATAAAACATAAAGCGTCTGCAATGTACCCAAATCATTGCGATAGCCAGTCGAGCGTCGCTGCCATTTGCGGCGCATTGTCCGGGTGCGCCAATATCCCAAAGCCACATTAACCAATACGATGAGTAGCAGCGAAAGCAGCTGACTGAGGTTCCGTGCATCCGGATGGGCCTTGACGCCATCGGGCGTATCGAGGGATTCAAATTCATAGATAAACTGCTGCCAGCGACAGCTAATCAAATGCTGCACATGATTCAGCAGCTTGCTAATATGCTCCGGCTGACGCACAAAGTGCGAGAGCTGTTTGGTATTCGTCGCTCTGGTCAAGCCATCCTGGAGGCCAACAAACGATTTACGTTCGTTGTCCTGCAGCAGCAGCATTTCGCTCACGTGCAAATCGTCCTCCTCGGCAATGATCAAATGATGCACTTTGATCAGTATATAATAGGGCTGTGCCGGATCCGCATTGGGTATGACGGTCACCTGCCACTGGGGCAAATCCGAGGGTATATACTTGGCAGCCAATTCGCTGACATAATCCTGAATGTTCGACTCGTTGACAGGACGTCCGCGATATCTGTGCGTGCTGAGTATCACATGATTGTTGATATTGAAGCCACTGCAAGCTAGAGATTATTAGACTCTGTGTAATACTCCAGCTACACACTGCACTCACCTGCTATCATTGACCCAGGCATAGTGGCCCCAGCAGGTGACCAGCTTTTGCCTCAATTTCGGAAACTTGATCATGCCCATCTTGTCCTTAAGCTCAGTCAACTGCAAAGCGTAGGTGCGCTTAATTCTTTCATAGTCACAGACACCCTCCACCTGTAGCAGAAAGTGAAAGATGCCCGCGTTCTTAGGGGTATCAATCAAGGTGCGTATCTTCTTGGATTTGCAAATGGTTAAATTGGGATACTTGATGCTTAGCAGATAATTCGCCAGCTCGTTGGTAAAATGCGCACCTGTCAAGCAACGAGAGAGAGAGAGAGTGAGAGTGAGAGTGAGAGAGATGGAAATAATTTTGTTATAATATTTGGCTACGCTTCGTCTTATCGTCTTAGTAAAATTTTTAATGAGTAATTCATTTGGTCAAGGTTCAGCTTGGTCGCTCGTCTGGGTACTTCAAAAGGTGCAACAGGTATTATTTATAAACAAAGCTTATCAATTGGTATATGGCGTAAGCTGAGGCGGCACGCCCGCCCCTCTAGCGAGCCCTCTCATCAGCCATCACAGACGTTATCTGTGACAGGCTAGGTATTGAAGCGTATCCCATTAAGCGAATCGAACTCAAGCATTGCATCCTTTGGGTGAATGGAGCGGTTAATCAACCCATGCCTCGTTTATTTATAGCCGGCCTGTTTGATCTGTTTCTGTAGCCCATCTGGGTCAGCGCGCCTGCTAGTCTATTGGTCGGAAAAACGTCATACTAAATAGAATACTTACACACAAACGAAAGCAGCAGCAGTGGCAACAGCATAAGTGCCACAATGAAACATAGTAGAGTCTTTAAGAATGACAGACACTCCTGCCAGATACTAGAAAAAGGTTTAACCATTAAAGTGAATTCAATAGTTAGTTACTATAAGATACCTTTCCATATTGTATGTTCTTCAGCTGCTATACTATAAAAACTATATATATATATATACGTTTATAAAGTTGCTTTGTGGCTTTGTCTATCACTTAAAACGTTCGTTCGTTTTGCTGTGCAAGGCACGACTGGTCAGACAGCTCGCAGCTCTGGCGAAGCTTCCACCAACGCTTCAAATCTCTTATCAATGCGGTAAACAAATGATAAGGTTGTTCCTGCCGGCCAAGCAGTATGTCAGCTGCTGTATAATTTTCCATTAATAAGTGTAATATTATAATAATTTATTTGGGCTGACTAATTTAATTTGAATTTAGCGTACAAGTTGATCCAACTGCATGTCATACGCAGATTTTAAACGCGCGCATTTTGTCTGAATGGATATCAATGTATTGATTATATGAATGGAGCCTTGTCCATTATATATTAATGTAAAACTGTGGCATTCCTATGTTAACAATTTAATAAAATAGATAACTAAAATTTCTAGTCATCTTAAAAACAGAATATATAAATATGCGATTTGAATCTAACGTACAGTTTGATCAAACCGGATGTCATACGTGCGCATTTGCTGTGAATGGTTCGTGTTAAAACGTGTACTTCTGAATGCTTAACAGCTGTTTATTGACTTGCTTATCATATTTATTATTGTTTACATTTTGGGTTTGAAAAACTTAAATGCAATGCTGCAAACACCCATCGTTCAGCCCACTTTGCATCAACCGCTGCACTCCAAGGTATCTAATTACCTAAATAATCAGCGCAGAACAGGGCAATTTTGTGATTTACAGCTGGAGCTGGACTCGGATGATGCGCCCTGCACATGCAGCGTGCATTTTTGCGTGGTTGCTGCCCAAAGTCAACTTATTGGTCTCACTCAGCAGAAGCAACAGCAGTTTTCCATACAGAATCCACTAAAAGTCACCATACGCAACTTTAACTGCACCGTGTGTCTGCACACAATAGTGGACTTCTTCTATGAGGACATTGTTTCCGTTTCCAAGGAGCATGAAACGCATTTTCGGGAGTTGGCGAAAATACTTTCTGTAACTGAGTTGCTGAACCTGTATCAAATAGAGCAAAGAAGTGATGAGAATGCGAGCTTGGAGTCAAGTGAAGTAAAAACTGGAGATGTGGAGGATACCATGCAGCCAGCAAAAAAAGCGGACGTCATCTTTGAGAATCAACAAAGCTATTTTAAGGTATGATACAAATTATTCTTCTATAAGCAATTTCTTTAAGCTGACCTCTCAATTGTAGCTTAAGAATCCACGTGCTGTTAAGTCGAACAGCAAAATAAACTATTGCATTGGGTGTGACTTTAAATGTTATCAGGTGCAAAAGATGATTGATCACATGACTAGCTGCGAGCCGTCTCACCTCACCTGTTCGCTCTGCGAAGTTGGATTTCTGGATTGGCGGGAGTATGATTCACATCTCCGCCGCCATGGTTCTGACCTTCGTAAGCCGTTCTTTTGTCTCCAGTGCGATAATCGCTTCAGCACTCGAGCCGCGCTGCTCGTTCATCACCCGAAACATACGACCGAAACGCCGCATGTTTGTTCGCACTGCGGCAAGGCCTTCAAGTGGAAGCAAGGTCTGAGCAATCACATGCTGGTGCATAATCCCGAAAAGCAAATGCTCTGCGATGTCTGCGGCTACAGCACGACACATATGAAGGCCTTAAAGAGTCATAAGCTATTGCACACGGGCGAGTTTTTTGTATGTACAGTCGCCGGCTGCAAGCATCGAGCGAATCGCAAGGAGAATATGAAACTGCATATTGAGACGCACAAACAGGGCCGCGACTTCATTTGTGAGATTTGCGGCTGCAAGTTCAGTCAAAGCAAGAACCTAAAGCGACATGCACTCAAGCATACAGAGGGCGGTCTCAATCGGTATAAATGTCAGCTCTGCGGCTTTAGCAGTCATCGCTCAGACAAAATGAAAGAGCACGTGCAGCGTGTCCATACGGAGAGGGCGGTGCAGCTGGAACTGTCCGAAACAGTGGATAGCTCATTCGAAAATAAGATGCCAGATGACTTTACATTACCGCCCATCGATGCTATGCTCGGAAGCAGTGTTACGGAGACTAAGGCAACGGGCTCACCACGTCGTAAAATAGTATCAGATGTGACAACGCCAGCTGTGAAGCGCTTGAAGACGTTGCTGCCAAAGGAAGCTATTAGTTAGGAATAATCTGAGGAAGTAGCAAATACTTTGTTTTGAAAATGGTTCGCAAAGACTTCTTATACTCCTCGTCTATTTCCAGGCTATATGTTTTTTATAATGCACTCCTATTAGAGTAGTTATTTTATTTACAAACCACTTATGTCCAAAACTAATGGAATAGGCAAGATTGCTCAAACACTTCTGAGCTAAATTGATTCCTATGTGAAAGTTCTAATGGAAGAGCAGAGCATACTGATATAACCAGAATATTTAGTCAATGATATTACAAATACGCGAACGCATAAGGTAGACCAAAAGTACCCAGCAATATTATTGCGCAGTGTAGAAAAGCTTTATGAGAGCGACAAATTGTATGGAAAGAGAATGAAGGCAGAGCATTTCGGATGTCGTTTAAAGCTTTCTTTATACACTGCACAACGTAGCCACAATCATTGTGATTGCAGAGCTCAAACCGCAGAGACGTTTGCCTAGAGTTAAAGCAAAGAAGAGTTTAACAAATTCCAGATTTTTTATTAAAATCAAATCAAAATGTCTGAGGCAAGCTGCGATCAATACGAACACTACAATTATGATCATGACAAACACATGTTCTGTGGGCACAGCGGCAAGCAGCGCACCAAGAAGGAAGCCAGCGATCATACCAATCATTTTGATCCGTCCGGGCACTCCAGAAAGATTCTAACTAAACTTGTCAACACCAACAACAACAACAAGAAGGCGGCGTGCAAAAACTGAATGTTATATATATAAGTAAATTGAATCCAATCGAATTTTAATTATACTAAAAATGACGAAAAGTGAAAGGCTCTGGGGAGAAAGTGAGAAGCTGGCTATTTTCAGCTAACACTAACTTGTTATCAATAAAATGCTTTAGATTTAATTTATTAATATTAAAAATACAATACTAGTATCTACTATATGATGTTTTCAATGATGTTTCGTGACGTAGATAATATGGCTATACTTACTTGCTAACTGTTTAGAGAGTATATAGATGTACACTTTTTCAGATCACGATTTAATAAAATTTAAAAAAAATATTCATTATAATAGTTAACTTTATAATAACGGTATAGAAGGATCATTAATAGCTAAGTTTTTAAAAATTGTTTATAAGCAAAACTAAATAAATAAATAAATGATAATGATAAAACTATATAAATATATATGTTTAAAAGGAATAATTTTTTCTGCTCGTTAAGTTTCTATAAAACTATCTACGAAAGGTACTTAAATGCCATAAAAACATAACTAAAACACGTAGTTTTTACGAAAATATATGAAAAACAGGTCCACTCTAATCGAGTCAATCGAGTCTCTTTGCCGGCTTTTTCTCTCGATTTGCCGGTTTCTTACTGCGCAGTTGTTGATATTTGGTAAACAAAAAAAGTAAAAAACAAGAGCTCGTTGGTTATCAGGTGTTTCTTCTAGTTAGTCATCATGAACATCATTATCACGTAGACATTTGCAAACAATTTTTTAACTGCGTTGTTACAGCGTTACGAATTATTATTGATTCTGCCTTGAACGTGTTTGTTTCTAGTTGATTTTTGGGAAAGTTTTATGCGTAGATCGTAAATAATTGAAAAGGTCATGAAACTGGTTTTTACAACTATTTGCAGCTAAACAAAATCTATATAAAACAATAGAGCTGCTTAGAACTATTGCCAATTGAAATTTGCAGCACTTAAATATTATTCAAATTGTAATTGATTTTTATGTTATTTTTTAATAAATAAAAAAAATATCAATCAAATTATTTTGGTGTTTACTCATCAGGTTAAATGGACGTATATTGGTTTAACATACGTTACTTGTAAATATCTTGAATCTTGAGATATGAAATTGGAAATGTTTATTAGTCTGGGTACCTTTGTCTTATAGAGTGCATAGTGTTTTGGACACGTCCACTGGGGGCACGTTTACAGCTATAAACTTGATATGCATATATTTAAAATCTTTGAAAATGAAATAAAATTTGCTTACTAAATAATTAAGTGCTTGGTAAATCTGCCAATTTCATTTAATTTTCAAAGATTTGAAATTTCATAGATCACGACAAAAATGATCAAGCTACAGATATGCCATATATGGTACGGCAAATGGCAGTAACAATATCTTCACCAATGTCTGCACTAGAATTCCAAAGACTTACTCTAGATCTTCTAGATAGTTGATATATAAACGCCACTTGGAGTGGAGCTCGCCAACTGAACGAGTATCACTCAGTCGGTTGAGCTTGCCTACAAACTCTTTCAAAGGTCGTAAGTGAATGTGTATATAAGATAAGATTGACTTCTATAAGGGGTTGCTTGATGCGAGGCTTACGGTATCGGCTAGTCGTGCACTTGCAGCTGGAGCACTTTGGCTTGCTATTGGAACTATCTAAGCTGCATAATGTATGAATTTTGTATATAACAAAATTGATCTAAGATTAACTAAAGCAATATTAAATTCAATTAATTTATGAGTTTTATACATTATCATCTAAATTATATATACATAAATAAATATTGATTTGAAGTATTTAAGCCTTGGTAAGTTTTTACTCCATTTGCTTTGTATGTATTTAGCTATATTTTACCAATCATTGGACTAAATTTGAATAGACAAATTGATAACATTTTCATTGTCGGCTTTGACAGATTTCTTTCTTCAGCTTTAACGAAGGAGCCACGCTTTACTTCTTTATATGAACTACACACACACACACACAAATAGCCCTATATATATATAAATGTTTATATGTTTATTCATGTAAAATCTGTTATAGAATGTGATAATACGCGTGCCACACGCCAGAAGCGGGCCATGACAGAGGGCCACCATATGGGCCGTCAACGGCATTTCTAGACAATACTCGCAGCAATCTTGAGATTTGAGATCTTCTTTAGGGCCTCGCCTGGCAGCTTGGGAGGCGTGTGTCTAGGGCGGAAAGCATGTTGCGCACTTTCACCGCGAAAAATGAATTTCGAGGTAAACAAGTAAAGACTTGGATTATGCATAAATGAATGGATCGATATACCCATACCCATGTGTGTGTGTATGTGTGAGATGATAATTGATGTAGCACTCGTTGCCGAATGAACCGTTAAATTGAAATTGGAGCAGTGGCCCAATATCCAACCAATACGCGCGGCCCACGGATTAACACCTTTCAACGAGGCTGCGTCGAGACGTAGATGTTCTAGATACTGATGCCGGTGGAAGTACATTTCTCTTGTATTAGCACCAATCACACACACACACACACACCTGTGTATGTTGGAAAATATGCCTAGATTATTGGAATTGGGTATAAGTTTTTGTGGCAACTGGCTTCAAGTTCTGCATTTAGTTAACGTGTGGACACCCAGCCGAACGGCAGCTGGTGCGGATTAGTAATAAGCAACAGTTAAACATATATATACATATAGAATGGTGGCATACACGGATATGTCAACGAAGAAGCAACGAAATTGCTTGCCGGGCTTATGGACTCTGCTCGTAGCCATGCTGCTCTTCATCTTCACGCTCATGGGCGTTGCTCTGCTGGAAGCGAATCGGGCTCAGTCGGATGAGCATCAACGTCTGAGCGATGTGTTCCTTGTGCGGCGCCTGTGGTCGAAGTTTGCAGCATCCACGAACGCCTCGGACGATGCAGTTGCAGCAACTGTGGATCGCATTGCTAGGGATGCGAAGAATGCCAGTGGAATCGCAGCAACTGGCAGGAGTAACAGCTACTATGAGGAGCAGCAGGCGGTGGTTGTGAAAGAGGAAAGCGCTCCACCGGCTATGGCCGAGCGCATGGATTCATTTGGACCGCCGCAGGGTAGGTCATACGAGCTGGATCCCAACTATGATGATTATGGCGGGGAACAAACTGAATCTGAAGAGGAAGCAGGCGAGGGCAGAGCGGCTCAGGGCAGACCCAACGATTCCTACTACACGCAATGGAAATATGCCACACAGACAACATCACCTCCCGGCAATATCCGCAAATTGGAGCCAGCAGGCAATCGGTAAGGAAAAGGGGAACTCTGCTTTTATTGGCTAAATGAAAATTCAACTTTGATTCATTAATATGCAGCCCGCCCTATGCCGCCTACGACGAAGTGTATGATTATCCCATGGGCTTTCAGCCGCGTCCCCAGGAACAGCTCGTCTCTAAGCAGGCGGCAACCGTTGCACCTGTCCATGCAGTGGCCTATGCGCCAGTGTCCACGGAATCATCGCTGGTCACATTTTTGAAGACACTGAAACAAATGTGGGATCTATATCAGGCACTGATGAGCGCCTGGGGCTCGGTGGCCGAACGTCATCGGCAGAGTGACGAGCAGCTGAAGAAGGAGCGGCTAGAGAAGCAACGTCTGCGCCAGCAACAGCAGCAGCAACTGAATAAGTCCAGAGTCAACTCCAAGAAACCGCAACGTGCTAATGGCAATAAAGATGCAAAGCCAAATCAGAACAAAAAGGTGAAGACAACGACGACATCAACCACAACAACGAGCACCAGCAGCTCGAACGAATCAAATGAAGCCGAGGAGGCAACAGCAGCTCCAGTTGCAATCGTAGAAGCTGTCAAAGCCGATGCTACTAAGAAAGATGATGCCAAGGAAGATGCTGCGGTGCGTGGCATGAGACACAGGCGGGAGCCGGAGCCAGCCAGCACTGATGTTGGTGAGGGGCGTTATATCAAGGGTGATCCACTCAAAGGCTATTATGATTTCGTCATCACCGAGGGCTCCTACAAGTTCTGGGCTGCCTTTCAGGTACGAAACAAATAAGAGATGTGGATTCGGATAGAGATTAAGATATAGATATAGATCCCCAATGATATTATTCTCTCTAATTTGTAGGTGGGCACGGCACTTCTAATCATCTATTCCACATTCGCTGCCATTTACTACTCCAAGGTAAATCCATTGACTAGCGATTATGATTATCAGGATTATCTGGGTGCCGGGCGTTCGATGACGGGCGGCGATGATGATTTTGTGGACGACAGCGACCCAAGCACTCAAACAAAGCCCACGTCGCGTATTATGGATTGGCTGCCACGTACAGCTCATTCGCTTAAATTCATACTGGATGCTATTGACAAAATGCCACTAGATCATGATAATAAAGAGGAAACAGTCTGGTCAACGGGGAGTAGCGATACAACAGATAATGCAACAGGGGCAAGCAGTTAGGAAATCTACTTTAAAATATTTATGAAATAAAAATAATTTGAAAAGAAATCTGAATTTATTACTTTACTTATTCATTTACATATTCAAATATCGTTTGAGTTTCTTATAAGCCTTGAAAATTTAAATTTTCCGAAACAAACTTAGCTTAACGTATTTTACTTAATTAAATCATTTACGATACTGTTATTAAAAATGTTCTGATATAACAATGAGATTTATTTTTTATTTATAATTATTTATATATAATATCATTGAACAAAATCATAAATTTCCGTTAAATTTAAAATTTAAATTATATCTGAACCGTAAGATTTAAAAATAATTAAATTGCCCAACATTAAATATGTACACACTTTTTGCCATTCACAGTGTTGCGTTAACAAACAACATTCTCACCCAGCTGAAAAATCATGTTTATTATTTTTCTAGACGACGTGTAATTTGCGTATGCAATGACAATTAAATTGTGAATATCCAAAATATATCAAATTTAAAAATAAAGCAAAGCAGCACATAAAATGGAGCAAAAACTGCTGCTGCTCTTATTGCTGGTCGCTGTAGCAGCAGCTCACGATGCCAAAGACTTTGATGATTCCGTACTCTACAAAATAGATTTCGAAGTGCCTAGTTTATTAAATGATCCGGTAAGGCAAAATCAGCTGTAGTTGCAATTATATAAATAATAATTGTGTTTTATATGCATAAAAGGAGTTGGGCGGTCAATTGCGGACATTTTACACACAAGAGAAGGAAAAATATGAGTGTTTAATACCAGAGCTAGAGACACCCAAGGAAGAGGAGAAAACCAACCAGCCGGAGCTGTGTGAGTGTCAAATCTATTTCTTCTTTAGCCAAATCTTAATTATATTTAAATGCTTCATTATTAAGCTCCCATTGCGCTACTGCAACCAATCTTTTCGGCGCCCACCTGCTCGTTTCGAATTGAAGCCTATTGGTCATATGAGATCTGTCATGGTCATCATGTGCGTCAATATCACGAGGAGCGCGAAGGCAAGAATGTGAAGTTCCAGGAATACTATTTGGGCAAATGGAGCGAGGAGAAAACTGAGCTGGCTAAAAAAACATGGGAACTGGAACGTAAGGCCGATGGCAAACCAAAGTATAAGACGTTGAAAATAGATAATACCAGATATCCATACTTTGAAATGGAGTTCACCGATGGAACTATGTGCGATATTATTGATGCGCCGCGAACGACAATGGTGCGCTATGTCTGCTATCCACATGGCAAGGATGATATCTATTCATTCAAGGAGACCTCATCGTGTAATTATGAAGCTATTATCTTGACCTCATCGCTTTGTGCCATACCTGCTTTTCATGCGGAGGAGACCAAAGAGATATCTATCAAATGTTTCAATTCACAAACGGATCCACATAAACCAATTAGTATGCTGCGTCAGGAGCTGAGCGAGTGGGAAGAAAGTGAAAACGATTTGCTCGTGTCGAAAGAGAGCAAAGCACCAGCCAAGTTGTTTTCCAAGACAGATGGCGATATGGTTACCTTCAAGTATAGTGGGAATGTGGATAAAATCATCTTGGAGCTGATGGCAAATAGTGATATTGACGTGGACAATGAATATCAACAGCTCTTGATATCGAGATCTGCTTCAGGAACAACTCCAGCGCCTTTAAACGATCTGACACCTATAAAGGAGTTTATATCGGGCAAGAATTGTCTAACTGGAGTAAGTAGGATATCAAATACCCAAACTCTTCGTGTAACAATTCCACTTCTTGCAGGGCACCGGGTGGTGGAAGTACGAGTTCTGTTATGGCCGGCATGTGCGCCAATTCCATAAGGATAAAAACAGCGAAGTCGAATTGTTTCTGGGATATTTCTCAGAGGAATCGCATCGTTTGTGGGCTAGTTCAAATCCCGATAAAGGCGCTCGTCGTCCTGGATTTACATCGTCCATATGGCATCACTATGAGAAGGGCACCCACTGTGATCGCAGCGGTCTGCCACGCGAGGTGGACGTTAAGTTAACTTGTACTCCAGTTACCACCAGCGGTACGGCGGTCTCCATGTACCTGCTGGAGCCAAAAACATGCCAGTATATTCTAGTTGTTGAGTCACCCATCATCTGTGATCTCATGCATTATGCGGACGACAGTGGACTTGTTACGGCAGAAAGTTTGCAAAAGTTTCTGGCAACTGATAAGGCAGTTCCAGCTGTTCCATCTGCTGAACGAAATGCTGAAACCGAGGAACAAATACGATCCTAAAGCTTATACACACTTACAAATGTATATATTTGATGTAATAATATATGGACTTAGTTGATGTGTTGAATACAAGATATTTAAAATTATTTTTCAGTTCCATATTAAATCTGTATTTTGATTTTAAAATTAAATGGAAACAAAATACGTTTTGTGTGATTGACAAATGCTTATCAAAGACACGAACCAGTATATGCACAGATTAGTTAGTTCAGCAGCCCCTTGAATCACCCTTAATTTATTTTTATTATATCTTATCAAAAGTTTCGAAACATTTGCCGATTATCATATTTACATCGAAATTTATTGTCGTTTTTCTATAAAATCGTAAATTATAATTTGTTTTATTTACAGTACAAATAATATATTAATGCTTCTTGACCTTTGTCTTTTTTGAAGTCTTTTGCTTCGAGCCTTTGCCCCCACAACACTTGCTCCATATGAACTTGAACACAACTTTGCTTATCAGCACGATAACCAAGAGTATCGCTGCAATTAATAGATACAAGTCTATATTGTTAGTAGCAATATAGCCCATTTTAACTAGGGGACTCTGCATATGGGCAGCCCCGTGATGACGTAGCACATAGTTAACCCAATATATAACCGAATCGCGGGCTGACATGGGACGATCGCGATAGAGCTTAGAGAAGTGTTGAATGTTATTGGTGTAAATGGGATTGTTCAGAATTTCCTTAATTGCATCTTTAAATTCGTTCATCTCCAGGGTCAGCAAATCGAGCTTTAATCCATAACCCGCTTTCACCAGTTTATCTGCATTTCCAGGCTGATCGGCGAATACTGGCAGAGCCAGCATGGGCTTGCCATGATATTGGGACTCAGTAACGCCTCCTTTGCCAGCGTGCGTGATGAAGAGTTTAATGTTTGGATGGGCCAGTATATCGTCCTGTGGCATCCACTTCTTATAGAGTATGTTAGCCGACTTGCCAGGCACGTTGTTCAGATCATCCCACTTCCAGATCACACGCTGCTTCAGCCCGGCGAGTACTTTGTATATTCTTTTAATTACATCTGGATCTATGTTATCGCCTTTAAGATTGCTGCCCAGACTGAAGAGAATCGCGCCATGCTTGGCATTTGTCAAGAACTCCTCAATATCCTCGGGCAACGGATCTGGCTTGTCCTTAATCTGTATGCCACCAATCTCCACAAGAGCCGGCACATTGGGCCTAATGGGTCCTTCACTGATGCCATGACTACTGCAGAAAGCCAGAGAAACGTTCTGCTTGGCCTGCTCATAGGTCATCATGGACGGCACCTTACCCCATAGACGACTAAAAATTTATAAATCATGAATTAAATTTTAAATAGTACAAAATAAATTGAATTACTTACTCATAGAACTTGACATTTAGCGTCTCCAAGTAGAAGGTAAAGAGACGGAAGAACATGGTGCCACCAAAATTGGCCAGACGCTCCTTAAAGGTCATCGCACGACCGGGGGCAACCGCCACATGCATGGTGGGCACTGAGGACATCAATTCCGGATTACCAATATTACTATCGATTTGCATCATCGGCGGTCCCGTCCAGGTCAGAATAATGGGACACTTGAAGAGGCTGCCCAGACCCAGTTGATAATTGTTGAAGAAGAAGCCAACAATAACGGCATCAAATTTGTTGTCTTTATTCTTGTAGAGATCGGTGAACCGCTTGTCCTCCAGCACATCCACTTGCTTATAGATAAGCATCGACAGCGAACCGAATATATTTCTGAATGTTGTAATTATCGATGGCTTCTCTTTGGCCAAGACGGTCATGCCGTCGTTCAACTCCTTCTCCTCGGCTGCACTCAGGGGGATGACAATGTGCTTGATGCTTTTGTGGGTCACTTTTGGTGAAGTGCCCGACACCACGGTCACATTGTGCCCATTCTCCGCCAGGGCCTTCATAATCGACATGTTAATAATAAAATGCGACGGACTGTGGCTGGTGAAGACACCCAATATGTTGGCGCCCTCGACACCAGGCGATTGCAGCACAAAGAATCCGAGCAGGAGGCACACAAATGTGCCGGACAGCACGGATTGAGCCATGTTCAGGTCTTTCGGGCAATACTTTCCTTCTTTAACTAAATGGACTGCCGCAACTGCATTTATTTATATGAAAACTAACGTCCGTCCGATAAGCCTCGATGTCGCTGATAAGCGAACACAAATCGCCGGCCACGTTATCGTTTTGGTGTTCGCTCTATGAATGTTATACATAAGTCGAAACAAATTATAATGGTGTAGGTGATGTTGGCAGACTGTGAAATACCCTAAAATGTACATCTATGTAAGCACAAAGGTTAAATATCTTCTAATTATGTGTCGATAAATATCGATTTTGCGTAAATTGGAAAAGTAATCGCTATACAAGAGTTACATTACTGCTTTGATTTTTCCTATATAGTAATTTGATCGATTTGTACTGATTTTTCATCGATTGAGAAGTTATCGATACACAAAATTTACTGCACTTGCTCTCATTACAAACATATATATAAGCTCTAGACTTTTTCTATTATTTTTAATGCATTTCAGTTGTAGCAAACCTGCTTTATATGGCATGCAACTTGTGTTTGTTATCGATTTTTAGAGTTTTTGTATAACCAAGAACAGTTACAGAATGACATGGATGTTGTCAATACTTTTCGATTTTGGATGAGTTATCGAAAGTATAACCCTAGGCTATTTTCATTAGTCACATTTCAAAGAAATTAATTTAATAAATTTATCGATTTTTATCGATTTTAGTAATTTATATTTGAGATGCGTTCACTTGTCTGCTAACTCTCTATAAATTACTTTTCACCTATAACTTATTTCTGAATAGAATAGAATATAACTTCCAGTATATATTCATGATCCGTTTCAATAGGTTGCTCGATAATTGTCACTCGCTGTAATATAAGTGATCACTAAATCAGAACACCCTATTCTAAGGCATTCTCGATCTCAGTACATGCAGGGTATTAACTACAATCGGTTGCTAGCTACCTCAATTCCATTGTGACATGTAGCGTAAAGCCTAGCGCTATCACAAAAGCATAAATCGCACACGTATTATCAAGAGAAACACAAGTGGAAACTTATGAAATAAGATGACGGCTCTCTTAATAGCCCTAGTGCAATGTCAGCGGGTTGCATTCCACGATTGAACTTTGAATTTAGAGTCCGATCTGCTAAAGACACTGCTCTGAGGCAATTATATATTACGTATACGTATACATATAATTCATATGCATAACTAGACCGGCAAAAATAAATATAAATTTGAGAAAGCAACAACAGATCGGCAATTAGGGAATTCGTATTTAAAAAGCTAAAGAAAAACAAACCACAATGAAAATCAAGCGAATTCGCTGTCGTTTTACTCGTTTCAATGGCAACGGCGACACTGAGCCGATGCCAGAATAACTCGAACAGATGCGAGTCACACCATTAATAGAGAAACACCTACACTGAAAGAAAATTGCATACATTGTTTACGTGAATTGCAAACAACATTGCATATTGTCACATTTGGTTTTCACACTTAAAGTGAACACGTTAAGTGCTTATCTCAGAAATCGAACTAAAATTTTAAGTACACTATAATAATCAAGTCGTATACGAAGGGAGTGGGTGCACAAGTTGTTGTGAAAGTATGCTTTAAAAAAATAAATATGTAAATATATATATATATATATATATATATATATATATATATATATGTTTTATATATAATGCTTTCATGTTAAGCTTTGAAGTCAGTTAATGCTTTCAATAACATTTTTTTAAATAAAAAAAATTGTATTTAAGAAACTCATATTCGATATTATCTAAATACAAAACGATAAGAAATATGTATAGATATTTAATTTTATTTATGTATATGTGAATTATTAATAATTTTATATATAAATATTTTATACATATATATATGTATATATATGTTTTGTTTTATTACTTTATTGCTTTATTTTTTATTTATATCTTTAATCTTCACTTTTGGTTACATATAGCAGCTCTTCTTTTTTTATATTTTTATTGAATTTTTTTTTTTTTTTTTTTTTTTATTTACTTATGCACGTAGAAAGCTAAATATTTTTAAAGAATATTTTTTATTATTTATTATTATTTATTATTATTTATTATTTTATTATTTTATTTATTTATTTTATTATTTTTATTTTTTTGACTACAATATTCTAAATGCAATTCCACATAATTTCAAATTATATTTAAATTATATTTTTAATCTAAGAAAGTTCTGTGAAACAGATATTTTACATAGTTTCTGTGAAACAAATAGTTATTTATTAAGAAATTGTTTGCAGTGTAATTGCAAACTAAGAGTGAGAGAGGAAACTGAATAGAAAATGAGCGCCTATTAATAGTCATTGCGAGTGTTGGCAACTTGTTGATACTTATATGGCCCTGCATATAAATGAATATATATATATATATATATATATACGATATATATTTGTATATATATCTTAATGACCAATTTGCTGGTTGTCGCGACACGCGCCGTACGTGTAATGTGCAGTCGATTAATTGACTTTGGCTAACATGCTGTAGGTGTCTATTGTGTTTTGACCTTGCCCTTAGAGGGTGAGAAACGTCGCAGTTTTCGCCAAATGAAACGCGAAAGTAGTTTGAGAATGGTCAGCGAGACAGCAAGGGTGATCAGCAGGCAGGCGTAAACATCAAGATTGTGACGGGCGACAAAGTCGAGGTGAAGTGCAGGATTCTGCAGGTGGTAGGCTCCCTTGTGCCTCAATACATACTCCGTCCAATAGATCACAGATTGGCGTGCGGTGAGCGGCCGATCGCGATAGAGAGCGGAAAAGCTACGCACATTATCTCGATATGCCGGATTTTGCAGCACCTCGCTGATGGTCTGTGCCAGTGTAGTCTCTGTGAGTGTGGCCGAGTCCAGACTCAGTCCGAAACCAGCGGAGACCATGTTGTCCGCATTGCTAGGCTGATCGCCAAAGATCGGCAGCGCCACCATGGGCACGCCATGATATTGAGCCTCGGCCACGCCGCCCTTGCCGGCGTGTGTAATGAACAGCTTGGTATTGGGATGGGCCAGGATATCGTCCTGTGGCAGCCAATTGTGGTAGTAGATGTTCGTAGCATTGCCTGGCGTATGCTGCAGATCGTCCCATTTCCAGATGACGCGCATCGGCTGGCTGGAAAGCACCTTGAAGAAGGTCTCCATCACATGGGGCTTGAAGGAACCACTCTTCACATTGGTGCCCAGGCTAAAGAAGATGACACCGTCCTTGGCATTATCCATAAAGTCAGCCAGCTCGCTTGGCAAAGGATCTGGCTGATCCTTAATCTGTACGCCGCCAATTTCTATGGACTGGGGCACAGTGGGACGCACTGGGCCCTCGCTGTGCGAGTGATAGTTGTAGAAGAGCAGCGAGATATTTCGCCTAACATCCCAATAACTGGGCAGCTGTGGATCCGTTCCAAAGGCACGTCTAAAAGAGAGACGGAGTTAGGGATGCTTTGCTATTAGATGAAGTGCGTCACTCACTTGTAATAGTTGTCCATGCGCATATCAAAGATAATGGTAATGCCCTTTAGGAATAGCCAGATGCAGTAGTTTTTCAAGCGCTGGGCAAAGTCCATGACGCGCTTGCTCTTATCTAGGCCCACGTTTATGTTGGGCACATAGGCCGGATCGTAGACGTTGCCCACCTCATCGTCGACAAATGTAAATGGCACGCCCACCCAGGTGAGGATGGAGGGTATGCCCAGCTTGGCTGCTATGCCCAGTTGGTAATCATTGAAAACGAAGCCGAGAACCAACAAATCAAACTTGGTTTGCGGCTGTTCGTAAAGGGCGCGCACATTGGGGTGCGTTAGAAATTCATATTGACTATCCAGTATTGTGCTCTTTTTCATTAAAAATTGGTAAAACATGACAGCCATCGACACCTTCTCCTTGGCCGATCTCGCCAAGAACTGATTAAGCTCTGCCAACGTCTCTTCATTCAAGGGCGCTAAGATCTGTGTAATATTCTCATGTGGCATCAGCTTGGTCTTCATGGAAGTTACAATGGTCACATTATGTCCACGATCTGCCAGGGTGCGCATCATCGACATGTGCACCACCAAATGCGATGGGCTGAATGTGCTAAAGAGGCCTAATATGTTGGCGCCCTCTATGGGCGAGCAGGGCAACCCAAGCAGAATGGCAAAAGCTGCCAATAGCGCTGTGCCGCGCGACATGCTTGACTGAGGACTTGATCTTAACTGAATGAAGAGCCTGCTGATCGACTGCCTTTTATGCACTACATATAGTAGATAGATAGAGAGAGAGAGAGAGAAAGAGAGAGAGAGAGAGATAAAGCTAACGATCTCTTTGCTCAAACACTCATTTGCTGCGTCAAGATGACGGCGCAGCGATTTATTATCTTTGTAACTGGCAGTCAGCATTCAAAGAGCTAATATGCCTGATAAGCTTTTTTAAGAGTAGTTACACACAGATAAGCTTTATCAATATTATGTGCATATGCTACCAACGGGTGTTAAAAAACTCGACAAATTTGTGTGCAAATGCGCACAATTTGTTTGAAGTTTTCCCAAATATTCTTAAGCCACATGAATTATTTTTCAGATATTGGCTAGGTCAGAAATATTTTCTACAGTATAAATATATAGCATATATGAACAGTAATTTTTTATAAACTTATTTCTGTTTTTATCAGTACCTTATCAATTTTATAAACCCCGTAAATGTTGTAACAAACAGTCACAAATTCATTATTTTTTCAAAGGCAATTGTTAATCAAGATTTGCTGTACAGGGCATAGCATTCATGGGCACTTATTTCTTATATATTCTATATATATCAGATTTTAGTTTTATTCTGAGCACTTAAAAAATGGGATTTCCATTAAATTGGTTTTTTGTATTCCTGTGTCTGTCCGTCCGTATAAACTCAGCGAGAAACTCAGAGAGATTTATATTTTTAAAAATATAATAAATGTTCCCATAGTTCGGGTATTGCGAGCCCTATCTTAGATTGATGCATCAGTTTTGATTCGTATGCGGAGCGACTATTGATTGGCATTGAAAATTTTCATTTTTGACTAAAAGCGTGAGGTAACTCCTTACCATTTCTATCACAATCGGATCAAGCAGAAATAATGTAATATTTTTTAACTTAGCGTGCCTACAATTTGAGTATTTCCCATGCGACTTTTGGATGCGTATGAATTCGTAGCATCGATGTATGCAGTACGAGCTGACTAAAAAGCTGAATATAGATTTAAATCAAAGCTCAGCAAGCTGTTATTTCGTGAGCCTGCCTGAAGCATATGACGATATAAACTTAAAATTCAGATAATATACTTGTCTTCTTCGATTTGTAACTCTGCTAATGATAGACCTATAAATTCTACTATATTCTATTCTATGATATACATAAATTAATTATTATTATTCAGTCGTTAGATTATATATATTTATTTTACAAACACTTCCAACTACTACTTAACTACTTTAAGTTTCATAAATATTAGTTAAACAGTCAACGAACGTTAAGTTATTAAATATAAACATTGTGTGAGCAAATCTCATTCAGTTTTTGTAGTACTTTAACTTATAATTAATGCCGCTTAACTTTCTTGGACTTGCCACATAATTTGCGGCAAGTGCATCTCAGCGCAAGCCAAGTTAGGAGCAAAACTAGAGCTAAGACAGCTATGAATACGGCGTAAACATCTATGTTATAGTATTCCAGGGAAGTCATGTGCACGGCAGGACTTTGCAGATGGACGGCTCCCTTGTGCCTCAGCACATAGTCCGTCCAGTAGAGCACTGACTGCTTGGCCGTGATGGGTCTGTCCCGGTAGAGTTGCGAGAAGCTCTTGATGGCCAAGGCGTATTTCTCGTTGCCAAGGACTTCCTCAATCTTCGCCTTGAAGTTCTCTTCGTTCAGCTGCATCAGGTCTTGTGTAAGTCCATATCCAGACGCTGCCATGACATCCGCATTGATGGGCTGATCACCAAAGACCGGTAGAGCAACCATGGGCACGCCGTGGTAGCGCGCCTCCGTGATGCCGCCCTTGCCAGCGTGCGTAATGAAGAGCTTGATCTTGGGATGGGCCAGAATATCGTCCTGTGGGAGCCACTTCTTATAAAGTATGTTTGGCGATTTGCCGGGCGTATTATCGGGATCTTCCCACTTCCAGATGACATGCTGCTTCAGGCTCGAGAGCACCTTGAACATGGCCTGTATTAGCTCAGGTTTCACGTCCGTGCTCTTGACATTGGAGCCGAGGCACAGCAAAATCGCTCCGTGCTGAGCAGTCTCCAGAAACTTGGCAATGTCCGCTGGCAACGGATCGGGCTGCTCCTTGATTTGAATGCCTCCGATTTCCACAATTCCTGGCACAAGTGGACGAATCGGACCCTCACTTATCGAATGGCTATTTGTGAAGACCATTGACACATTGCGTCTCATCTCGGCCAGCGTGGGGAAGTTCGGCTCCTGGCCGAATTGCTGCTCATAGAAGTTATCGAAGCGTTTCTCGAAGATCATCAACATGACTCTTAGGAACAGGTACTTGCTGAAATTTTCTAGACGCTTGGCAAAGCCCATTCGCTCACCTCGGCCTAAAGGCGTTTGTATATTGGGCACATATGAGAGCTCTGAGGGATTGCCAACGTATGCATCGATGACCATCATCGGCGCCTGCATCCAGGAAACAATCACAGGCACCTGTAGCTTGGCGGCTACGCCCAATTGGAAATCATTCAAGAAGAAGCCCATGAACATTAAGTCGAACTTCGTCTCGTAGATGCGCTGGAAGCGAGCATCCGACAGCAATTGATGCTGTGATTCAATCATCACACTCATGCCATTCAGCATGCGATTCATCGTGCTAAAGATCGAGTTCTTCTGTCCAGTCATTTCCTTTATTTGGCCCTCGAGTATCTGCTCCTGTACAGCTGTCAAAGGCACCACGATCAGATGAATGTCCTTGTGCGTGATCGTCGGCTTCATCATGGTCACCACGGTCACATTGTGTCCACTCTCTGCCAGAGTCTTAATCATCGACATGTGGAGTATCAAGTGCGATTGACTGTGACTGCTGAACAGTCCCAAAATATTCGCCCCTTTCGCAGGCAGCGCGATCAGCAGCAGACAGAGCCCCACGACGCTCAACCGCAACGTAGCCATGTTGCTTGACGACTGTTCTTTATTCTTGACCAGCCAACTGTGGTTCCAAACCAGTATATTTATAACTAGAACCCAAACGAGGGAAGCTTATCAATATTTTTTTTCTGTGTGTTTGCGGCCTATCACAAAATCCAAGCATTCAGATTGCGAGTACCCGAAACAACATTGGCTTGTACAACATTTAAGGTATGTGATGAAAACTTTATGATTTGCACAAGTATTACAGAGTATTGCATGATTTGTATAAATTGAGTCTGTTGAAGGTCAAATGAGCTGCGGCTGGGTTCAATTATGTTGGCTGCTCAGCTGCGTGTGCCGAGACTTCTTCATCTGTATGCATCATGATCGATAAATATCGTAAATTTATATAAATCTATAAATATCAAAATGTCATCGATATATATCGATTTTAAATAATATATACAGCAAGCTTTCACTTACCTTACGATTATTTATTTTACTACATTTATTTTCCATTGTGTTTTCTGCTTTGTCATTATTGACATGCAACTAAATTTTTATGATAGCTGCGATTAAGCAAACGTTAAATACGCTTCGACATTTTTAAATGCTTGTTGTGCTATGTCAGAACTAGAAGAGCTAACCAGTTTTTAAATAACGCTTATTTACGAAACTCAAAAAAATATCGAAGTAAAAACCTTTCGACTTCAGCTTGTTGCTCTCATTTCAGTTTACTAGCTGAGGATGTTTGTAGAATAAATTCTTTTTTTTTTTGTGGCATTGATGTGTGCTGATTGTTGATTGAGCGATTTTTAATTGTTTTGCCTACTCAATGTTTTTTTTGTTCCATTATAAATGGCTGAAATAAAGCTCCATCTTCGAGTGATTGATATGGTCTTTGCCTATGCTTATTTGACGATTTTATATATCGACTTGAGACTTGGATCGAGCATCAAATTGAGCAAAAACAATTTGAAAAAAGCTGCTATAAAACCATTATTAGGCCAGCATAACTGTCTGCAAGTCCTAAAGGTAAATTAACTGACAGCAAATTTCAGTTTTCATTACGAATTGCAAATGTTTTGGAAAGAAAATTACAATTTATTAGAGTTTTTTCAAGGGAAAGATTTTGAGTGGATTATGGAGTGAGAAATTATAGCAACTCGACTCTGTAATTCACTTTATACTGAGAGCAACTACAGTTCTATGAGCCACAATCAAAGACAATCTCGGTTTTATATACTCTTAATCAGCTGGGCCCAGGAAATTGATAAAAGAAAGAGATGAACTCTTTATGTCTTGCTTCGCTCTCTTTCTTCCTGACTCTCTCTCTCTCTCTCTCTCACTCACTCTCTCTCTCTCCCTTTATCTCTATCTCTTTTTTTGCTTACTCTTTATGAGTTTGCCAGAACATTTTATTATGCAGTCGAGTCGTGACTCGTATAATTCGTAACCCTTGCCATTTCGAGCTAACGGAATTTTACTGTCTATATATACATATATACATATATATATATAAATAGGCCATAGTACAACACTTAAATTAATTCATATACTATTTAAATTTCTTGCTGCCCGGCGGATTGGGATTCGCTTCCATGCGCAGCAGCTGCTGTGTTTGACCTTTGATGTGGCTCCAGTGATTGATTTCACGCAGCTCCGACTTGAACTCGCTCAGGGTTTGCTGCAGCTCCGGATAGAGTTGTCGTAGCACTCCATGATCCAGCGTGGGAAACATGTGGTGCAGCGCATGCTCGCCAAAGTGTGTGAGCACCAGAAAATCGGACCACTTGATATCGCCACGATCGATGATCGTATCGAGCTGAAAGAGACCCCAATCGCGATCGGCTCGTGGCGCATCGCCGTCGTGGTAGATGCGAGGATCGTGATGAGCGGCAGTCAAGCCAATAAAACCAAACATAAAGCTGCCAAAGCCCAGAATGATCAGCCAACTAATGATCGCAGAGCTGAGATCAACATTTGTGGCGACATAGAGAAAGGCGGGCAAGGTGAAGCCCAGCACATCGTGCCAGTACATAACGTTCCGTTTGGCCAGTGAGTAGACAATGCTGCACAGGAAATGAATATTTATAAAATTACAATAATATATAGAAAGCCTTCTGGACCCACCGTTCCGTAAACTGCACCAGACTCATGATCGTATATATAAAAGGCGATATCAGCACAGAGATCACACGCTGCTTCCTGCTCGCATAGTGCCTGCTGGGCACCCAGCAGAGGAAGGGCTCAAAGAGCGACATCTCCAGATCGTGCAGCGAATTGGGATAAACATGATGGGACAGTGCGTGCGAGGTGCGCCAGCTATTGAAGTTGAGCAGCAGCAGATTGAAGCTGTACATGCGCCAATTATCGCGCTGATGGAAGTAATTGTGAGCCGAAGACGAGAGCCAGCAGAGCGACAGACCCGCTAGGGCACGCAGTAGCAAGGAGTTGAAGGCAGTGCCAGCCCAGCTGAAGAATATCACTGAGATTAGGATGCCTGTGTGGAGTAGCTGTGGGTGGTGAAGAGAAGAGAAGGTAAGAGCAGGTAGTTATAGCTGAGCTGCCTGAATACCAAATGTTAAATTATTGCTTCCGTATCTATGTGACATAGACATCAGCTATGATCAACTAACTATATATAACTATCTATGTAGAAGATCAACAGTGACTCTGCGGAACGGAAAGATTCTGGATGTTAGAGCAGAAGCAAAGGAACTTTTGATAAAATATTGAAATTTCTATAAAAGCTTAAGAAGCTTAAAATTTGATTGTGATTCGTCATCATTGATCATGAAGCTATCTTGATCAATTTAGAGAGTAACTCAACAACAAATCGAGCGATAAATATTGGATGTCTAGCTGCCTGAGATAGATACAGCGCAGCTATAAAACCTTCTTTTATCAGTCAGAGATCGAAGAGATGATTCAAAATTCACTCAATAAATAATTCCACACAGCACTTTAGACATTGATCAATTCATCATCTTTACAAAGCTGACACGCAAAAGTTCTTCAGTTAGAAACTCACGTCTGTTTTGTAGCTGGGTCGATAGTTCAGCTTTCGCAGCTTCGCTCGCACGCGTCGCTTTAGGGTCAAGTAGAAACCTTGCTCTTCCAGCGTAAATTTATAATTTCTCGGCTGGGCAGCTGATCTCACTTCGAATTTGCTAAGCATTTTCTGGGCATGCTCCTCGATGTGATGTGACTCAAAGGGTTCGGTGATATCGGTGCCTTTAGTGCGCTCAATCCAGAAGGCGCCGCCCGGATGTCGCCGAGCAAAGTCGCTCAGATCGTAGAGCTTATCTTTGATTCGCCACAGACCTTCAGCTGCATCGTCCCGATGTTTGCCCTCCAGCCAGCTGCAAGAGCATGCCAAGTGCCTCAAACTATAACTGTGACATGTGTGGTATGTACGCACCTCTCTTCACTGATGGGAAACTGTCTGCGATAGCTAGGATATGTATGGGATATGCCAGACTTACGCCAAGCCTCCAGCTCGACCAGCTTCTGGTTGGGTGCCATTTTTCATTGATTAATCGTGCTAATCCAACAGCTAATCATAAGTGATTTCTGTGTAGTTTATATATTTGTTTTAGTCGAAGTCCAAACACTTAATGAATGCAGTGATAAAACCGGTCTGTTTGACCGCAGAACCTAGTCAACCCGCCGACTGTTTTGTTTATGAATCGCTGGGTGAAGCGCCGCGTTGCGTCGCTCTGGTTTCACCCATAAAAGCTCTTGAAGCGTATCAAATGAAAGAGAGCTTTAAGCTTTTGTAGCGCCTCTTATCAGTGTCTACAACAGCCCAGACATAAATACAGCGGCACAATATGGAAATGGATCAGTGCAAGACGGCATTACTCGACAACTTGTCGACATCTTTTAATGGGAAATCTTCGAGTTTATATAACCAGAAATACATAGATTAAAATTGCGTAGCTCATAAACAGGACAGTGCTGCATCTTAAAATATTAAAAATACTAATCACTGAAAGACCACATGACCAGGCACTCAATATAATATAACGCTATAAATAATATATGCTATATGTATTATATAATATTATTATTATTATATTATTATTATTATATTATTATACTACGCAAAAGGCAACCACTGCCCAAACATAGTTGAGTTGACTTTAAAGACTCTTTATTAAATTGTTTTGAATCTAATCATTAAAGATATGGAATATATATATGCCCACATTTTGTTGTTGCAGTTTCAGCTATAGCTTGGGCAACGCCTTCTATTTTATATATAATCTGATATATTTATTTTTATACCTTGTACCCATTGAGCATGAAAAGATAGGATTAGTTACTTTTGTAAATACGTATATATCAGGCAGAAAAAGTTGTGATAAGCTCCATGACTTTATCGACTCAGTTTGTCGTCTTGCTCAAAAAATAAAAAAAAATTAATAAAAAAAAAAAAAAAAATTTATATAAAAAAAATATATATAATATATATATATATATATATATATATATATATATATATATATATATATATATATATATATAGATAATAAAATAAAACAAATATATATATATATATATATATTTTTATTTTATTTTTATATATATATATATATATAAATAAAAAAAATATATCTATATATTTATATTTATATTTATATTTTTTTTTTGATCAAGACGACAAACTGAGATGGAGTCTATCACAACTTCTGTGTCGATATAGACATGCCTCTTTATCTAAGCATTCATAGATACACAGCTAGCTCATAAATAGCTGGGGTTGGGGTATCACCTAGTCGATTACTCCCTACTAGAGCACTTTTATTTGTTTATAGCTCGATTCCCAAATTTATATTTTATAGTTTCGAGTGTATGTTAATCAGTCAAACTTTGAAAGGCATCTGTCTGATGATAGATTCTCTTATCAGTCATTAAAAAAACTGAAGCTCAAAGACGCACATTAAATACCCTTACACACACAAAAGATAGCAAAAATAATATTTTATTTGAGAGCAAAAATATTAAAAAAATAAGTCAACTAAGTAAATCTGCATATTTATTAAAACACTTCTTTAAAAGGTTATTCAAGTTTGAGTGACGCTTTAATCTAAAAGCTCTCATAACAATTCTTACAAACATGTTTTATTGCGTCTAAATGTAACTCAATTTCAATTCGCAAAAACTAGTTTTTTTTCTTAATCAGATTGCATAATTAATACCCTACACGAAAAATATGCTGAGTCTTGGTTAACTTTGCAAAATGGCGAACACCTCCAAAGAGCGAGCTGCCTATCAAGTGAATATTAGCCTAGGTCTGACCCCACCGCAGGGGCTGTAAGTAGACCGCATGAACACTGATTGTAAGCCGATCTAGCTGGCTGCTAAACAGGCCCGGCGCGCTACCCTATAGCCAGCAGAGGTGCACGTGTAGAGGCGCCGATGTGATCAGCTTTGGACTCTTCCTAATGTAGCTGGGTAACTGGCACTGTAATATGCGTTTAGCCTCGACATTGGCAAGACTGATAACACGACTCGTCACGGTTATCATAATGGAAATATTTTTGATACCCTCTGGCGATTGGAAATTGAGTGCCAAAGGCAATATTGTGGCTGTTACAGACAGTGGGTGTGGCAATGCTTGCGGCTTACTTATCGATAACTTATTAGCTAAATTGATACTTATCGATTATAGCATGTTCCTTGTTGTGTCACACACAGTTCAAGTGTATTTACATAGCCTGGAATTTCGAATTAGAATCTGAAACATAGAAAGGCCATTACAGAGTATCTCCTGCTGAGATTCTTTGAACTACTCCATAAAAGTATTCCAACTATGGATACAATTTCTTACAAGTTTTCAATAACATCTAACAATATCGATAGATATTGATGTTTTAAATTTCTATAAATTCTACTTACAGGGTATTAAAGAGCCGTGTATTCCCTGCGCTGTCATGACAACTTGTTATCTGTACAATTATGATACGCAAATGTCGACGTTTAAAATGTAAAACGCACATTAGATGCTGCTCAGTACGCGCTGAAGGCAGCTCGTTTTAGGTTCAATTCAGAAAGCGGGCGAGGATCAAGAGCAAGGATCAACGAGAACCATGGTGGTCGAGACATGGAAGAAGAGTGGCATTGCCACTAAATTTCCAACATATCGCAATTCTTCGCTGGTCACGGTGCACAGCTGGCAGAAGGGCAAGCAACAGGATGACGAGGCCGAAGGACTTTGGCGCATCAAGGACAGCATTTACGATTTCACATCGTTCATTGACAAGCATCCAGGCGGGCCCTTCTGGATACGGGAGACCAAGGGCACGGACATTACGGAAGCTTTCGAGTCTCATCACTTGACCACAGCGCCCGAGAAAATGATTGCCAAGTACAAGGTGAGGGACGCGGCCAAGCCACGCATCTATACTCTAACCCTGCACGAGGACGGCTTCTATAAGACCCTCAAGGAAAAGGTACGCGAGCAGCTGAAGACGATCGACAAGAGCCCGAAGCGAAGGAGCGATGTGAGTAGAGAACATTTGGGGATCTTCTTAGATGATCTGGCTGATCATGTGTGATCTTTGACTTTAGTTGATTCATCTGGGCATCTTGCTGTCCACCTATCTGTTTGCTGTGGCTTGTGCCAAATATGACAGTCTCCTGGCACTGATCCTCGCCGGCGTCGCTCTGTGCTGGACGGTGATCGTGTCGCATAATTACTTCCATCGTCGCGACAATTGGCAGATGTACACCTTCAATTTGGGCATGATGAACTTCTGCTCGTGGCGCATCTCGCATGCGATGTCGCATCACATCTATCCAAATTCCTACATGGATCTGGAGCTGAGCATGTTTGAGCCGTTGCTGTGTTGGGTGCCCAATCCGCACATCAAGAGCAAGGCGCTGCGCTATGTTTCCTGGGTAACAGAACCTTTGGCCTATGCCATTGCCTTCTTCCTGCAACTGGGCACGCGGTAGGTGGCTGATCGATCGCACAAACTGATAGATCACTAATCATTTTCCACTATATAGCATCTTCTACTCGCTGCGTCACGCGAATATTATGTACTGGCACGATCTGTTGCCCCTCACCATACCCCTGGTCATGTACTACGGATCGGGTGGATCGGCGACTCTGTTGTTCTGCTTACGCCAGTGGCTGTCGATGACGTCCATAGCCAGCTTTGCCTTTTGCGTAATCGGTCTAAATGCGGCGCATCATGACCCGGAAATCTATCATGAAGGTGATACGAATCGGGAGGATCGCGACTGGGGCCTGTTCCAGGTGGACACCATCATCGATCGCGGCGATCTGAAGTGGTCACAGTTTCTGGTGCTCACACACTTCGGTGATCATGTCCTGCATCATCTCTTCCCCACACTCGATCATGGACTGCTGCCCGCCCTCTATCCCGTACTCTATGATACGCTCGATCAGTTCAAGGGTGAACTGCGCGAATGCAATCACATCGAGCACATGATCGGACAGCACAAGCAGCTGCTGCGCACCGAGCCCAATCCCCGGGCACCTGGAGCAGGCAAATAGATCTTCTCTGTCTACACTACGTCCGATCGAGCACAGGCCTCCTAGCATAAGACAACGGATATTTTTATCCTATAATATAACTAGTTATACAAATATATTCTGCTTAAATATAACAACTTTGTTTTATTTTTAATGTGTTTTAACTAAGCTCTGAAGTATCCAGTGGATATTATTATACTGATCATGCTTAGATTAGCCTGCTGGAGACTTGATATATAGAATATGCACTTGTGCAGACAGGCCACAATTTTTTACCTTACTGTAGACCCATTTTTAAGATACTAGTGGGGGCGTGGCAGATCAGCAAAAACATAAAGCCCAATATTATTATATTAAAGCTTCGAAACTAGCATTTGCCAGCCTCTTGAGACTAGCCAAAAATCATGCAGCTATTTGTAGAACGTGAACGAGTATTATGCAGTCGGTGACAGCCGAATGTCTTGCTTGCACGCTCAAAACTCTCTTTAATAAAAACAAGTAAAGTTTTTTTTAAAATTGATTTACATTTATTTTGTTCCTTTTTTGTATACTTTTTTGTTTTGGTTTTTTAGTTGTAGTTTTTGATCTTTTAACCTTATAATGTTTTGATAAAATTAAAAAATTTAACATAAACATAAGCGCCGTGGGAGGCGAGTGTGTATGCTCTGTCTGTATAGATCGGCTGAACTGGGCACACATTTAATAGTTATTAATATATAGACACAATTCGATACATGTTAGATTAATGCAACTGCGACACTTCCTGAAGGACATCCCCGCCTATTTTTTTTTGTTATTTTTTAACTGACAATTGACGGGGCTCAGTTGTTGTTGTTTTGTTTCTTTTAATGTTGGTTGAATGCGTTTTGAAAGTTGTATAAAAATATAAATACAATGAACAGGTCTCGAGAGATGTCCGAGAGCAAATGTCGCGTCTACAAAGCTGTGCTACCAACTCCCCTCACAAAGAACTTATGTCCGTCGATCATTGATCGTCGATCGTTGTTGTTGTTGTTGTTGTTGTTGTTGTTGTTAAACAGATGTTATATTGTTTATTGCTTGTTCCGGGTTCTTAAGATTTCCGTTATTATTTTGGGGCCCGGTTAAACATTTTGTTGTTGTTTTTTGCCTAAGTGCATTGTGCCTCCCGTCGTTTCGATATATATTTTGTTATAGTTTTATTATTTTTGTTTAAATTAAGAAATTAAGCTTTAAATCATAAACATAATCATTATGAAATATCATTTAAAATAAATTAAAAAATGAAATGGCATTTAGAATTCGTTTTCAGGAGCAAGGTCGAATCTTGGTGGGAAAGCCAATCCGTCGAATTGTGGCCTAACGGATGTCGCACGGGGCTGCAGAAAACAAAAGAGAGAGAGAGAGAGAGAGAAAGAGAGAATCGATTTATTAAAATGTGAATAAAAGTATTAATATATATAGTATCTATAAGCGGTATGATATACTATCAATAGCCAGAACATGCTTTTGGGAGGGGTGGACGAGTCACTAAAAGTTCGTTGAGACATTTTCTTTGACTAAAAGTAAACAACGGAGCTTGGAATGAACGCCTAGCGGCACGTTACGTGGTGCACACATTGGCGAGGGGGAGAGACGAGCGTATCTATAGATAATTGGATAAACGAGGAGTACGAGGTAGCGTGAGCAACGCGACAGGTAAGTAAGTGCTCGAGACATTCTGTAGGTCGAGGAAATGTACGAAATAGAAATCAACATCAAATGAACGACTGAATGAGGCGGATGAACGAGGCGAATCTATGAGATATTTAAATGAATCGAATGAGTGAACCATGAAGTAAATAAATGAAGCGAATGAATGAACCAAATGAACGAAACAATTCACTGAAAATGAGCGAAACGAATGAATGGAATGAATGAATACGAGAGTGTGAACGCCACTTCTCAGACGAATGAACGCAGCTCAGTAGAGAGCGTGAACAAGAGCGAATGAACAAGTACGCAACTCATGAGAGAGAGAGAGAAAGAGAGACAACACCAAGTGAATATGCTTGGGATATTGAAGGAGTTTTTTGTGCTTGTGCATATGTAAGTGTAAGTGTGTGTGTGTGTGTGTAGGAAGTAAACGAAGTTTTCCAACATTCTGACACAACAAGAACAACAAGAACGAGAACGAGCACGTTTCCACTTTACAGGCGTTGCCACTTACAAATGTTGTCAAGAAAGTTTCTACTGCTCCAGCGCGCCCTCTAGCGGCCACCCTTTGACGCTGTAGGCTGCAGTACACAAATACATACATATATACATATATATGCAGAGATATATATATATATGCATATATGTGTTTGGTGTTGTTTTTTAATAATATAGTGGAAGAATAGTTTGTTTTGCATATATAAATATTATTTATATATATTGTATGCAGTATGGCTGTAGAGAAAGCAAAGTCGATTGATTGATGCTGATTGCTTGCTGTTGATCTTCATAGTTAGAAAAATTGTCAAAATGAACGCATTATTGGTTGGTACTAGAGCTGATCGATGGCTCGATAGATCGATAATTGCTATCGAAGCTCTTTCATTTACTTTCTTGATGTTATTTCTTCTTCTTCTTATTTTTTTAATAGATTTTAGTTTTATTTGGTTCGTCTTTCTTTTCGCCCAGGTGCTTGGGGTTTTGCCTCTAATTACAATTCTCTGTTCTACCGAATGTCGATGTATGATGCATCTATATTATTATTATTAGTGTATATATATTTTAATTCTTATAAGCTATAATTCTCTTTGCATGTTTTCTGTTTCATTCTTCTTCATTTTTTACACATAATTGAACCATAATAGATTTTCTTTCTTTTTTAGCTTTTATTTTGGTTTTTTTGCATTTTTGTGGTTGGGCCTCAACTTTTAGCATTTAAATCTGTGCGTAGAGGTGCGAAGGTGTGAAGAAGAAGCAGAACGCGTACCGCAAATATGAAAGGGAAGAATATATAAGCATATATAGAGAGGCAATTGTAATACTATATATACTGAAGATGGAGTTGTAGTTGAATGGTAAGCCAAAGAGTCAGATGTGGAGAGTGTTGGGCATGTGTGGGGCATTTGTTGTGGTTGTACTTACCGCTGGGCTGGCACCACGACCGACAGAACCGGCACGTCCCTTGGCGCGGAATTTGCTAATGGCCTGTTCAGCCAGATCGGCACGCTCCTCGGCTTCCTCGAGCTCCTGCTGGGCCTTGCGGAATTTGGCCAAGTTGAGGGCGGCGATTTCCTCGGCCTCCTCGATCTGCCTCTTGTATGTCTTGATCTTCTGTTGCAGCTTGTCGACCAGATCCTGCATGCGCTCATGGTTCTTGCGATCCTCCTCAGACTGGAAGCTCAACTCCTTGATGCGGCGCTCAGATTTGCGCAAGTTCTTCTGGGCATCGGCGTGTCTCCTCTGCTCACCATCCAGCTCGTTCTCGAGCTCGCGGACGCGCTGCTCCAGCTTCTGGATAGCCTTCTTGCCACCCTTGAGGGCATTGGCCTCAGCCTCATCCAGACGCACCTGCAATTCCTTGATCTGCTGTTCGAGAGCCTTCCTCAATTTCTCCTGGGTCTGGGCATGATCCTGCTCAGCGCGGAGCTCATCGGCCAGGCGGGCGGCATCGACCATAGCCTTCTTGGCCTTCTCCTCGGAGTTCTTGGCTTCGTTGAGGAGCTCATCCAGATCAGAGTGCAGAGTCTGCAACTCCGATTCCAATTTCCTCTTGGCAGCAGAGATGGAAGCATTCTGGGCGGAAACTTCGTTCAGCTGTTCGTGGGCATCGGCCAATTCCTGCTCGGCCTGGCGACGACCGCGATCGGCCTGCTCCAGCAGAGTGCGAGACTCCTCGAGCTCGTTCTGCAAGGCGTTGGCACGACGCTCCGAGATGCCCAACTGTTCGCGGGCATCGTCACGAGCTCTCTGCTCCTCCTCAAGGGCGGTCTGGATGTCCTTGAGCTGCTGTTGGTAGCGCTTGATGTTCTTCTGGGCCTCGGCGTTAGCCTGAGTAGAATGAAAGGGGAAATCGCATTTGAGTTATTGACTCGCAATTGCCAGTAGCTGCGCGTTAGACTCACCTTGTTGGCATGATCCAGAGCAATCTCCAATTCGTTGATGTCGGCTTCCAACTTCTTCTTCATGCGCAGCGCCTCAGCCTTGCCCTTGGCTTCGGCTTCGAGGGAGGCTTGCATGGAGTCGAGAGCGCGCTGGTGGTTCTTGCGGGTATTCTCGAATTCCTCTTCCTTCTCCTGGATGCGGCGATCGATTTCCTGGCGCACCTGCGACAGCTCAAGCTGAGCGCGCAGCACCTTGTTCTCCTCCTGTTCGAGAGCAGCCTCGGCTTCCTCAAGGGCAGCCTGGAGCTCGTCCTTTTCGGCTTCCAGGCGCTTGCGGGCCTTCTCGATCTCGTGGATGTTGCGGCCACCCTCACCGATCTGGTCGAGCAGATCCTTGACTTCATCAGCCAAGTTCTTGTTCTCACGACGCACAGCCTCCAGCTGCTCCTGGCCCTCCTCGTAGGCGCCCTTAAGACGGAACAACTCGGTGGAGTAGTTGCGGCACTCCTTCTGGGAGGCATCGAGCTCAGCGGCCAAATCATCAACCTTGAGCTTCCACTCGCCAATGATCTTGTCGAAGGCCTTCTGCTTCTTCTCGGCGGCGTTGGCAATGGCGTTGGCACGGTCGACCTCCAGCTGCAAGTCCTCGACTTCGGTGGACAGACGCTGCTTGGTCTTCTCGAGGCCGATGCACTTCTGGTTGAGCGACTCAATAGTCTCCTCAGCCTCAGCAAGGCGAGCCTGCAGCTTCCTCTTGGCCTCCTCCAACTCCTCAGAGCGGGCAACACCATCGGACTCGTACTTGCTGCGCCAGACCTGAGCCTCGGCGTTAGCCTTGCTGAGTTGACGCTGCAGATCAGCCTTGCCCTCAGCCTCCTCCTCAACCTGCTCGCGCAAGTTGTCGAGGTCGTGCTCCAAGTTGCGGAACTTGCCCAAAAGTGTGGCACGCTCGCGCGACTCCTCGTCGGCCAGACGCTTGGTATCCTCCAGCTGTGTGGTCAAGGAGATCTTGATCTTGGACAGCTGCGATACCTGAGACTCGG